TATCTTGCATGGTGACGGATCATTTATATCAGAAACGCAAACCGGTACTGAGTTCACTGCTAAGAAAGGTGAACGATACAAAACGAAACATCCTGTTGAATCTGAATTATGGAAGGTTTGTTAAATTTAATTTTCAGAAAAATTGCTGAGATTAAGAAGTTAATTAAAGCTGAAGCAATTACATTATTTTCAGAAAAAAGGACAAATAGATAGAGATACAGTTTCCCATCAAGATTACACAAGCAAAACAGGAGAAAGATATCCGGTGTCAAAACCACAGGATTCTGATATCTTGCATGGCGACGGATCATTTATATCAGAAACGCAAACCGGTACTGAGTTCACTGCTGAGAAAGGTGAACGACACGAAACGAAGCATCCTGCTGAATCTGAATTATGGGAGGTTCGTTAGATTTTTTGAAAATTTAGAAGTTGAAACTAACTTTAGAAGTTGAAACTAACGTAATTGTTTAAGGCTGAAACAATTACGTTAGTTTCAGAAGGACAGATAGAGATACAGTTTCCTATCAGGGTTGCCCCGGATAGCCAGCCCTTAGAAAAGAAAAGCGTATGCTGTTAAGAAACCATGCGATACAGTTATTTTATATATTGTTGATTCATTCCGGACCGGAACAGTCGCAGATAGAATTCCTGGCCAAAAAAGAACAGATTTGAAATTGCTATGCCTTGCAGTTCGGACATCTGGAAGGTTGGTAATCAACTCAGTTAACCGTGAGTATTCTACTTACTATTATCAGATATGGACGGGAGCATACCACAGAATATTCGAAATCAGTGGTTTCTAATATTCTCATCTCAGGAACAGAAAAAACAAGACGAATTTGTCGTAGAAACGAAGCATAAACGCTGCAGCGTGTTGTGTACAGAAAGCTTGAAATCAGCGTTCTTCGTATATGATACAGCGGAGCATAGAGAAACATGTACAGAAAACTGGAAGACAACATATACGGAAACGTTTTATGAAGGAGTACCAGTGGAGGATGTTCGACGTGTTATTCAACACGAAAATAGAAATTTCAAACTCTCCGAAAGTAAATTCGCTGAGGAAAAGATTTTCTGATTTAATGATATGGTATAGTTTCTATCGTTCGGTCTTACTAAAGCGTGAAGTCTGCGCTATATTGGCTTTATTCTTTCTTTTAAAGCATTAAAGTATACTTTTAAAGTATTAGTGAACTTTTTAAGTGCTTGACTTATAAATTATCTTGAAGGTCAAAGCATCTATCGCATATCGTCCATAATGCCAACAATATCCGCAATGCAAGTTCAGATGACATCTACTAAATTAAAAGAATCAACGTTTTGGCAGAACGACCAAATGGAAGGTAGGATCCCAGTATAATACTGTAAGCTAACTGGTAACTAAGATTTTTTAGCCGAGTTTAATTTTTAAGAGGAAATGCGCAGAAAACTGTGCAGGAAGAGAGATATTCACGCGTCAGCTTTGATTTCGTTTTGTTTTTATATGTTACCGTATCCAAAAATAATCTTTTGCTTGGTTTTTATCCTTTGAAGAAACTTTGACAATTAGTTTTTGATTTACAGGACTTTGTGCTGAAGCTGAAACCATGCCCGGCTAGTATACTGATTAATCGATCGATAAAGACGAGCTTGATCGATCCCAATAATTTCAACTCTCTAGTATCAAATTTCCATTCAATTTCGGCTTAAGCATGCTTAAAAGATGCATAAAATTTTATATTTTTAACACATTCTCACGTCCATACTCCACTCTTACCAATTAAATGTTTCCTTAAGCTTTTATCTGTTTCGAATTTATATCTTTTCCAACGTATACTCTTTTAAAAATCTGCTGACGCTCACCGGATCACTCTATTAGCCATTATTCATTTTGAAGTATATTTTCCGACTCATTACAAAAAACTCAGCTCTTTGGAAGGCACGACGCTAATCCTCAGATCATTTGTCCTTACTAGGAATCTCAAGTGTCTAATTTCCATTAAGCAGCATTCTTTTCAAAGCTTTAGAATACTTTCTAGCTTGGCATCGTTTAGTCTTTGTCATCTTCGAAATAACATAAATTGCGCAAAGAGGCCTCAGAGTTTTTAATTTCATTAGCAATAACTTCTCCCAGTATCTTGACTGCGGTTAATTTTTCGTAAACTAAACGAAAAGCAGGAAATCTTTCACTCGTTTTGGATGGCTTTGTTGAATGAATGCCTTTTAGCAACATCCCGCAGTGCCAATCTTTTTTAACAAGCATCGATTAAAGAGATGGGAGGACCATTGTTAATTGACGTGCTAAAATAAATGAAATAAAGTGAACAAATCATAGATATTAATACTGCTGATATCAAAGCTGTATATCCATTTAGTTGATGTCATTGTCATACATTGTCTTCCCTTTTCTTTTTTAATTTTTTGTTGCAACATCGTGATGGAAATCTCCCGATCTATACATTGTTATCGATATCTATATGTATCGTCTTCTTTGCATTATAGCGTAACTTTCAAAGTAAGCATCATAAACAAACCTTAAATTTTACGTTAACAGAATTTCAGGTCATTTCTTTGTCTGTTAGCTTCACGAGAAGATATTCATGCCGTTTTCCCAATGCAATTTGTTGACAACTGCAATTTGTTTGGAAAACCAAATCGGATCATAACACAAATTTCTATGGCACAAGAAATGATTTTACTCTAAATAAAATCGATATCTTTTGATAAGCTCAGCATGCAATGCTGTTGGACAGCAATCAGTTAATAAGTTGCATTGTGATCTCTACCATGAGTTAAAGATAACGCTAATGATGCAGTTTCAAGAATCAAAAAACAGAATTTTTTGAAATGAAAATTGTCTTTAACAGAATTTGCTAATTTATTGCTAAATATTGTAAGTGACGGAGTAATGAGGTTAGAATCCGATGCATATATATTTCCACTGCGAGAATTCATCTATACCTTGCGAGCCGCCTTCACGACCCAAACCGCTTTCCTTCATTCCACCGAAAGCTGCTTCCGCGCATGATACTAATCCTAAAATGATTGGATTTCATCTGGATTAGAACTTCGAAAAGCATGAAATTTCTAAATTTATCGGTAACGACAAGTGTATTTATGTGCAAATATGAACCAATTTGTGGAACATGCTATGACAAACAATGCATCAAATAGAAGACGTAAAATAACTACTTAATTAGCATACCTTCATTGACACCGATAATTCCAACCTCTAAGTTACGACTGACCCGCAATATTTGGGCATAATCCGTCGTGAATATATAACCTTCAAATTCATTTCTATTAAAAACCTCAACAAAACATATCTTTTATAAATGATGGAAAGGCTGTCATTGAAAATTCCCTATCCGACACGAATTGGAGCAATAATACCATCAGATGGTTGTCAATGAGAGATTAGAATATCTCTTACTCTGTCTCCAGGTGAACGGAAATAGTTTGTATTACAGTACATCTTCATAACATCGAAATACTAAAAATCCCAAAAAATAGCAGAAAAGTTGCATTTCACTTTTAAAAAAAGATCACTGTTTTAACTGAAAAACTGTAAGATATACACTAACCAGCTAAGCCAGTTCTGCTATCGTTTGCGAGTGCCAAAACCTCCTCTTCTGTTTCGAATCTAAGATGAAAATATTATTTTGGGTATCAACTTACCTTCACTGACTTTTAGATGCAAATGGATTAGAATTAAGCTGAAGTTCAGATTTTTCAGAAGTTACTAACTTTTGGATAGCGAGAATGGGACCAAAAATTTCAGTATGGACAATATCCATATCACTGGTTACATTGGTCAGCAGCGTCGGTTTGAAACAGGTGCTTTGAGGAACACGCTTCCCACCCAGTACTATACGTGCTCCTTTTTGAGTCGCATTCGATAATAGCTTTTCAACCTCCAAATTATGTTAATAATAATTGACAAACCAAGAAGGGAATTTTTTATCCGATTTATCTCTGTATAGTTTTGCAAAATATCTCTCATTGTGAATCAATCAAATGTAATTAATAGATTACTTAGATCCATTTAAGAACCATGTAAGCTACTCTTTACTATACGGCTTTATAAGGGGCTTTTTTCGACAGGAAGTTTTATTACTACTAATCAAATAAATCATTTTCAAATATTACTTTTTGTATAGCCTTTTCATTTATTAGGGGTCCTTGAGTGACATTCGGTTGCATGCCATCTCCAGTAATCAATTTTGCCATCGCATATTTAACTTCTTCAACAAACGAATCATAAATGGAAGAGTGTACATAAAAACGATTTGGAGATATACAAGTTTGCCCTGAACCTCGAAATTTTGACACCATCGTTCCCTGGAAGTTTATATTTTAGAGTTTTGCTTGTGCTTATGTCGCTTTTATTTTTGCAGAAAAATTGTGATGCGTCAAAATTTGACAAAAACTGTTTGAAAAATGATTTTATCCTATCTTTTCAAACATAAAAACAGGTATTCTGTGCTGTAAATAGTGGTATGCACTAACAAAAGGAAAAAAAAGTAAATGTTGCATTGATCAGTAGAGCATCAATGAAAAAAGAACCCTATTTTATCTTCTGGAATGGCTCCTTCAATCCTGCAAAACTTCTCGTTAATTTTGAATAAACAAAAACAAACCTGAACTGCTGTTGAGAGATGAGCTGAAGGGAATACGATGAGCGGTGCGTTACCACCTAGTTCAAGACATACTCGTTTCACCGTGCCAGCTGACTGTGAAAGCAATAGCTGCAAAAGGGTAACGCTAAATGAGCATGATCGTGATACGCGATAGGAGATCACATTGAGGAAGTTTAATAAACATTAATGACGCTACGATAAGCACTGATCAAGAAACGTTCGGATTACTTTGTAATATGTTTTAATTTAACAAATGATCGTCATGTGATAATCTGAACGTCTAGTCACATCTAAGTCACATGATTCAAATAAACTGAAAGTGACGAAGTAGGTGGCTCACTTTTCCTACTTCAGTGCTGCCCGTAAATGAAATTGCATTGATGTCGGTCGATTTACATAAAAACTTTGTTATTTGCATCGTATTCTTCAAATCTGCCGGAATAACATTGAAGACACCGTCTGGAAGACCAGCTTCTTTAGCTATCTAAAACCTACAACATGCTGGATCGTTTGTGTAAAGATTTTGATTTTAAAACTGATTATTAGTTGGGCAAAATAAAATGGAAGAAATGAAAAAATCAATCTCATAAACCTATCAAAAATATCATTTTTATCAAGAAACAATCGTGACCAGCTTATGGTCAACCATTGTCACTATCTTAGTTGTACTGCAACATTTCCTAATTTTAGCAACGAAACGGCGAGTGAGGGAGACAAAAAGCAGGAGGGAAAAAAATAAAAGAATAACCTGTGCAAGAGCTAGAGCTGAAAGTGGTGTATCTTCGGCCGGCTTCACAACCACCGTGCAACCAATCGCTAGTGCTGCTGCTGCTTTTCGAGTTATCATTGCGGATGGGAAGTTCCACTGCAGTTGGAGATAGGTAAATGATAAGGTGAAAAAGTTAAGGTGACTAGAATTTTCTAATTGGACAATTAATAGCCGTGTCAATCGGGCTTCTGTTGGGTCTAATTCAATAAATAAGAAAAGACCTATCAGTTCAAGGTTAAGCTTTTTTTGGCGAAGACTTCAACCAAAACTTAAAAGAAAAAATTGATTGAAAAACTTGCAGGTGTAATAATTCCAACGACGCCAATCGGCTCACGAGTATGGAAATGTACCCGATGTGTCGATGTAGGCTTAATGATCTGTCCATGTATTCTTCGGGCTTCTTCGCCAAACCATTTCAAAAATGATGCTGAATAAATAATTTCACCACGTGCTTCTTCTAGTGGTTTACCCTAAAAATGCCAAATCAGTGCATTTTCTTATCCAATCAGAGAAGAATAGATTCTCAAGATATATGGAACACATATAAACTTAAGAAATGCAAAAATTAAATAATACTTCATAGGAATCAACAAAGATACTTCTTCAAGGGTGATCAGTTCGGCTAACTCATTCTGCTTTTCCAACATTCTACGGTGCCAGCTTTCTAGCATTCCACCACGTTCTTTAGCAGTTGTGGACGATGACCATGCGCTGTAGGCTTCCCGTGCTGCTTTCACAGACTTCAATTTTGAAATTTTATTGCAATCTTTATTTTATTGAGAATCGCTAAATTTAATTCTTATCTTATGAATTTTATTCAACTGGTGCATGACTTGCTTTTTCAGCATCGACCGCATCGCAATTGGTACATTCGCATATAACTTCATAATTGTATGGATTTGATACTTGAAATGTGGCACATGATGATGCATTAGTCCACTGACCTACAATGAGCCGATAATTCTCGGAATGCTTCTGTTTATCTGGTTAAAAAGCTGAAATTCACGATACTATTCGAGTTTTGTGCTCTCTGATTATTTCCAGATGTTTGTTATCAAAATAAAACCAAGATAGTTACAAAATGCTTCCGCATGATCGAAGTATAGCAGTTTCATATGGATAATATCTTAAATTTTGATTTTCTTTCAAATTTCTCATTTATTCTTTCTTCTATGCTATATGCTATTTTTCTATCGGTAGTAATTTGGTGTAAAGATATCTTCAGAGGAAGAAGCATAATGAACTGAAATGAGAATAAAAAATTAGAAATAAAAATCAAAATAAAAAATTATTGAGGGAATAATACCGTTGATGAAGGCCTTTGCACCTTCAGGTAAAAGCGATGTTTGATAGTACCGTAAGCCAAGAAAAGACTGCGTAATACATCGACTGAATAAATGCGCCGCCTTTATATTCATTCCACTGAATAACTAATCATTAAGTTAATTGGAAAATTTTTTAGAATTCCAACGAATATTACAACTATCATAGATAATATAATAATTATTCCACATATAATAATTACTACCATCACCACAGACATCAATATTTGCACAATGATATCGCATCGTATTCGCTTCAATCATGCCATCACCGCTTTTGTAACTGACATATTTATGTGGTTTCAGTACAGAGAGACCGTGGAGAAGAAAACTTAATGACTGAGGCAATTCAAATTAAAACCGAGGTAATTTTATATTATTAAATGTACTGAAAGGAAGAGGGTTGAGACCACACGATTAGCTTTGGAATTGCTAAAACACTCGTTTAAATGAACGAATTAACTAAGCCTTGTCATATTTCATCACAGTTGACTCTTTTAGTTTAGAAATCACTGAGAGCAAATGTTAATATCAGTGCAATGATTGACCACTCCACGTCATTAATTTCTGAATTCCGAATATCCCTTTATCGAAATTGAACTCACCTATCAACCAGAAGAATTAGACCGGCTGAATTGTTCTCGAGCTGGGTTCACAAAGTTAACAAACTAATCCAATAATAATAAGTGTTTCTTACCGTTGAAATGAACCACAGCAATTCACAATAATAAATTACCTCATTAAATTATTTGCTTTTCTATTTAAAGCTATTAAATAAATTGGACCAGAAAATAGTTGGAATACGAGAATAGCAAAGATGAAGTGGATGTCCACGAAGACTTCATTAGAAGTCAATCGGAAAACTAGGAACCGAAAATAAACTGAAGGATTCAAGGAATAACACAATATTTTGGAAAGTTAAGCCAATTAACAGTTGGCCATACTCGTCATTGCATCATGCCGAACATTCCAAGATGGGTCTAGCAAAAGTATATAAACAATTCTGGATAACATCGAACAATTCCTCTGTAAACTTACGGAACGAAACGGCAACAACAAACAACACACCAATACACAAATACATAAACTGGGAAATTGTCTTTTGCCACAATTTTTGGTTGTAGCATTTCGAGTTCACCGAGGGAAACGAAGATGAGGCGGGAATTTGTTCGTGGGAAGGGGTCAGAAAGTTGCATTTCGTTCTTGGCTTTTGAGATTTTCTTCATTTTTTTGTATTTGTGTTGCGATTAAATCTCAGGAGCCAAGATTGCCTGTCAGAGCATAAGAAGTAAGCCATGGAACAGGTCATCACTAATTGTCGAACGGTTCAAGTCATAGCTTTCAAATCATACTTGATTAGAAAAACTTCGCGTATCGAGAAGTATTATGAATTATTATGATGGATGATAGGGTAGTCATTTGGTACTCTTTCGAAAGCCACTAAAATGGAAACAGGATGATTCAGTAATACTTCTGAAAGACTTTGTTATAGAATATATGATCCTATTAGGAGCCTCATTGATGAGATATTCTAAATACCCGTCGTCGAGACATTATCTCGTCATTCCATCCATCATATGTTATTATCACTTCTTACTTTAACAGAAATTCGGAACTGCCGCCAGTACTGACCTGTTAATTGCTCTGTTCAGAATGAATCCATTCTTTCCTCTCAGTTTATAATTTCTTTCTCGCTGAAGTAATTCGATCACTTGAAAATTTTTATGCCGTTCACTAAGATGTCATATCAAAGGTTGCACCCAGTTTTTGCACTATTTTGATAGCTTCCGCTTCATTAACAAAATGTATTATTTGAATGATTAGTCGAATTGGTTCTTTCTATATAAACTATTTTTAGCATAGAAGAATGGAAGACTCAGCTAGTTCAGCAACCCAGACGCAATTACCCATCACACGTGTTAGGAAAATATTTAGACTTGGTTCGAACTGCACGACCATTTCAGTTAAGGCCGTACAACTTCTCACTCTTGCTGCGGTGTGTTACTTTTTTTTGAAAATATTGATTCTTTTCCTTTTTTGTAAATCTCGTATAAGTTTTTGTAGGAATTTCAGGAACGTTTCACTGGATTGCTGGCAAAAGCAGCTTATGGGCAAGCGGTTTTTGACAAACGAAAAACTCTTCAGCTAAGAGATCTTGGTAGTATTTTGTTATATTCATTAGTTATTTTACATATTTTTCAATTTATAATAGTACTTAGAAGTTAAACCAATGACATTGAACGAGGAAATTCTTAGGTAAGGTTTTAATTTGGTTGCGGTTTTCTTTTCAGAATTTTGTATAAAGAATTACGAACTGTTTAATTTTCTGGATGGTGCATTGGATGGATGGCCGGAAGTTAACGGGGGAAAACACGGTCTTGGTAATGGATCAAGCGTTACTGTGACTGCAAAAAGGTCAGAGGGAATTGTTGCTCTTGATGGAGATGAAGAACAAGAAGACTTCAGTGTTGATGCTAATAGCTTCTTAAGTGATGAGATATTTGGTTTCGACGAGTCATCAGAAAGAACCGAGCCATTTGATGGCCAGATTGCTGAAATGGATAATGTTGTAACTACCAAGAATACAGAAATCGTTAAGGATATTGTTCGAGAAGTCTAAAGCGTATAGTTTTTGGCCACTACGGCTATTTAGTTTTTTTTGGACCATTTTCCAATGAATTCAACTGTTGCTACGCTAGTTTAAAGTAATGTTGTTAAGGTAGGAGCTAATATGATGCGTGGGAGTCATGCAAGCAATTGATATTTCAGCACAATATGATTCACTGAATAGGATTAAATTTTAATTAGCAGTGATATCATCGACTTTTTGTCTGATATACAATCTTTAGTAATCAGGCAGCTGTCATTATTGCCAGGTTCTATTACGTCGATCAGTAATTAGGACCATCCAGAAAGGAACAAATATTAATTTATAAGTTATTCAGAAAAACCAGTGCATGCCATATTACAACAATTAATATCCATATCACTGAACTGTTTACTGGAAATGTGTCATTAAGCAATTAACCATATATATAGTTAATATTTATTTTATAGTGATTCAGCTTTGTCATCAGTCAACTATAGCATATTTATAATATGCAATTTTTCGAAACTTCAAGTTATATTTTTTCATGTTGTTTTGCTTAGAATAGTTTTATTTTTATCAGTATATCTGTTTAGTCGTAGATTGATTGCAGACATTTAATTTCTTTTGCCTTAATATACACACAGTTGCTGCTTCCATTTCATTCCTTATGGCATTTTCATGTTTTGCGCTTCTTAGCTGTTCATTTGATTATTTGAACTTTCCTGATTGATTTCTAAATTCAAATTGTGAAAATTACAAAGCTTGCAGAGTTTGGGATGATTTTTCATGGTTTCCTGAATCTTTAATACAATTGCTTTACTGGAATGTTACACTTAGAGTTTGCTCTTATTTGATGGCTTAAAAAGTTGTAATAATAACAAAGCTTTTTCCTTGTTCCCTTCAATTTTGAATTTGCCAAATGTGATTGCCATTGTCGGTGACATTTCGCCACTGAATAGCTTGCACAATGTTTGTAGGTCTGTTATGAAATGCACATCCACATGTTCGGCATCATTTAACGATTTATAGACTCCACCTTGTCCATTCTTCAGATTAAAATATATGCTATGAATTTTTTGACCTGGAAATGAAACAACTGTTCTGAGTAAAGTGAATGGTAGTTCCTGGAAGAAAATGCTGGCTAACAACCAACATCTGCTTATTATGTTAAAACCCAATTTGCGAAGCATCCATCGCATACTAAAGAGAAGCATTCTATAGCTGTTGAAATCAAGCCAAAAAGGATAGTAGAAGATATGACCGCCGTGAGAGATAGGATACAAATCTATAAAGTGCCATATAAGACACAGTAAATAATTTTAGAAAGTATTTTGGAACTATTCACCTTCTATCACATCGAGTTGGTAGATCGCTCGAACCTTCTGTACCAAATCCGGAGTAATACTTTGTTTGGTCTCATTTATCATTGCATTTAGGGACGAAATTGAAGTGATTGTTTCAGAATCTGTTGTTTCCGCAACATCAGGAAGAAAAAAGTCTTCTAATAATGTTGCTCCTGGATATAGTGCTCTTCAATATTCGACAATCATTTATAAATTGAAATTGAGAATTTTCTTTCCAATATTATAACGAAAATTAAGATTAGGGACGAAGAATATGTGGTCAAGATATTAATTAATTAGTCGAAACATTCATTAGACAAGCTTTTTGGATTTCACTGGACGACAATTCAATCTCCATAAAATTACCTGGTTTAAGGGAATATTGATTGAAATCTTGTATTCCTTCTTCCCGTAAAATTTCATCGTCAATGACAAAATTTCCAGTATAGCGGGCACTATCACGAGAAAGTAATGCATATGCAGCATCCGCCATAATTGTAGGCTTGCGGCAACTCTAAGATTTTCTAATACTACTTCATATGAAATATATGAACAAAATTTACGCCATTATTCCTGAAGTTCATGCAAAGAGTATATTCCCAGAATAAAACTCAGTGCAACTTGTATGAGCACGATTCTATTTCAGCCCAAATTTAACAGCAATATTGGGAATGATAGTTTTTTAGCTTTTTTTTTTATTTCGATTCTTATCTCACCATTGATTCATCCACGTTCTACATGATAATAAAAAATTATCAATTTTATTTATTTAAAAGATAAAATGGAGGGACGAACATTTTGAGCAATTCCAGAGGAAATCATATCCATCGCAGCAGTCCAAATAACTGTTCTTGGCCACAATGCATTCACAGCAATATTGAAAGGCCGTAGTTCCTCGTGCATTCCCAAAACACACATTGACATGCCATACTTCGCCATTGTATAGGCTGAACAAAGATGTTTGAACAGAATTTGGTAATTATCATTCTTTTTCTATTCTTTATTCTCCGTTCTTAATTCTTAATTTCCCTTGTTTCTATTTTTTCATTACTCATCAATTCTTTCATTTATTCCTTACTCCGCTCGGCTCTCTTCATTAACGCTTACCGACGTGATTGGCAAACCATTGTTTGGCCATATTTAATGGTGGACTGATATTCAAAATGTGAGGATTTTTGCCATTTTTTAAAAATGGTATGCATTTTTGGGACCTGAAAAGGCGCTGTTGTTGAATAAGGATGCGTTCGAATTGCAGTTTTCTCTGATTTTAAATTTTTTACTGAGCAATTTCATTAAACTGATTTCTCCGGAGTTAATCATACACTACACCGATATGTTGTTTATAGCATGCTTACATCAGGAAAGTTCCACGTGTATTGATTTGATGCATCAAGTCAAACTTTTTCATCGTTGTTTCTAATGTCCCGCTAAGCGATATAGCACTAGCATTATTAATTAGAATATCGAGTCCACCGAATTTCTCGACTGCTTTTGAGACCGCTCTTGTTACTGACTGTTCGTCACGTACGTCGACTACACATGCCAATCCTTTACCACCTGCCTACAATCAGAATTATATCATCGTAATAAGTCAAACAAGAAATTCTTTAAGAAGTAAAATGTTACGCGAAATCAGAGAAGTAATTGGAATTTTAAAGCTTTAAACAGTAGCACGTAATGGAAAAATGAAACAATTCTTCATTGGGTGAAATCACGCGTTAGGTTATAAGTGAAGTCAGAAGCCTATGCCGCTAGCGTTAGCGTCAACCTCACGTTTGTATTTCACGTAGTTGCTACAAAAAGACAAATAACCTTTTCGATATCCTCCACAGCTGAATAAATTGTTCCTGGCAGTTTTGGATGTGGCTCAGTAGTTTTAGCAGCCACAACAATATTAGCACCATCTTTGGCTAGCTTCAGAGCAATTTCTTTGCCAATACCACGAGAAGCTCCCGTGATGATTGCTGTCCGTCCTGCAAACTTCCTGGAAATGCCAGGATGCATATTGTTATTATTAACAATATTCCAGGTGTTTTAGTTCTAATGGTTTTACAGACCATTCTGCTATCTAACAATTTCTAAAACTAATTTCGATTTTTCGCAATTAAAAAGAGGTCCGTTATAATAGAAGCTTACACTTACCAAATCGATTTGATAGATTTTTTGAAAGTTCAATTAGTGACTGAACTAGGTTGATAGAAGAGAATTTAACATAATAGTATGAGATAAAGTATTGGCTAAATAAATAGTTGAAATTTCGAAATCATAAGCCCTTTAGCCAGAGATATGATTTATTCTCAGATGGGTAAAAAGAAACGAAACATTCGTGAAAGCTGTAGCTCTAAAAATTCACTTATTTTAACAATGTGATAAAACTTAAAAAAGAAAAAAATAAACGAACCCGGTTGTAATCATCGTACCTGGAGTGAACCTGTAACCTTTAACCAGTGTTTGAAAATTCTAAAGATTTAAGAAGATATGGAGCTGTTTTAGTAGCGAACAGGTCTCCATCAATAAAGAAATCAGTCAAACGAATAATGAAAGTATGAAATAACAGCGTTGCAACGAATTGATATGTGAAAAATACGGAAGTGTCATAATAATTTCATTCTTTCTTCCTTTTTCCTTACAATGAAAGTTTCAGGTGGATCTTTCTTCCCCTTTATCGCTCGATTCATTTTAACTTTCCCGAATTTTAATGCAGTTCTCATATATAAAAAAAATGATATTCTCAACTGTACGCCAACACCTATACGTCCACCTTAATAAGTAAAACATTCATTCAGCCGTACATCATAAAGATTTCACATCAGCCAATCTCACTCTATCTTTCTTGGATAATGTTTGCAACATGTAATTTAAAAAGTGCACTGTAAATGTATATTCTTATGCTTAGTTAATGTGATAAGTCTTATCACTGTAGAAAGTGGCGGAAAGTGAGATGGTTTCTTCAATCAAAAGTCAGAAAAAATGAATTTATGCTTCAATTGCTGAAATAATTTCTTAAGCATATGTTTCAATGGCTGATATGAATCGTCAAAATAAAGGAAGGATATCAAACATCGTTGAATTTAGGCTTCTTATTACTAGGTGCAATAGCGCTTGCTTGAATCGAATGGTCGGCTTAGAGTTCTGGTTGATTCCAAATGCGGATAAATTGGACCGAGTCATCAATAGGATGATCGCGAGAATAGTTCAGTGCTAATTTGATACCTTGAATAGCATCGAGTTTCTCATAGCGATATTGCCCGCAAGTGATAAAATCTCTGATTAGCATTCTTTCGTGCTATCGCACTATCGAGATATGAAACCTAAAGATATACCCATTTGATTCAAATGCTAATCAAATACATCTCTCTTACACTTCCAATTGAATACAAATATCGCACTTAATAAACATCTACAGCAAGTCATTTTCACTGAATCTGACTAACTATTTACATTTATCGTTTTATCACAGTTCCTAGGCGGTAATGCAAAGCAAACGAATTGCAAATAAAAGGAGCGCATGCACTTCCTATTGAATATTTAATTTTTTTCTTCCAACAAATTCCTTATAGAAGTATGGTAATTTTAAACTTTTCAAATTTTTGATTTTAGAATTTTTGACTTACTCCATGCTTAAACCTAATATATGCCAAAAGAGACAGGAAAAACCGTCGCAGAGATTTAAAATGAATGACCTCCTTCATGTTTTCGGTTATTAAAAATCTAAGAAGGTAAAAAAGGCATAAGAAAATTTGAAAAAATCTTTGTTCTCCTGAAATTGGAGAAATTCAAAAGTTCGCTGGCTACAACGTTATTTTTTAAATTTTGACCTGATATAAGGAAACGCCATAGCAAATGATTATGTTCAGCAATTCCACCACTTCAGAAATTAGGCCACCAACAAATTCCCAGAATGTATTTTTAAGATCAGTGACTCTGCATACATCACAACTCCCAGTTTATGAAGTGATTTTTCAATTGTGTAACTTCTGTTGTTTCATTGTGAATAATCTGTAGAGTTGAAATTCATTAGCTAACCAAAATTTAGAATTAGTGTCTTATGAAACCTCTATTATTATTTCAAAAATGAAAAGAAATGTAGTTATAATCGTAATTCAATGCCTCCGGACTATCGAAATCACGAACTGTGTAAGCAAATTCAAAGGTCAAACTGTCAAGCCGCTGTGCACCCTTTCAGGCCTATCTTTAATCACCTCTTCCTTTAATCTCTTCAACTGTCGTATTATACGGTATTCGTACAACTAACTTTTATAGAGTTATTTGAAGCATTGCGTATATCAGCAGAAGCCAAAAAATCAATTCCAGACCCATACAATGACCATGGATAGTGATGATCACTGGTTTCGGAAAAAAAAGCTGTCCTGACATGAAGCTTCTACGATTTATGATTAGCGTTCATAATATTACTATGAACAATAGCGGAAGTTGCTAGAAATTACTGAAACAATGAAATTTCCATTTTTCCTACACTTCAACATGCATATATTGAATACAGCAAGAAATTTCAATCGCGCAGGAAAAAAGAAAAAATTCAAAAAGCTGTCAAAAGCAGACGTTAAATTCATCTTTGAGATTGATCCTACACAAAATGACTTTCCGGCTCATACAATACAACTGGACGGCATTTGGAATTGGTTGCTAGATGGCCGAAAACACTTCGACGTTCTCACAATTATGTTTGTTGCATAAACAATGTTGAAACAAAAATATTTTATAATAAAAATTGAATTTTTGACATTTGAAATATATCAACGAATCTCCAGAATGGAAGAGTGGACGCAGTTCTGGTTTCTGGTCGATTTAATCTAACATTGAATACATATTGGCGGTGTTGAATTATCTCGATGAAGTATAAAACGGAAGGTAAACTTTTTTATACTTCGAAAACTTGGAAATTGTTGCGAAAGGGATATCTTTTTGTTCATCTAATTGAAAGAATTAGTTTGAAATAAGATCGGATGGATTATGATAGGATTGCACGAGAGTGAGTCTTTTTTTTCTAACCGGTTACGAAGAGATCCTACAAGCGAAAGTACATGAGGAAGAAGAGGTACTGGGAAGCAATGATTCATTCGAAAAATTTTAGATAATTAAATTTATCGACAAAAAGAATACATCATCGTTACAATTTGCTCTTCTTTTCCTCAGTCACACAATGCGGAATAAATGATGACACACCATCAAACTTGCGGGGTACAAGAAAACTTCGGACTTTGGACCGTTACTATTGTGTAGTTGTTGACAGCAATGAAAACGAGTAGAGAAGGAAGGAAATGACGGTTCAGAATAAATACCTCGCAAGAAATTGTACGCCAACAGTGATATGTAAAATCCTCTATCAGTGATAACAAGGTTGATGGATTACGTATGTTTCTCAAACTGTTGAAAGTATCTATTTTCAAACTTTCAAAACTGTTCAAATTCTGTCTGTCTAAACATACGCAAACTGCCGGCAGTATTGCACAAATCATGTATTTCAAGAAAATGCAGTACCGACGGTGATCGTCTTCAATGTTGATTTGTTGTAAAGTTATCTGCTTCCTTCAAATAACATTGATAGTTAATCCGAAAAGTACTTATTACAGAAAGAAATTTGGAAGATCATAAAATATGTTAAAGCCCGTTGACTTTCCCGTTAGCAACTTTTTCATTTGATATCGTTAAGCAGTGGAACATAATCGGATAAGGTAAGATAAAGCGATGATTGCACTGCAAAACTTCTGACAATAAAAATGTAGGAGAAACTAATTCACGGTATACTAGTACTAGGGGACTGCTTGACTAGAAGGAACCACTATGAAAACGATCGGTAAGCGCTGATAACAAGAGGAAACTTGTTCGCTCATATAATCTATCTATCTATCTATCTATCTATCTATCTATCTATATATATATATATATATATTGTCTGATTAGATTAATCAAGTTGTGATATTTGAGTAATGAAAGGACAATCAGATTATTGAGGATGAAAACTTTTACGTGAATAAGTGCAATACCGAAGAATGTCTACTTATTGATGTGGAAATCCTGAAGTATGATCTCACTGGTCAGGATGTAACATGATTCACTAGGTTTTTTTCATTCGATACAATAGATCGTCAACTCTCTTCAGTTTCGCTCGACTATTAAAACTCTCAGAAAAATCAAGTTGCATTTGCCGCAGGTTATAATTAGCAATAATGTTCGAAAGAGTAACAGATATAATTTTAGCCACCTTGACAGAGTACCAAGTTTTAAACTGATGGCGAGCAGATAAACGCGTAAAATAAATTTTTAATATCCCTCCAGATGGATCAATACATATCGATGATAATGAAAATCCAATAATGAAGAGATAGAGCAAAATAATGAATTTGTTTTTTTCAAATTTCACTCTTCTTACAACTAAATGTCAACTAATTCATCAGCATTTTCTCTCCAATTCTCGTTTAAGCTCTGTTCCTTCATCAAGCTGACAGCAAAAGTGAGGTGGAAGCTCCCTGGATGGATTGTGCTATTAACAATACTTCGTCATAAATATGATTTCATCATGGAAGAATTTCTGGGAAGAGACGGAATTACTTTGTCATTGCATTTCTTGGAATAATTATGCGAATTAGCACTTGGAAGAACAGGAGATAGAGTCCGTTCCTCGCAGATTCACTCGAAATTTTCGATGATCTGATTTCTTTTTTTTCTTTCTAATTTTAGTTAAGTAGAAACACTATAAGCGATCAATATGTTGAAGAGGTTTTTAGAACAAGTCTTATATCATGTAGTTTATTTCTAGTACCTTCCACTTTACAATGATTTTTCAAACTTATGAAGGCTAGAATTTAGAACATTTCACATTTCTTCGGGACTAAAAGTCTTCATGCAAGGAATGTCCCCAAACGTAAACCATTCAAATCATACGATCGAATCAGCCTTGAGATCCTATTTATTTTTGCATATTGCCACCTTCCGATATCTAAACCAGCGAAAAAAACTTTCTAACTTCTATGAAAGTAATAAAGCATACATGTGTACACGATGATAAAGTAAAGATAAATCGTATCGTTGACATTATTGGATGCTTAAATGGTCATTATGCAGTCAATCTATGGAAGCATGACAAGGAACTGGTTTTGATCAATGATATGATCATGATGACCAGGATAGCAATCAGTTTCCAAAATCCACAAAAAAGTTTTCTTGAAGACAATTTTTCGCATTTATATTTGATAAGAAAATAAGAAATATATTTCGATAGGCTATAAAAAGATGTGCATTAATGAGATGATGATGTCATGTACTGATGTTGTCATGTACATGTACATTGATAGATAACGCTAGACTAACAGCACAAACAAATCTATAAATCTTCAATATTTCGTTCTTCCGAAAAAAGACAAATACATAAATTGTGAAAAAAGATTAAGATTGGAAAAATCAAAATATATATTATAAAAATGATTGATCATTTGTTCGGAATCCGAACTTTCAAAAAAGAGTTTTAAGTAAATTCAATTCTTAAATTATAATTGAGTTTTATTTAAGATTCTGCATTGGACAGGAAAAAATTAGTGTAGAACTTTTTTACTTGAGGTAATCTGGAAAAAAAGATGTTTAAATAATCGTAGCATAACAGTTCGACGAAAAGTGCAGGGAAAGTAGGAAAAGGGTAAGAGCAAAGAAAACAAATGTTTTTAGAAACTCTTGAAATTTACTGCTTCAAATTCTCAACGAAAACATATCTCTCTAAAATGTCTCGAAATACATTGCCGACAAAATGAAATTGCATTGTTGAGCAATAGCGTCAAACAACTGAAGGAGAAAAGGAAGAGATAAAATTCAACCCCAATCATCGATTGAAAGATAAAACTTAAACATTTAATTGATAGGACAAGCACCATAATTAATTTTCAACCATTATTAGCTCGGAAAATGTCTATGGAAGTGAAACAAACAAATTGGGAATAGTATATTTTCAGTAAAAGAGAAAACTGTCGATTATTTGCGTCGAAAAATATCGAAGGATCTACATATATTGGGTTTTTTTGAGCCTTCTCCAAATTCGTAATTATCTATGCTGCATTTCGAGCGAATCGAGATTTACCACGAGCCAGCTCTTCTTGTATGTCTTCTACATTACGACCTTTCGTCTCCGGTACGTACATCCAGGTGAAGAATGCAAAAAATGCCAGGAAACCAGAGAAAATCAGGAAAGTGTACTGATGAAACAGTTGCTGAAAATTTCCGAATCCGTTTGTACGACTTCGTAAATGTATCGTACTACAGGAGAATACTGTACGTTAAAGAATTATTTCATTCATCGATACACAAATATGTATCAATGCCTAGAGTAATGCTCAGAAAGATGGGATACTAAAAAATTCGCAGATCGTCGAATGTTTTTACGATTATTTATAGAGTTATTAAAGAAATAAAACATAGAATTGTGCTTACGTGGAGGAATTCGAAGGATGTTCCGACGAGAAAGTTTGCAGTCCAGTTTGTTGCTGCAGCTACCGAATTTGCGGCACCACGTGCACCTGATGTGAAAAGTTCCGAAACAAAGAACCATGGAATGGAACCTGCAAAAAACATCAAAAAGTCAGTTTTCTAACAAATTTATTTATCAGCAATATCGCGGCTTCAGTGATAAATAAGGTAGCTGCCGTATTTACAAGAATTCAATTCTTTCATTTTCTATTTTCATTTCAAGTAAATCGCAAGCCTGATTGTTACCTGGACCAGTGGCGAAGAAAATTACGAAAAGAAAGACGAATAAACAAGCTGGATAAGATGCCCATTTGTTGCTTGTTGGATCTGATGTCTGTAAAAATATTGCCCATTTTCTTTTCTGTCCGCTTATAGTTTTAATCAAAAGTTTTTTAACGCGATTCAATATATGAACAAATACTGATCCATTTAATAGCGTGCACTTACGTAGATTGAAATGAAGATAACAATAGCGATAGAAGCGAAGAACATTCCAATCAATCCAATCATGAGCAACATGACACGTCCACATTTCGGATGGTCTACCTGAATTTGCAATATTTTTTAATGATAAAAGCCACGAAGAATTTCAAAAATATACATCAAGAATTATAGTAAAAATAACAAAAAAAAAATATTCGAACTCTTCATAACCTCGATAGAAGTGGGATAACAGACAAGGTTATTTCATTAATCTCATTTCAAGTTAATATTAGGAAATTTCCTGTAAAACTGATTCTTTTTTCTGGCCTGCATCATCCATCTTTCCAATGACTGAACAAAAAATGATTTGAAATCCTGTGAAATTCAACAAAGTATTCAGAAAATATTGAAAAAAATCTTACCAAGTACACAGAGATAACAGTCATGAGGACGTTAATCAAACCCATCACCAGGGTAGCATATACCGCTTTATCACCCAATCCCGCACCTTCGAAAATCATCGTAGAGAAAAACATGGCGACATTGATACCAGAAAACTGCTGCGCTAACATCATTAAAATTGCAATAATCATGGGCCATAGCAAATTACCACGAAACAAATCAAAGATACCCATCTTGGGAACAGCGTTTATCTTGGCTTGTTCCTCTTTCATCACATCAATTTCGGCTTTCACCTAGAAAATTCATTTCAGTGCGGTTCTCACTTCTTCATCCATTGTATATTTCCAAATTGCCAATATAATTTTTCGACAGCATCAATTTTAGGCAAAAGCCTAGAAGCACTACATTCATTCCAAAAGTAAGAAAAAATATTACATTGTCCTTTCCTCGCAATTTTTTCAGATCCTCTTCAGCCTGTTCGGCGCGATTCTTTACAATCAAATTATACTTGGGCGATTCCGGAATCATCGGTAGTGTAGCTATTTGGAAAATCACTGGTACCACGGTGAATCCTATGCGATAATATTTTTACCGAATTAAAATTTCAGATTTCTGGATGACTCAAAATTGGAAAGATAATTGATAAGCTTGTCATTAAACACAAACTGACAAGCAGAAAATGATTAACGCAATCAAAATTTTTTCCTTTACTTTCTCACAATAACAAAATTAAAAAACGGATTTTGTAAGTCGAAACAAAACTCACCGAAAATCATCGGCCACAGTTTCTCCGATCCAAGAATTTGTGGTAGACCGATAATTTGGGAGAACAAAATGCCGATAGTAACCAAAAGTTGCGCAACACTGCCCAGAGAACCACGTAAATTGACCGGTGATATCTCGGTAAGGTACATCGGTACTAGGCCTGAGCTTAAACCTGAAATCATAAGCACAATGCAACCAATGGCATTGTTTTATAAATTGGTAACAGTTTCGAGACGTATAGAGATGTAAGTGGAATAATATTGAAATGTTTTGAAAGCATTGGATATAACTACTTTTCAACATCAATGATTTTCAATAATAAATGAATGTTTTTAACTAATTTGAGGCAATCATACCTGTTGGCACCTTTCTTGTCACTAATTAGGTATCAAATGAAAAATAATTAAGATTATGAATGATCGAAATACTTACCACAGTTGATGCCAATAATAAGACGTCCAATGATTAGCAATGGATATACATTAACATAATAAGCCAATGTCATCAGCACAGCAGCAAAGACAGCCACAACATTATTAAATACCATAGCACCTTTACGACCTAACCAATCTGCCATTTTACCGGATCCCAATCCGCCAATCATACCACCTACAGCGAATATACCAACTGCTATGGCCCTGAAGAATTGCAACAAATAATTTCAATTAAATACCACTGGCAAAACCTTTAAATATACGAAATGAATGCTTGGATTTCAATTTTTTTAAATCCGAAGTCAACAGCTTTTCTTTCAAATTGCAAAGACCTATAATAATCCAACTAATTGAATTGAATTGAATAGCAATAAATAATTTCTTGAAGTAATAATAATAATGGTAACAAGAAAAGTTAAGATGACATACCACTGAACTCTGCCAATTTCATCAAGCGTCAATGTTTCATCGAAAAGTTTTTTATGTGAATCGATCATCCATAATTTAATAATCTAGAATTGCACTTTGATCAAAAACCTATGCAAGTTTAATCTACTATAAGATAAAATAGAAAACGGATAAGATGGCCAAAGTTTTAAGAAACACTGAATACTTTTGCAGGAACATTGACACATCCGATATGATAACCGAATTGAAATGAACCACCGATTGCTGCCGATGCAACGGCCATCAGCAAAGACTGTGTCCATCCCCCCTGAAATTTCCAAATGGTTATTGAAATTCAAAGATGAAGCAGTATCTAATGTTGAATTTAATTATATTTTATTCGATAAAATTTGTTTATATGGTGCAGTAGAAAAACAATTGCAGCGTCCTTGAAGTTTACATGAAATGAAACAACAAATATTCCTTCCCACTACCCAATCTATACATTATTTTAATTTCAGAGGACTAGTTTGAAATAGTAAAAAGTCGCAAATCAATCATTTTTTTCCACCATATCCCATACTTTATAGAGACAGTCAGAAAGATATATGGCTCTAAGGATGCCTTCTAGTAAACTTATTTTTTCTTGAAGATAAGTAGAAAAGACACGAGAAAAGAGAGATTAAAGTGCGTTTCACATGCGCGACTAAAAATTGGAAACAGTTAAATTTCAAACTTTGGAAGAAGTTAAAGTATAGCGAAGAATAATACATACTTCACCTCTTTGTTGACCTTTTCTCAGCATCTTCTCAATACGCAATGGTTCAATTTGCAAATAGTTTGTCAAAAAATACAATTATTTTTTTAAGGCAAAATGGTCGTCTGCTATGAACGATAACACAATGTTCGGTACAGGAGAGGATGTTGTTGCTGAATTGATTTCGCTTAGGTTCCGTGTTCTGCTTTCAGCTCCGGACCTGATCCAACAATAAATACCTTATCACGTGACGAACTATACAGTGAGAGAATTCGAATAAAATCTCTTGTCGTGACTTCAAAATTAAAACGCAATTAAATCACGTGAAAACTAAAGCTACTTTATTTCCCTTTCTATCGATAATTAGAGAAGAAATTAATAAAGTAATTCAATAAATAGCACTCATTAGACGTTTCAGTCAATTGCTATTCGAATTTTTCAGTTTCGGTTTTTCATGCTTCATAAAATTCGGCTTTATTTAAAACAGATAACTGACAAGATTTTCAATGAGGGAAAAAAATTTTTAACTAGGGGTAACCATATTTTTTCTAATCTACATCTTTTCTTTAAACGTTAGATTTATTAGTGAGAAAGTAATGAAGATCAGTTGTGATTTGTTCAGTTCAAAAAATTGCAAATAGGAAAGAGCGTAGAGGCAACATTATCATTCGGAGCTGATGATTATCACCTCTCTAGATGAAGTAAACTATCTCTGCATTCAAGTAATAATTCGATAACAGAAAGTAGAAAGGAATAACTTTTGGCAATATCATGATATTAGTAGAAGAGAACAAAAGATGAAAATGAGAAAATAAGAGAAGAAACAGCTCTCTCACAAAATCACTTCCTCAATTTCTGATAACATAAACACAAATGTTGATCATTGTTGCAGAGTTATTTTAATGAATATTCATGAAATAATAAAAGACGATTAGTTGCAAACCACTACAAAGTTACTAATAATGCCGTGGTAGTGATCAACGATTGTAAAAAGCAGTAATCAGAAAAAGAAATGGCAGGAGGATTTTCGATGGTGAACACAACTTCTTGTTGGTCCCCTAATTCCTCAATTGTACAACTTAAAAGTAATTCTAAACATCAGTAACTATATGACAATTATCAGGAAGGCATATGAGTGATCTATTCCAGGAAAACAGCTCAATAAAACTGTAAGATTTTCAAAGTACTGGAAAATCGAGTTTCACTCTAACCAATACGAAGTTAACAGTTAAACAGAGTCAATCTAATTGGATTTTGCAGGAATATCTGTTATCGGTTATATATCTATTATCGCTTATCAATGTCAATTGAAAGGTTAGAATGATTGGCAGAGATGTTATCCAACATCGATCCAAAGAGACAATTTTCTTTGATAAGCAACAGAAATATGAAGAAAGTGTTCAGTTTACAGCACCCTTCACGACACTTCACTACATCCTATATGACACTACATTATGCAAAGATTTTATTTCTTTCATCAGTTCTACAATGTCACCACAGCAAGTTAAAAGCAAATTTGTCAAAATATATAAAAAGTTACCATAATAGATTAGAAAAGAAACAACAAGCTGAAATCTTTTGATAAAAGATGAGTTACACAAAATGTTGGGTGAACAATGTAAAACTGAATGGATTTCCAGTTAATTACAACTGCAAGTGATAGCGAAAAAGAAAATAAAGTGTGCATGTGCTGTTGCCATGAAACTGATTGGTTTAATGAAAACATATAAAAGATGAAACATTGAAAAATAAAAGTGAGAGAATAAGAAAAGAAGAATGAAAGATTTCTAGCGATATCTCACAAGATATCAACTTCGAGAGATAAAAAGTCAATAGGAAGGTAAAAACTTTTTATGCGTGTAATGAGAGTAATGGTCCGTACATCGCTCTTGACGTAAATGAAATAAAGGCATGTAGCGGACTATAAAACAATATATCACCACTGAGCACCACCAACTACTACTATGATACTCGCCATATCGGTAAGATCATTTTCACGGTCTTTCCATGTCAAATGTTATTCATCATCGACGGGACAACATCCCATCGAACCTTATTCGTCTCCCTATCACTGCCTTCATCTTACACAATAGCAGAATCGTATGGTTGTCAAAAAATCATTTGAAGTGTACAATGTGCAATTTAATATTATTTGTTATATTTATTGTTGAAAATTTAGATTAAGTTATATTTGTTTTTGATAATAGTGGAATGAAAGTCCGGTTTAGACAGGATCTCCATGAAAATATGAGAGAGACGCAAAATTAAAATGACTGATAAAGAGAGGATGTGAACTTCAGAAAGGCCGAAAACCACTGCAACTTCCCGTTGAAAAGTCATTTGTTGCAGCATTCGCTTTTTTTGTAAGTAACAAAATACTTTTTCCTTCTTTCTATTTTGAAAGGCTACGTAGTTAAGGACTGAAAGTTTAAAGAAAGCAACAAGCCGACTCGATCAGTGCCACAACTGCTTTCTTGCATCAATTTTCAGTTTTCATCGATGCTTGAAATTTAAAATTTTAACAACACTTAATAAAATTGAATAAGATGAATGGCACACGACTGTTGAAAAAGCTATGAAACTAATCAAATACCATAATAATGACTATGACAGACTAACCGCCCACCCCAGCAAATGGTTTATATTAAAGAGCAAAGATTTTTGAATTTTATAAAAACTAGTTAAAAAATTTCGAGTTACGAAGTTGAAAATAAAAACTGGGGAAAAAATCACTCGCAGTAAATTCTTCATGAAAAATTGGAAAAGTCGATTATCTATCAAGAAAATACACACATGGTGGTGGAAATAGAAAAGATAACTGCACTAGTAATGCATAAACCATTACGTAGAGCTAACTTCACGAAACCTTATAAGATCAAATTTATCATCTTCAACATGCGTGCTTTGTGATATCAGGTTTTACTTTATCATTCCTTATCAAATCATACAAGTTAATGACTTCTCAGCTAATGCTGGTACAAGATATTAATATTTGGAGCAGATTTTTGCATATCATACCTTTATATCACTCTTTTCCAATGATTACTTGCAAAATTTATTCGTGTATATCTTAAAAGAGTCTTTTTGAGGAGGAAGGAAGAGGTAAACATGAAGAACCCGATTAAATAAAAAAGTTGAAAATGACTTTTCTTAAAGGCTATGAAGAAATGTTAGAAATGTTTTTTTCTCCCTTCTACATGAAATGAACGGTCAAACAAATTTTCAATAAACAAAAATTTATTGAGAAAAAGACCAATTACTCTCTGTAACTATTAGCGCCACGGGAGTAAACAGAATTACCTACTGAAACAGCAATTTCATATTAGACCTACTTCCCATTCCCACCAGTAAGTGAGCTGCTTTCTATATAAAGAATATCAAAGGGATTGAGGCACTGAAGTGTTTATAGGCTACTCGCAAAAAGTTTTCCTTTCCATAACAATCAATTATTCTTCGCTCCAATGAAATGGTAACTGATAGAACTAGGGATAAATTCAGCAGAAGTGGAGGATGTTACAAGGAAACTAGAAGATATTTTAGAAGAAATGAAAAAAATCTACCTCTACATCTTTCTGATCAGCCATTGGTTTTGGTTATTAAAACTTCTTTCCACTTAGTTCACAAACCAACTCCTCGATATTAGCGCAACCGGTATAATTAGTAACAAATCTTTTCACAAACCGACCAACAGACGCTATAGACTTTCAAAGGATTTATGATAATAAACACGGTTAACAATATATATATACAATGGATCAACTCTTCAGAATTTTTTTTAAATATGTAAATTTGGCGTTTCCTTGATAAGAAAGAATCAAATCATCAACTAAATGCTGAATTGCTATATTATTTTGCAGTTATAAAGACAATTTTTCTAATATTCATTGAAAAATTTCTAGATTTTTGTGGAAAAGTGTGGAACCTTGACAGAAAACAGTTGAAATATGAAAACATCTACAGAAATCATTGGTTAAAAAAGCAAGCAGATGATCTCCAGCTGAATTTCAACATTCTGAATGAAAAATTTATGCGAAAATAAAAACATCAAAAATTGTCTTTGAATTCAACAAGCATTTGCTTAACTCATTTAATCATTTAATCAGCATTTTAAGAAAATTGAGAGTGAAAATACTGCCCGTGATTGGTACTTATGTGCTAAAATGAAAAATTATGTATTTGTCATCCTATTTCCAGCCACTTTTTTCATCACCAATTACACTAAATCACTATTTCATTCAAAAAGGGTATCGAAGAAGTTTGGAGATTGAGTTTTTATGTTCTTACTACTAAATATTTCTAACAACCTCCTTTTCGCTAGCTGGCAAATTTACTTAGTGACCTACACATCCAATACATTTTATTCACTTTTAATCGTCCGGCAAGTCCAGTACTTCTCAACGAATACATAACTTCGCTTTACCAGGAATTCTGGATTCTGTGGTTATATCTGCATGGAACCTGAAGACATTTCAACAAATTTCTATCTTACCCATACAAAGTGATCTTTGTCACATTCCATGATGGCAAACAGAGTTTGGAATTGGAAAGTCTAGGATATGGGAAGCACGAAAAAGAATATTATCTATGATTGATACAGTTCGGCTCAATTAGCGATAATGATGGGATAGTGTTGAATGCGCAGTAAGGTGTATGTGGCCAGCGAAGAAAGTTGGATAAATTGCTCGTAAAATAAATCTGTATTAATAAAATGGTTGGAGAAAGGGTAAGCTTAAGCGAAAACAACTCCCATCTATCATCTCTTTTAAGGATAAAAAAGTAAAATGTGGTAACACTCAACCCTCGTTTTTTAATAGATATCTGAAAGAAAGAAGCAATATGCTGCTATTGAAATAGTTTTTATTAGTAAATTTTGCCCTCCCTTCCTTTATACCGCTCCCTTTCCGGTTTTTATTGATAGTTTCCGCAGAGAGATTTTATTCATAAGCTCCCCCCTCCCATTTTCAAAACAGTACCAAAGATCATCTTTTAATGGTAAACATGAATGTAAGCGATGCATTTAAACAATTTTGTATTAGTGCGAATGTCGACACCGCCATATTATTATTCTCTTTTGTAATGGCACACACACACACACACACACACATTTATTTGTCCGTGATGAATATTTGTATGTTTGCAAAGGCTGCAAGCTCGTCCATGGGGATGTAATGAAAAGAACGAGAAACAGCGATAACACAAACATTGCGGGTTTTCGAAGGCAACCGCTTCTCAAATATGCTATTGCTAATTTTCCTTATCAAAGAAATAAAACAAAACAAAGTAAATAAAGCAAATAGAAAGAAGAAGGCGAAAGAAAAGGAGAATTCATCAACAATTCTTAAAAGAAACAAAATAATTTGGTTCAATTGAAATTTTCGGTTAGTGAACATTGACATAATTAATCGTTTTAGTCGAATCATTTCATAATCAATTCTTATAGAGGGAAGGAGCAAAAATGTATCTTAGTAATACACTTCAATGACCTTCTTTGGAATACACTTCACTGACCTTCATGTCATCGTAGATCGGTTTACCGAGTGCTTTCGCCGCTTCTTCATGCTTCAATAATCTTTCCTTTTCCGCGGCTTCCGATGATGTTGTTCTTCCCTTCTGCTCGTCATGTACCATTGTTCTTGTTCTTGGCAGGTAAGTTGGCTATGATCTAAAATGATTACAAATTAGCTGTTAATAAGAGAAAGAGATGAGGAAAATGCGAGAGAGTTACAGCTTAAATCAACTTTCAGTGAACTGAAGAAGTATACAAATCATGTGTGAATCAATCCATGTCATAGATACCAACTAGCATTCACGTCATAGATAGACAGATACCAACGGATTGTAATACCTAGCATTCTCTTAATTTTTCGTACTTAAGCAGACATCTGTCTTCACAAAATATTTTTGGAGAGGAACAATTGACTCCCTCTCTCTCTCTCTCTCTCTCTCTCTCTCTCTTTCTCTGTCTCTATCTCTCGTATTGCAGTAGTCTGAAACGGAAATGAGATGCAATGCTACGTCCTTCTTCCTCTAAACATTGGCGAATGACGGAGAAATGCTGATTGATAGAGGTGCCCTTTACGGGATAGGAGCGGTCTTGGCTAACTGAACCATTTCAATCATCAATTTAAAAAAAAGGGGGAAGTTTGTAAATATGTTTTAGAGAAGAAACACCGATTCATTCCACTATAAGAAAAATAATAGGATAGCAGATCTCAATATTTTTTCTTTCTTTTTCATGAATTTGTAAACTTTATAAAAAATGCAATGAAGTAGGAAGATAGTAAAGATTATAATGACCTGGATATATTAGTGAATTAGAATAAATAAATGAAGGAAATAATTTCCGGAGAGGAATCGAACATATTGCATTGCATCTGCAATACATAAAGAGATGGAGAGGAGTGGACAAAGATCAATCTCTTCAGCAACGCACAATGCCTATGAATGTCATTTCTGGGAAAGTACGATGATGTTAGAGTGAGATGTAAGATAGTTCCACTTGCATTTGCGCTTGCACTGATCTGTTTCATCATCACCAGTGCGACTGATCAAACAATGCTTAAATGATTCGTGATATTGTAATTGTAGTCATTTCCCGATATTACTGTTACTTTTTAAAGAGGATCGATGAGATAGATAGTATGTTGGTTGACAGATTTCAAAAAGCGTTGTTATCTTCGATCACTCCGCTCACCATGTTAACAGTCGTTGAAGCATTGCTTCAACGTCGAAAATTTTTAACTCACATTGCCTCATTCTTCTTCATTTACACATCAACAAAGAAAAGAGAGAAAATGGCTATGATGCCATTTCGGTTGCATGCGGTAGAATGGGATATCGTCATTCATCTAGATGATGATTCAGAAGAAAGAAGAGAATAAGACCGCACGGTGACGTATGTTGTCCGTTATCTTTTACCTGTGCAACAGATGCATGCAAGAGGGAAGAGATTCTTCTTTAACTGAGCCCCAAATTTGTCCCTTACAATAAAAGGAACGCAAGGAAAACAAAAGTTCATAGGACAGACTCATCAGTCATTTTCGACGAAAATACCTTTAAATTGAAGAAGGAAAAGAAAACTTTCACGAATATAATTCCTCGATTCGAAAATGTTATTCATTTTAAACACATCCAATGACTAAATTTATCGAGTAAGAATCCGACCGTTTAAAATTTATCAGACAAATAATACAATAAAATTAATTAAATGTTGAGCATTTATGCTGGGTAGATAGATGAAGAATTTCGGACTCTCATAAAGCTCTGTTGACACATCTGAATCCAAACGATAAGATCTTCTTATGATGATCATCATTCTATATAAGTGCATGTCCATTAGGCCATTAGGCCAAAAGTAATTTGGTCAAAAATTAAATGGGAAATTTGAAGATATTACTATTATTATTATTATTATTATTATTATTATCATTATATTATACAATGATGATAAGATGTTAGTGTCAAATATTATTATTACATTTGAACTTTCAACGAAAGAATTTTAGTTGAGGAATAGTGAAGAGAGATGAAAAGAGATAGATAAAGAGTTTTAAAGAGATTGAAGAGAACACTGTGCACTGTACATCATCTTACCCGTCAGATACTTATTACACTGCACTAACACGACAACCAGCGCGTACCAGCAGCAGCAGCACAAATCATTCTTTCTCTTTCCGAAATTTCAGATAGGTGAAGGAAACATAACTACCGTGGTTTCACAGTTTCAAGGGAGGATCTGTGAATCCCTCATAAATTTTAATTTTATATAAATTTATCTTTCAAATTAATTTAATCGATTATTTTCGAGATAGCTGCTAAATTCGACTGGAAAATTGGAAAGAACGAATGAACAGAAGTGAAAGTTAATTTTAAAAATGATTATTTGCTCGTGTGATGCTATTAACGGATAACTTTTCCAAATCAATTGTTTCGGCTGTTTCAGCCATTTAGAGGGCAAGGATGTGGAGCATGCTAAAAAGGAAGGAGAAGTAAGTCATAGCGTAGAGTATATTTCAATGTCCGGTCAGCAATCTCCATCTCTACCATATTTCTGCGATCGATCGAATAGCAGCTATTCAGACAGCAACACACTTCTGAATACATAGATGGAAAGATATGTATCGAAATAAGTTATTAATTTCTCCAAACTGGGATAACTGCTTTCTTAACAGAGGCGAAAAGAATTCTCAATTTAATTCTAAATTTGATTAACTACCTGCCTCTTTGCTAATCTATAATCCTTACTTGTTATCATCACTTTTATTTTATGAATACATTGCCACATTAGCATTAATTTTAATTCATAAAGTAATCTTTGACTCCTTGTTAATGATGCCATCGAAACTAATATTGTCAAGGAATCATTCCTACCAGTATTATCGACGCATTATGAAATTAACCATCAAAATTTGATGCAATATATCTATCTGTAGAACTCTGCACTGTAATGTAAACACGAACTTGTTAGTCTTACCTTAACCACTTGCATATATAACTAATCAGAAGTAGTTTTCTGATCACGGTCAAAAACATCTTTTGTAAAATTCCGTACTTAAAAAAACCGAACTCAAATTAGTTCCCAAAGACTGAAAAGACGGTAAGTGCAAAAAGTGAAAGGAAATGGAACATTGTTGCAAAACTTCTAAAATATGCGTTAATTATCAGGTGATACTTGTATATACTGCCATCAGCTAAATTTGACTTTTCACTGTGAACTTTATATTGTAGCTGTGAATAATCAGGAATGTCATCCAGTACGATCGGCGGAATTGATTCACCTGGTTTTCAATTGTTTAGGTTGTGAATTTTAGATCACTTAGGACAAAAGAGGGCTTTTTGATCACTCTAAGATTTAGAATAATCTATATTTTACATTGCATTTCGGAAGCATTTAACCGCTCCCATTCTCTTATAGCAAATCGAATTTCCTGGCAGGTTGAATTTTGTCCTATCCAAAACTTTCGAATCAATAAAATATTTCAGTGACAGTTGAGTGCGATAACACTTAGTGCGATAAATGATATTTAATAACAGCTAGTATGAAAAATTATAGCTAATCGAGTGGTCGATCTGATCGATGAATACTAGTTATACATGAGACTTCGCTTCATGCCCATTTCCCATTCAAATTTCATTTTAGAAGCTATACACAGAAGTGACAGCAATTTTCAGAATAGGATATAACAACAATGGGAAGCTAACAAATGCACCGTAACGTGTGATGTATAAATGGTTACGCATGAAATCAGAAAACTATTCATGCTTAGATACTTAATGAAAGATGTTTTATAACCAAGTTCTACCGGGTTATCAAGGTTATGATAAAGGTGAAATATAAAATTCACTCTAGTGTAAGATATGAGATGAAGCTATACTGTAAGTATTCAACTGCTCCATAATGGCACACTTATACTCCGATGACAATACTCATCTATCCAGCATACCAATGATGTAATATCTTTTTTTGATAAATTGTCAATTTAGCTGAGGAATTCAAAAATGAGTTTCATGAGTTTTCTAAAAAATCAAATTATTCGATAATTAATTTTTTTAACAGATTTAATTGATAATATTTGAAGAAAAATTACTATCCAAAAATGGATGAAATAACAAGTCAGTCGTTAAAGAGAAATAAAAGAATTAAAGAAATGAAAAATATAATGCCGTTTTTCTTTCCTCCCAACATAGGAAATGAACCGTATTAAATAACAACATCCTGCTATCAATAATAAGAAAATCCATGAAACAGACCCTATCTCTCCTTAAAATTGCAATTACCATCTTTCCGATGTATCATGCCTGAAAACACAAAATATTGATACTACCATATCAATATTTTATTCTCTGCGTCATTGCTGTGGTTTTTTTTTAGCAATCTAAAGGTCATGTTTTAATAACTTTTTCGAAGGTGAAATACCAGAATTAGCACAGTAGGAAGAAACTGAAGTTTTTTCTTCACTTCGTGATGCTAATGAAGTTCCTTAATCCTGAAATGTTCATTCTAAACAATAGGAGTCCACAATTCATTCTTAAATTATGTTTGCCAAGTTCATGATTTTGAGAAACACACCACAAGTTTTTATTTCATGATAGTAGACGTGGCTGAAGTAAGATATAGGCATACTTCTTCGTTTGATCGTATTTCGCTGGTTGTCGAGAAATACATTCAGCTTTGTTTAATCTTCGAATTAACAAATCAATTATCAAACTTTTGTCTTTATCAAAGCAGCTGTTCCAGCAAAGAAAGAAAAAGGTAAAGAAAAGCTTTGTAGGAAAAACTGATTGGGAGAGAGAATGAAAAATTCAATGAATGAATCGGTTGTATTAATATGTCATATCAAAAGAAACCATAAAAAGATAAAAATTTTTGGAGAAAAAAAGAAAAATTAAATGAAATCATTAGCAGTGGAGATTTCAATGATCCATTATCGATTCCCTTCGATCGATGATACTAAATTTTTTACGATGCTGATATGATGGCATATTGTTGTCGCATATTCATTAATCCTAATTATAAACACTTCTACATGGAAATAATGCTAGTGCCAGAGGTAGCAATGGTAACAACATTAGTTCATACAATAAAGTTACTGATACTACTACTGGGAATGATGACGATACGATATTGAAGTGATGAAACATTTATAACAATTTTGACACTTTTAATTTCCTGCTTAGAATGGATGGTCCAAATTACAATAGATCGTCCAAATTTGAATGACGGTCCTACTGCTAAAGAGTGGCAGCAAAGAATAAAAGAAGGGACAATTTTCAACTAGTTCTCAGATACTCTAATTTGAAATATAATTCATAATTTGATGATACACTGAAGAGCGCCTATTATCAATTACTTTGCCACTATACGAATTAATTCACTGCCATTAAAATTGGTTTTTATCTTGAAAATAGTTATGTACTAAAAACTTCTGCAAACTCAGTCGATACCCTCACACTAATTTCGAAGTGAAATTAAGAGAAAAACGAAATTTTTGATGTATGTTTTTACAGCAGAGAATATATGCGTCAAACTTTTCTCAAATGTTTTTTGCTCAAGAAGCACCTTAATTAAATAAATTGAAATGCAACTGCAGATATCACTGACATAAACTACCGATAGCTATATCAACGGCAATATAATATACAGAGAGAAATTTTCCTAAATGTTCATAATGAGAAACTCATTATGAAAATCTTGAAATAAGCCTGCGCAAAAACGACATCAGGTTTTAATCGACTACTTCATGGCACAACTGCAGCGTCATTATAATCAATATATTTTATTGGCATATGAAGGATTAGGAAGCATTGTGGTCAGTGGAGTTGTTGGATGTCCATTTAGATTAATGCAGAGAAGTGGACATGGCAGACATAAATGTACGCATATATGCCAATACAAAAGAATCAAGGAAACAATTCCTGTGAGCGGGATAACCTGAACTCACTCTTACAAAAATGACCTATATCTGGACATTTGCGTCCCTTCCCATTTCCTTGCATCCTCCAAAGTGTACAAATGCACAGAGGACCAATAATATTTCTATCTATAAGAATTTTGAAAACTTAAACTCAAATTTTCAAAATTATACTGTTCAAGACGGAGAGTTTGAAGACGAGCTTAGAAAAACATACTTTTAATATTAGTTTCAAAAATTTAAATCTTTGATTTAACTAATCTAACTGTTTATTATATCGACTACTTATTTAGAGACATATAAAAAGAAAATTCTTGTATGGGCAAATGGTACTACAAAATCCATGTGAAACGATATTTATCTCTGATTTTCCATCTCCATGGGTACCTTATCTAATTGGTCGCTATGGCACCTCTCACTGCTCGATAAACATGACACTTTCGGGTTATATTGCGAAATCAACATATTTGAAGCAAAAAACGAGTATTTTGAAAATCATATCAATAACTTTACATCAATTCCCGAAGAATTCATTTCCAAACAAAACTGAAGGAGAGATAATTAATACGTGGACACGATTGACATTGTCCAACTCATATTACAGTCTCCGAAACTGCTTCACGCCCATCCATCGCTATAACATATGGCTAGCAATTATCCACCGTCTAGATTTATTTTTATGAATCGATTAAATTCATTGTTGGCATCCAAGTTTTAAGTTCACATAAGTAAAGATAGGTTGGAAATACAACTCCTTTTTTCCTTAAAATTAAAACTACTATAAAAAACTAATAAGTATAAGACATTGTGTGGAGAGGAACTGATTATTAACAAGGAAAATAGATCCAATAAATCTAGCCAAAGAACGAGCTGTATGAAACAGAAAGCCATTATCTTAACTTCTGAGTATGTTGAATTACAAAATAAAAGTAAATGATTAAATTGACTTCGGTTATTTAAACCAACGAAAGTATATGAATAAAGTTAACACGAACTCTTCCAATCAGCAATAACAAATTTTATTTGCAAAATTTGGAGCAAACATACATTTTTAGTCTAATTATTATTTTCTCCCACCTTTTAAAAAATGATCAAAAATCTCATGGATGTTTGAAAACGATGGCTTACTCACTAAGGAAATATACTATCATATTGTGCTATCAAATAAATTGAGGCCATGATAATGAAAAGCAGTTGTAACTAATCTGAAAAGAATTCCCATAAGGTTGTCGACGAATGAAATGTGACTGCAAAAAGAATGGAGTCAGAGTTTAAGAAAATGATGAGTAGGAACAAAATTAGTGGCAAAATCTTTGGTATGTGTTCATTGTCGTTTGGAGAAACTCAACTGTTTCAGCGACCCAGCAAAGTGTTAACTTTAGTAGAAGAATTAGTGAAGTGTTTCTTCCATGTCGCACATTTCAATACAGGAAAAAAAGAAGAAAATGACAATAAACTTTTCCACCCCAATCGAATACTTCATAAACACTGTGTTATTAGTAAAGTTCCACTGCTCATGCCGTGTGTTCACTAAGTTGACACTTCAGTGAATGCACACAGTCGCCGAATCTTAGTGGACAATCTTGAAATCTCTAATAATCTATTGTATATTCATTTCTGCCCATCTCACTTGTGATTAACTCGATGACCCTGCACCGTAAATCTGCTAAGGATTATATCAATTCTATGAATAGTATCAACAAGAATTCAACATTTTATTTTTTTTAATCAAAAAAGTCATTCTGAAGTAATCAAAATGGACATTTCAGCTCAAATATAATATAGTGAAAGCGCAAAGTTTTTACCCAAAATGATATACTCAAAAATCAGCGACGCTTCCTTTGTCACACAGATATATGTATAATTGTTCTATTGTTTAAATTTTACTAAGTTTCCGAAACTTTTGATTCATTGGTTTAATATTACAGCTTATTACAAAATACTGAATTTCCAAGCTCTTCTTAAAGATGTTACTAAATTGATTTGTGAGAGCATAGTATAGTACACTGATAAATGCACAAATTCCTTAGAGAACTTGCTTTAATTTTCGTACTTTCACCGATATTATTTAATAAACCTTTTCGAGACCTTCTTTTGCTTTCTGTATCTCCATAAAAAGCCGAATTTTTATTTTTTTCCAGAAAAACTACACATAGAAAAAAAGGCCGACTTTTAGCAGTCCTGATTTCTCAACTATTTCTTGGACATCGGTCTTCGAGCTGATAATTAACAAAAGTGAATGTAACATCGGGAAAAACAATTACAAACAAATGTTGAAAATTTTTCTAATAAAACAAATAAGCCTAAAGGTTTTCCATTCGTAAAACTTATCCAACAGCAACAAGAATTAACGCATCGTATAAAATATTCTTGGTGAGTGCAATTAGCAGAGTGCGCCCAAGAACTATCAAGTTGATATCAAATCCTTTTTTCTGTCTTTGAACCAATTATCCAAATACAAATCAAGAACCATAAAATTCTATGCTCTTTTAAAGAATTTTGTCTCATTTCGCATTTGGAAGTAAATAATGAGACACAAAAACCTGAACTTCCACATGAAGCCAAGAGAAACTCGATTCAGCTAGGAGACAAAACCACTAAGAAAGGGGGCCGAAATTATAACCCGAATCCCGAATCATCTCTTCTAACGTTTATTCTTATAACTATCAACTTAAATAGTTCTTTTCAGATTCCCTGATGAATCTCTTCAAACAGTGAGTTTCATGCCACTCCACTTTCTTGCTTATTTCATTCCTGCATGGCATAGTATTCATAACTTCTCTGCGTGTTTCTTTTTACTCATCGATGGAAGGGCTGTCAACGCTGTACCTTTCGGTGCAGAACATTTGTATCATGGCAAGGAGGATCATACGATCTCCTTACGCTGAGCACTAGTTCCACTGCACTCAGTAAGAAATACTACAGATACAAAATCAATTCACAACATATTCTAATCTGAAAGTAAAAGACCCTCCGTCCCCTGCGTTCCTAACGGTTCGCACCTGTTCTGGTACTCGTTTCAGTGATTTAATACGGGCCGATAGTAATGCATGATGGTATGGATCCGATGACGAGTGATAATAAAATGAATGTCATAAGCGACTGCGATGGATTTTATATCGGTTCATCAAGAACCACGGATCAGGCTGTCATTTCTTCAGAGTAATTTTTATAAGTAATAATAATTGCTAAGAGATTTCTTCTTATATTAAAGTGGGACTATCACTTTCATAAGAGACACGCATGGCTCTCTACCCCTGAGATGGTTACAGTTATGACTCAACTTTGACCTAATAATGTATTATGTGTCATTCTAAATTACTACCTACATCTACACTGTATTATTTTGTGTAATCTTAAATTTCACAAAAGTCATTTGAAGTTGAAGCTTTGTCACTGCTATAATTTTTGTTTATTGTAACCATTTTAAGGGCATATAACTCCAGATCTCCTTATCCTTCCTTCCTATTCTCTTCATCTTTTTCCTTTTATAAATTTTTTTTGTCAGTAGAGTGATTTAAATCACATAATTCATATGTATTCGTTGATATTTGAGCACTTGCTGACCCTGTATCGCAATAGTTTCTTTCAGTTCAATTATATCACAAATATGCGATAAAAAATGGAACAAATCGAGGACTGATTCAGTATCTAATGGAGCCTATGTGCCGTTGCGTGACCGCATTAAGAAGCGAATCGCTACAGGCGTACCATTCTTTTCACTTGAAGTAAGTGCAAATTTGTACTTTTTAATGGAAAAGGACATGTTATTAGTTTTCCTGAAGGGAAGGCGATTTTTTTAGTTTTTTAAATTAAACATATCAGTTTAAGCAGGATATATTGAACAAGTAAGGGCTATTCAATATTTCTATTAATAGAGGAAATTGGTTTTTCGCTGTAGTTGGGATTGTTTCTAATTTTATTTTTTATATCAAAAATCAAAATGATTTGAAGTGGTACCTTGGCTGAAGTTTGCTTCTTTTTTAAACTAGAATCCTTGTTAATATTAATGCTTGATATTTTTTTGACATATAAATAAGCATGCACTCTTGCCACATGTAATTAGTTATTGCACTCTTGTTATTGGCTTTACTATAGTCACTTCTACTTATGTTCTCTTATTTCATATATATATATATATTTGTACAATTTTTTTGCATTTATTTTTTTCAGTTCTTTCCTCCAAAAAAAGCAAATAGTGTTGCCAATTTTTTTGCATGTCTTGATCGCTTTCGAGAAGGAAATCCGATGTTTGTTGATATAGCATGGCATTTTGGATCCGATCCTGGTTCGTTAATTAAATTGGTCACTTCATTGCATTTTTTGAGCCCTGCAATGTTTTTGACGCATATAATGAAATGTTTCAGTGGATGGCAGAGGTGATTTTTTTTAACAAAAGAAAGCCAAAAGAATGTAAGTTGCTGGAACATGCTACTCTCATGTATTTTATCATCCTATAACAGGATTTATTCAAAAAATTACCTTACAGTCTGCCACTTAAAATTTACAGTCTACCCCCTTAAAAAGTTACAGTCTGCCTCCTTAAAAATTTTATTACTTAATTTATTCTCTTATTTATGGCATCTTAGTTTTCGAGTTGCTGTACATCTTGCGTCGCTCTATCAGGATTTTCCAAAATTTCAGGTAATATCAACAGTGAAACATCATCATCGTCGGTGGCAGCAGGATGTCTACATTATTGTGGCATAGATACGATGTTGCATATCACATGTTGTCCATATACAAAAGAGCAATCAATAAGACATTTGGAACAGAGTAAAGCATTAGGATTAAAAAATATTTTGGCTCTTCGTGGTGATCTTCCTCGGCAGGTAGATGCTAACGAGAATGTTTTTGATTTAGCAGATACTGATTTGAAAAAATATCGAATTGCGGCAAATAATGTGATGTATCTAAAAGACCTCTAATCTCTGTCTATTACTGCTTTGTATACATCATTACATTTCTGATTATCTGTCCTGTATTAACCACCTCTATTATTCATATTGTTTTCATGCTTTTTAATAATAACTCTTCGAATATTCTGCTCCTGCAGTATCCACAAAAAAGCGTGTGTTGTGTTGTAATTAGGTAACATATTGTTTTGTATTCTTTAAACTATATCGCTGCTAGTTGCAATCAAGCCTTAAATAATGCTTTTCTAGATCTGCGATCTTTACTTTCTTATTTGACATTTCACAAGTTCATAATTTTTTTAGTTAGTGGTGAGAAGTTGACGAAATATTCTAAAAATTTTCCCAACTTTTTATACTAATGAGTTATAACATTTCCATTTGAATATATGAAGCAAGCATCTGGAATTATCATGAAATTGCAGGACGAAAATCCAGTACTATATAAATATCGAGCTTTAGATCTCATCCGATGGATAAAAGATGAATATAGCGACTACTTTACGATTGCATGCTCCGGTATATTTTAATACACAATTTCTACAACTTCATTTCTTAACAGTAACGGCAACAATAACAGACTAATAGCGCGGTGATCATTGAAGTTATCTGACCATCCAGAGCGGGACATCTGTTACTATTAATATTAAAAAAAAATGGTTGTGGAAATGCATGAAGCCTTTGAAGAAGACTTACAATATGTTGGTGAGAAGAAGTCATATAAAAGACTATAATATTACATTGGAATTGTATATCTATTACTTTTTGTTCTTGTTCACTGGAATAAAGGGAAAATTTCAGGGTATCCAGCAGGACATCCTGAAGCTCCGAGTTACCGAGCTGACCTTTTATATTTGAAAGCAAAAGTAGATGCGGGGGCGGATTTTATTATTTCTCAGATAATTTTCGATGAAAAAATTTTCGAGAACTTTCTGCGTGATTGTCGTGAAATTGGTATTACTGTACCAATTATCCCTGGAATTTTACCAATCCAGGTATTCATTGACAGTTCTATTTTTCGTTTGTGTTTGATGAAAATTTTGCTTGCAAAAATTATTTTTTTAATAGTAAAGTATTTATATTCATGAAAAAGAAAGGCGGCAAAAAATGGACGATTTTAATTTTCATCTACAGAGTTATGATAGTATTCGTCGTATCGCAGAATTATCACAATTAATGATACCTGATTCTATCCTTGCTAGTTTGGAACCGATCAAAAACGATGATGATGCCGTACGTAATTTTGGCATCCGTCATGCTGTCAATTTGTGTCAAACACTTTTTACCAATGGTAGCACAACATCTATACATCTCTTTACATTAAATCGAGAAGTTTCTTCAAGGTAATTCATTTTCCATTGTAGAAACCTGTTGTCATCATGTAAAATAGACCTTAATAATTGTGATTTGTTTAACGAAATATGGTAACGGAAGTGGCTCCTTTATGTCTTTACTAGCTTTGCTGTTCTATTCATTTTTGGAATCACAAACTATGTGATATTCACTTTCCATTTTTCTTGGCTCCAAATCCTTTTTTTTTTATTTTTATTCTTGTTCCATTCTGTTTTTGTTTATGATAATGTGGTAATCAGAATTCTTATTATATGCAGTTATGTAACTTTTCAAGGGAAATTTTACAACGATTAGGACTTTGGCCACGTTCACCAGTGCGTACTCTGCCTTGGCGTTCGTTTGGTGAAAATCATCCCGTTCGTTGCAAAGAAGATGTGCGACCCATTTTTTGGTCAATGCGACCGAAATCATATGTTTTTAGAACCCGTGTAAGTTTTTTGATGCTTTTAATGCTCTTATGCTTACCTTTTTTTGAGGTCGTTGGTTTCACGCTTCTTCATGCTGTGAGAATAATGATTTTCATTAATTAATCATTGTTTTCGAGTACTTTTATTTGCATGTAGTTAATTTTGGTTTCATTTATACATATAAATTTACTTTTGTTTCGCTTACATTTATTGGAGATTAGTGGACATTGTTGGTAGGAATGGGATGAATTCCTGAACGACCGTTGGGGTAACAGTAGTTCGTCGGGTTTCAATGATCTCAGAGATTACTATTTGTTCTATTTGAAAGGACAGCCAACAAAGGATGAACAACTTCGAATGTATGGTGAACGTTTAGAAACTTTTGCCGACACACAAAAAGTATTTGTCAATTTTGTTGGACAAAATATCAATGAGAATGGTGTAGAAGTAAGCGAGATTTTCTCACTGTTATTACTATTGTTGCTTTATTTTTTTCGTATTTAATCTGAAATGAAAAACGAGGGGAGGCTATTAATGTCTACCGACACGAGTCGTAATCGCTAGCTTTCAGGTAAGTCAATTGCCTTGGAATGAGCAACATGATAGCATATGATAGCATATGCCCTGAAACATCTCTTATAAACGATCAGTTATTGTGGTGCAATTCAAATGGGTTTTTGGCAATCAATAGCCACCATCTGTTAATGGTGCCCCTAGTACGGATCCGTTTGTTGGCTGGGGAAAACCAGATGGCTATTGTTACCAGAAGGTTGCTCCCTTGTTTGTTTTTACAAATTTCGTCATATTATTGTCGCTTATCTACCAATATTTTTTTGAGTGGATAACTTATTGAGATCAACTGGAATTGAACTATGTTTTCTTTTCTTTACTGTTTTATTTGATTTTCTATATTTTTCATCTCTTTGATTCTTTATGATTTATATTTCAGGCCTATCTCGAATTCTTCACATCACAAGCAAATGCTGAATTTCTATGGAATCTTTTGCCAACTTATTCGCGTATTAACTGTCATATTGTCAATCATGATGTAAGCTTTTCGTTTCTATAAGCTCATGTTAGCAAGAGAAATAGGTACTTCTGAAAGTCAAAAAATTATCAGGAAATTTTTGCAGGCAACAATTGATTGGACAAACACTGAAAGCACCATGCCGATTGCTGTTAGTTGGGCGTATTTCCAGGTTCTGAAATTGTTCAACCAACGGTGGTTGATTCGCTTTCATTTCGTGTTTGGAAGGATGAAGCCTTTGGTGCTTGGTTAAATTGGTATATTTACGTTTACTTTTTTTTGTTTGAATATTTTGTTTTCTCAAATTTATATTTTTAGGTCATCTATATACGCCGAAGGAACATCGAGCCGTTGCTTATTAGAAAAAATTTATGAGTATTGTCTAGTAAGTCTTGTAGATAATGATTATCCAGAATCAACTATTATCTTCGATTGTTTGGCTCAGCTCGTTAATCGTTAGTTGGTTTCAGAATTATTTCGTTGCTTTTTCTTTTCTCTCGTATTAATTCTTCAAATCAACTTGTTGATTTAAAACTGATAGTGCGTTCTTAGTAATATAATACATTTCTATCCGATATTATTTCTGTGATCTTACTACTATTCTATAAGTAAGTACTAAGTTCTGTAAGTTCAAGTTGGTGCAAAATTATTTGCATTTTTACATCGTTGAATTTTGCTGTTTCATTATTTAATAATTCTTAAATTTGACTGTGTAATATCATTTTATTGCTTGTTTATTGTTTTTACCAATAATTTGTTACTTTTATGTATTTATTACAAGCTGAATAAATAATGAACGGATCAATGAATTCTTCTTTTCAAATGGTTAATGTTTTAGACACCTTGATTATAAGCTGCTGATCAATAATTTGTTGATTCAGGAGTGGACTGGTAACCTCATCGATACTGTATTTCGGTGATTTAAAAGCTGGAGAATACGATCTAACACAAACATCTAGGATTAGTTTGTCGAAATTAAAGAATTGAATAGGAGTAACTGCGTATTGTTGAGTGCTTTATGTTGGGACACATCTTTAAACAATTATCATTTTAAATAACTTTTTATCTTAGATGAGGATATGATGTCAGACGAGAAGCAAATTCGAGATTTGCTCGTCAAGAAATGGAGGCAACTTATAGTATTATAATGCATTTGATCCAAAGTTGCTGACGTTTGGGGATGCACTCCTGTGGTAGTTCAAGAAATTTTGCAGTGGGGGAGCATTGAAATTGACAATGACCAATTGCTTGAGCTAATAATCTGACAGTTATTGACGAGTTAATTTCGATGATTGATCTCTATTGATAAAAATATACATTTATGATAAACAGTAAGCAATGAATCATTTGAAGTAATAATAATATTACATACTAATTTGAAAATATGAAACAATGGAAGCATACTTAAGAATGTACTTTAACTAACAATGTAGAAGATGCAATTATTTTTTGCATCAATATAATAGATGCACAAAGGAGTGGTAAGGCCAAAAATAAATAGAGAAGCAATTTTTATCATTCAAAATCGAATGCACTGTCAGTTTTAAAGCAGCATGCAGATTTGCAGATCTGATATGAGAAAAAAGAAAAAGGAGCGAAATCTCTAAATGATATTCATTTGTGACAGAGAATTCGTAGAAACTTAAAAGCCATCACTAATTCTCTTTGTGAGCCTACTAACCATTAAAAAGTTGAACTGAACAGTAGAATATAATTGTTGATGATTTGGGATGAACAATCAATAAATAATGCTTACTAAATGTGATAGATTGCCGAGAATTAGCCATTTTACGCTCATTCGACACTTCAAATGACTTGCAATGTTGAAAAACTTAATGAAAGTGTCTATCTCATTAGCTGACAGTTAATGAAAATCATCACTTTCAAATGCCATCTTCTTTATTCTATATGAGTGTAATAAATTATTTCCTGACCGGATCGTGACATGCGATGGAAATTGGATCGTAAATGAATGACTTTCTGATTGGCTGGACGATGAAAACAGTAACCAATGTCGCTAAACTCGCGTTAAAAAAGCCCTAGCAGGTAGTAGCATATTATTGGTCATATCCTGTAATACTAGAGTTATTTGAATCCTGGCGAATCAATTATATCCGAGATAAGTATGTTCAGCAAATCGATAGCTTCAATGTTTATAGCAGGTACCAGTCGATAGTAAGGTTTCAATTTTATACTGCAAAATTGATAACATATCGCATGGCTTAAAGAATTATCCATTGCATTCATCTTACTTTCCGCCAATTTATCACCATTTTTCAATTATTTGAATAGCTTTTTATACACTACTACAACGCAGAAAGAATTTTCCGAGAGTTCATCAAATACTAAAGCATTGGCAAACATATTCTCTATTTATATGGCTTCCCAGGAATTCCTATTTTGATTATAAGAATGATAGACACATAAACCTGGTTAAAATGATTGAAATTACGGTCGAAAGCGTTATTACTTGTTTTACTAACAATGTAATTAATGAAGAATTTGGAGTGAAATTTTCATTTAAGTTGAATGGACGGATAGATAGTTTTAGTTTATCTTCATTGCACTGTTTCTCATTAATTTTGATATCAATAAACCATATGATATTACAATAGCTGCAAGGTTTACAATATATACTACCAGTATTTCCTATATATCATTGTAGAAATTTCTGACTCACCAACTATAATATATTTGAATCGATCGACTGATCGATATTCCCTGCATTTTACTATGTGACATAGCATTATCAGAATTCATGATTTTTTCACCGAGTTTTTTATTAACGCTTGACAGATGTACAATTGGAAATTTACGTTGTTGATGAAATTTATTGGCATAGGGAGCAGTACAATATACTCAGCGAACGCACCGCGGGTGAATTGTACATTTGCGCCAATAATGTGGTAGAGCAGTTAGTTGGCCTTAAAAAACGTTTGTTTCCCGTATGATTTTCAGGATGAACTGGTTCGTTGTCTGATCTGCGCTACTTGACTGCTGATCTCGTTAATGAAATTTTTGAATGCATTCGGGTCTCGCAAGCATTTCTGCTGCTTGTCCTGAACAAAATTTGTGATTTATCGCGAAATCGTAATAAGAATATAAGACAAGATTAAAATATCGAATTCGCATTTATTTTCAATCAAACGTAATTACCCTTTCAATCGATAATTTGTGTAATTTGTATCTATATGCAGTAGATGTTATGATTGAAACGTATTGCAATTGTTAGCAATGATTATGATTATTTAAGTACCACGAAAGTTGTTGCTTACTTGTAAATGGTACTTGCATACGTCAATCCACAGACGTGCACACCCAAGCTTCTTGTCTTTGCCGTCCGAGAATGAAAAGGTTAACCAGTACTCGTTCTGAATAGTATCTTTTGAATTAATAATTATCAAGGGATTATTAGTTACCATAAATCAAATGCACTTTGAATGTGAAACAGAGAATAATTGAATTCCTCTATGTCAATATATATTTATGCCACTTGATATTGACATTTGCCATCTCAAAAATATATCTAAAAATTTTGAATATTTCGAACTGGCACCGATTGCAATGGCCCGAAGAAACTTTTGGGTAAATCCTCAGTTGTAAACACTTTGCTGAATGTCATCGTCCAATGTCCTTTTGGCGGAGGACACAATTTATTTTGTCGGATAAATTCGTGCGCTTTTCGATCAGTTACATATTTGTCTGCTGCTTTTACCGTTTCACTACATTTGTCTAACATATCGCAATAACGACTACAAATTACAATTTCATTAATCATTTCCACTTAGTTGAAGCATTTGAATACATTATATTGTGTAAGTTATGCGATTTTCCAATTGAAAGGATGGTAAAGAAAGGAAATTCGCTTTCTAAGTTCAATAAATTCATCTATCTTCAAAATCAATTCACAATTCCTATCATATCAGCTTAACTCCTATCATATCAGTTTGATCGATTCACAACCAATCAAATAGCCGGTCGATAAACATACCAGGAACCTACTCCATCACAACCATCGATGATGTTCCAACCCTGGCACGGAATCACCTGCCACCCCTTTGATCCTTGTTTATTCGTTACTGCATGCCTTACCTCAATAGATTTTTAAGAAAGTACATTTACTCGTATCTAGTAATCATCATTTAAGAGAGCTTAAGCAAATTGCTATCACTGGTAGATCAGTGACTGAGCATCGCTTCAAACAGCCAGTAAAATTAAGCAAGCAGTAAATCTAGATTTCGTCACAAACAACGAGCGATACCTCCACATCCATCTCGATCTTGTCCTGCGGTAATTCCTCGCTTACATCCATTGTAACATTGAAAAATATGGGTCCCGGGAAACGTGGATAATCTGGCCACACGACAATGTTTGAAACATTCACTACATAGTTCGTCCACTGAAACTTCATGCTCACCAGAATGCCGCATTATTCATTTATCAGTACCTCTTCAATAAATACATTTTCTCTCAAGCAAGTTTGAAAAACATAACAATTATTTCGTCAGGAAGTTGGCATATCGAGACTGTCTACAACTACATGCCTAACATTAGGAGTATTCCTATATAATTTACGAGATCAAATTTTCAACAGTTGCCATAGTTGGAGTATCAGTAAAAACAAATTCAGAAAAGTAACCTGTTCGCTTGCACATCGACTGAATTGCCACCCACGAATGACAACGCCATGTGGTCCCGTAGTGTACTTCTCCCAAAACGGTATATGCCCAGGAAAAGTTTCCTCCCAAGCACGTGATAATGCTGATTGAGTTAATATTTTAACATACAGCATTGCTAATATGAAATGTGTGAGGAAACACCTCAACATCTGTAAAGCCTACGATAAAAATTTCGACATTATATTGAACTCATAGATGAATAATAGCAGCGATAATATCGAATGCGTGATACTGAAAGTTTTGTGATAGTATTCACATTACATTAAATAGTATGGCAGTGAAACCATGTTTTTAGTGTGAAATCTTGCTAGAAGCTTAAATCACAATATTACTTGTACTAATGTTTCTAATCCTATTCCTCTGCCTGAAACTTTTGTTATCATTGGTTGCTTTTTTCGATATCGACTCGAGATCCTTATTAGAAACCAAACCACAATCAGTATAGCTCTTCTTGATAGTGACACGCGACTTCACGGAAAAGTAACAAATATAAATAATGATAAAGCGTATGACTTCACGGAAAAATAACAACATAAATAGCAATTTTCTGGTCAACTGATTCATTTCTAGCATCTTCCTTTGTTTTAATTTTTCAATTTTTTCACTTTACTGGAAAAAATACCATCTGCATTTTGGATGATGGCCCAAATATTTCGTAGGCAATGATGACGTGGAGTTGAATAAGAATGATAATGGAACTTTTAAATAGAAGAATTAAAAAGGGAAGTACAAAAAATGACTGTGATTTGTATCGAGCACTCAATAACAATTAATTGCTTTTCTTGTTACTCATATAAATTTTGGTAAATTATCAATAAAGATAAAATGCTGTAATTTACGTGTGCTAATTTATAGCCATAAAAATTGAGAGAAAAATGGATCTTCGAGAAAATAAGTTTAAGAATGAATCAGAACTATGCTAATAAATTAAAGCAGTGTAAGAAAGAAAAAACTTGAAATAGATGACCGGAAATCGGCATCCCGTCGAACATAATCAGTAAAAAAATTATTTCATACATCTCACAGACTGCATTAAATTACCGAATTTTATTCAGAGTTGCAATGTAAGTAAGGAAGGTTCATGTTTTTGTCTCTTTTATCTCTTTTGGTCTCATTCCTTACTTTTTAGGTTTACCTATCAAAAGATATCTTGTCAGCTATGCTTTTTCAACATTTAATAAATAGGTTTAACTTGTGTGGAAAGAAAAATACAGCTAAATTTTATAAAAATACAGAAAATCTTAATTTTCAAAAATTGAAGCAACAATAACATAACCAAAGCAAATATCAGAAACTAGCGCTAATGAGAAATTAAAAGTGAAAATAGAGAAAAACCTTAATTTTCAAAAAATTAAGACTTTTCTCTATATTCATGCTATATCAGTGAGTGCTATCAATTGTTGCTTAACCAGATTTTAACCAACCAATTGTATAATTGAACTTCTCTACTGAATGTAAAAAAAAAGATTTCTAAATTACTATCACTCGAAAATGATTTTAAAATGTAGTCGAAAAATCAATAGTTGTTATGGAGATTAAGAAACAACGAGAAATATTGATGGTGATCACCGGACATCGCCATCGTCAACCGTCATATCAGCGACATCAACTAATAAATGTTTGACGAGGATAAAAGAAAGCATGTAGTAAAGAGAGATCGCTGTAGTGTCGCGGGGAGATAGGAAGGGGGAGGGGGACAATGAACCACGTCGTAGTTTTAAGGAGTCACTTTGAACATCACCCATCAATCACTATTTAAAAGTTTCATTCAAAATTATACTATTGTTATTGTTGGAAAGTTCAATTTGATCGTGCTTCTCAGTAGATCAAAAAAGTTATGTAGTGAGGAAGGATTACTTTCGAAGGGATTCAAATCGCTAAAGAAATGAGATTAAGCTAGGAATTTAGGTTTAATAAAAGAGAGAGAATTGGCTGATTTCAACTTTTTTGAAAGCCTTTAGACTGAAAAGGCTAGAAAGCTAATTAGAATGTATCCAGAGAAAGCAAAGATAGTTCGTGGGAGAGTTAACCGCAGAATAAGCTGATAATCACAATCACAATCACAACAAGTCATTTTATCATTGATGGTCGGCGGGGGAGGAGGGCATGGGTCACCGCCCTATGTCACCACTATGTGGTGTGATGTGATTGATATGAGGGATTGTATTGGATAACGTGTCTGAGTGATATTCTTACTTTGTATTCCCCTTCCATCCCCTAATTAGTTACACCACAATAATGCAAACTCGATTCTATTCCGGGCATTAGGAAACCATTGTTAACGACTATAACACAAAATGCATCTTTTAATGCCCTCGAGAAAATTTACAAATCACTTACAAACTAATTGTAATAACGATATTAGTGGTGTAGCGAAGAGGAGAGGGAACAGGAGAGGTGGCAGAAAAGAAAAATTATTGGACAACATGAAAAACCTGATTTAGGCAACATCTCGAAGGGAAGACGTCGTCGGCATGATTCAACTACGGTCTTCTTCACTTCTCCCTCTCATTATTTTCACTATGCCTTTGCCTCACTCAATAAGACAATCTCACCAAATCCGGTTCATTTTTGTTATAGAAAATTGACCAAATTACTGCCGGTATAAGGTGATAGTACCTGATTCATCCATTCATTAAATTAAGTTACTTCCTTTCCTTCTGACACTTCTTAACAGCGGCAATTCCTCCAACGACACGAGTTTTCGTTTTTACAAATTAATACCCATAAGTTCTATCAAATTAATACCGGATTTTTGTGGATCGTTTCTGACCAGTTTTCAAATCATAGAGTGACTCTTCAAAATGATTCTTACAAAGATAACAGAAAAGAGTTATTTGAATTGTTGCAAACATTTTAACGTCATTTCAAATAAAAAAGAAACACTTCATTCATCCATCCTTCAATCATGCATTATCATATTGCCGGTTCTCCACAAAATGAATATTTTAACAGTTGTTATTGGGATAGTAATGTACGGTCACAACAGGAATAGAACTCTATTCATCTGAATGATCGGATATCCCCATATTTAAATTACCCATTGATTAACTTTGTCTACTACTCGATGTTTAAAGTTAACATGCTATCATAATTTTTTTCAAATCCATGAATTATCTTGTCTTTTCCGGTATCATCAATTGCAATAAGCTGTCCATCCATGCAACCAATTGGGTAATGTTTCATTTCTTTGCTTATTAGGAAAATCAATCTTACGACCTAACCGGAATGCATAATGCAGTCATGCAGTATTTATCATCGGCTGCGGCGAAAAAGTATTTTAAGTAAAGAAAGCACAATGCATCCTTAACATAAGAATATAGCTACAAGTGACGATGCAACATTTATGTTGAACATGCAAATAATAGAATAATTTCATGGCAAAATTTTGCTTGTAGGACATAAAAAGAAAACGAGCAAATGAAGAACATGCAATCCTGAACTGCATTCCTCATAAGGTATGCAAAATCTAGGAATAGAAATTTCGTGCAGAAAAGAAAGCATCGCAAATAAATAGAAGATGCAAAAATTGGTTGTGGGTGAAAGTTAAGGCGAAGAGATAGTTTGATCATGCCCACAACTGGTATCATCATCACTGACGTCATCACTCGCAAAAAACCATCCTGCTCCAAAACTTTCTCCTCATTCCCTTTACGATCTTTCAACTTTGTGCAGCACATAGAACTCCGTAGAAAGAAAGCAAATACAAACTGGCAATCTGTCAGGACTCTCTTATCCGCCCGCACTGATGGTATCTTATGGTAGAATATACGCCCGCGGGCACGCTTTGAACAAAAAAACTCCAACCTATTCGTTGATACTCGCATCTTCATGAGTTTGCTCGTGTTACAGTTCATGTTTCTTTCTTCTAACCTAGGAAGGATTATGGAAAAGAAGTCTTAATAAAAATTAAAATTATATTTCCTTATAATCTGTTACGAAATTGAACATTTACTGACAAATTTTGTTCGAGGAAAGTTTTATACAGGAGAATAATTACACTATTACACTACACAAAAACTAAACACAGATAGCTCTATACAAGATAAATCTAACATCCAAACATAAACGGGTCACTATTTTCTCATATTTTTTTCGCCTCCCATTAATTAAGACTTGAAGAATTCACATGTGCATTTATAAATCTTAAAACTCGCTGAATGATCTTTTCTTTTTTCATTCTTCCCTTTACCGGATTGGTATTTGATTTGTAATTTCAGAATGTCAGATGAATAACTAAAAATAAATAACTAAAAATTTATTGATGCAAAAAAAATTAATATGAGAATGGATTTGCCTAATTTATTGCAGATTGGTACACTTCAATTAATCACTATACGCGAATTTGTCGTATTTTTCCAGTGCAGCCAAATCTTTCGAATACTTTGGCGTAGGCAATTCCTCCTCTTTGTTCCGGTGCCATGCATACCCGAAACCCGGAGTTGGTGACTCCAGACCAAAATTTTTTCGCAAGCCTGCTTTTACTTCTGTTGCTGCTTCAAAACTAAAACATGAGAAAAGTGGTTTGCAGAAACAGATTACATGTAACTTTAAACTCAACGGAAAATGACTGGTCATGCAATTCAGTGGAATTACGCTGAGAAAACATCAACTCTAAGTGTCGTGTAGTGTAGGCCTCCCAGAGCCGCAATATAATTCCTAATGTGTTTGTTACCAGATAGATACCAAAACAAGAGACTGTTCGAAATCAATAATCTATGAGAAACTTTCAAATAGGGAGAATCGTTTCAAGCAAGCGAGTACCTTATTATCTCGCCGTCAATGCTTTTGAAAATAGGGCCGTGTGAATCTGCGGTATATATGCATTTCGGGGGTTGAACACTGCGCCGAGCATCTCTGTCCAAATAATAATTATCGGATGACTTGTGATATACACCACCAGGTAACGATACAGAAGGACGACTTCGAGCTGCTTGTGTATTCGGGAAACGATTCATTTCATAAAATCTGCTCTACAATAGGAAGTTTGACCGTAAAAAACATGCCGATGATTTCGCGTAATAATTCTAAATAGAAATGGTATAATTATTAATTAGTCTACTCCCTACTAATCTCTTTATAATGTATTAATCTTTATATATAATATATAAAGTTTTATATAATGTTTACAAGCCATACTCGGATAGTAGTGATTTCTATGAACTGTAGGAATTTATCATGACTGAAACTTCCTCTTACCCTTCTTCACTTTTTTTGTATTGCAGTATACTTGCTTCACTTTTTCCTGTATTGTAGTGATGTCGAGAACTGATAATAGAGCTGGAAATTATTCGATGCTCAGATAAACAAAATTCAACTAACCTCACCATCGGATGTTGGTAAGCCAGGTGGTGGCGTAGTTCGATCTCGATATATTGCATTTAGTTTATCACGTAGCCATACCATCACTGGCGTTTGTGTGCGATTAATCACTGTTTTTGGTGCGATTTTTGGCAATTTACTAACCATTTTCTACCTAAAATATGCTATTTCTTTTTCACCTGCTAAACATCATCTTGGGAAAGAGGCTGCCTTCAGTCATATCCCAACAGCCAAACTTTTTCTTGTTCAGCAGTTGTTGACTCCAGGTATTCCAGTAGTTCCATAATCAGACGTAAACAACATTCCTTTTAATAACCAGTGTAAATGCAGCCAAAAATTGGGCAGCCTCCTCCTAGCATAGCGGTTATACCAGCTTACTGGCAAATTTGACATGGTCCAGATTAACTGATTTTCAAGCTATACACGGTAAATCCAAAGGCAGTATATTGTTTCCCCATCTCACTGGAAGCGCTGTATCCTCGTCCTCCCCACCTCTAGTAATGACCATATCCCGGAAACTACCAGACAATGCTTGCATAATTAATGCAATTTAAACTGTGTAATTCTTGCTGAGTCTTAATGAAACAGTTAGATCTCAGAGCCAATTATTTTGCGGCGTATTTTGTTTGGTTCATTTGTTTCTCTTACTTCTAGAATGTCTATGTTTTTATTTTTTTCAGCTATTTGGTAGTACTTTAGTATATAAGTCCTTATATCTAGTACTACTTTCTATCTCTCTCACCTTTCTGAGGCGTTTTTTGTTGTTTGAGCAATATTTGAAAACTAATCCAAAGTTTCTTTCAAAATATTATGTATGTTCTGTATTGCATTCTTCTGAGTTTCTTCGAATATTAATCATTGCTTACATCGTCAAAATATGAATTTGGAAAAAGTGAAGTGACAATCAAGGCGAATGGCTAAATAAATTTAAGTCTAAGATGTTGCCATGCGTTCTTCTCCGTTGATTTCTTAGATTAATCATTGAATTTCCTGTGTCAATCAACAAAGGATCTGATATATCCATCCCAGCTTAGAAATAAGGTAGGAGCCTTGTTGGCAAAATGTATTTCAGTACCTTCCAACGCATTTGCTTATCTGTCAGTTTAAATGGCATTGCTCACTGTGACAGTCGAAAAATGAGCGTCCCTTGATGCGTTGCTATAGTCAATATCGTTAATACTACTTTTTTTTTCTTGTTTTACCCACTGACTTGAATGGCTTGGTATATCGAAGAACAGGAAAAGGTCTACTTGGATTATAATGCAACCACACCGATCGATAAAGATGTTGAGCGATCTATAGTGAATGCATTCCGAATTTGGGGTAATCCAAGCAGTAATAATGAACTCGGTAAATCTTAGTTACCTAGTCAAGCATGCATTATAAGAAGGGGAGGAAAAAGAATTCTCCGTTTTTCAATTTTTTTTGAAATTCTTTGTACTTCGCTGAACATCTTTTGATTTTTGAAAAATTATGAAGGGAAAAAAGCGAAGGATCTGATTGAGGAAGCACGAGAAAATATCGCTAGACTGTTGCATGTTTCCGCCAACGAAATATTTTTCACATCAGGTGGAACTGAGGTCAGAATTTCGTATTTCTCTTTTGTAATGAAATTGAATTAACGGCGAACATTATATTTCTCTAACACATTATTTGTTTAGACCAATAACTGGGTGATATATAACTGTATTGAGCATTGGAAAGAAGGATGCGGACGGAACTATAAACCACACATTATGGCCTCCGCCATTGAGCATTCATCGATTCTAGAACTATTGCGTGATCTGAAAAAGAAACAAAAAATCGGTAAGTTTGTATTTTATGACCAAATTCGCTATAGTTTTAAGAATTTGGTTGATGAAAATTTGCTACATTGATTCTTTTCCTGTACATTATATTGCATGCATTTTGGGATAATTTCACACTCTGTAACCGTGCATGAAATATTTCATAGATCCATCTTAAAAATGAATGAATTCCATTACCGGCACAATTTCCCGATGACATCTACTCATCAGACTTGACTGAAATCGATATTGATCTGGCAACTGGTCGAATAAAATTAGATGATCTGGAAAACGCATTTTGCGATCGAACTTGTTTGGTGTCAGTGATGACGGCGAACAACGAAACGGGTGTTATACAACCTGTTGCTGCAGTTTCTAAAATTGCCAGGTTGTGCTTTTCTTCTTAAAAAAATGATTTAGATAGCGGAATAAATCAATGGGATATCCTAAATTGCGACAATTTTTATAGTTTTTGCTTAGCTTTATAATAATCAAAGTAGATTTCTCACTCATGTGTATTTGCTCAGCTCTTGACTCAGTTTTATTATACACAGGGTTATACGATCTGATTTTGATGCTTTCAGAAAATATGAGAACAAATTTGAAAGTCGAGTGTTTGTGCACAGTGATGCATCCCAGGCTATCGGTAAGGTTGATGTCAATATGAATGCATTGAACGTCGATTTTGTAACTGTTACGGGGCATAAATTTTATGGTCCACGAATTGGAGCGCTGGTAGTAAGAGCTGAAAACGAAGTACCTCTGAAGGCGATGTTTCTTGGCGGTAATCAAGAACGAGGCAAGCGAGCAGGGTATGTTATTCAAAATTTAGAAATTTTTATTGATCATTTGATTGTTTATTAAAGTATCTTTAGGAATTATCAAAAAAGTATATTATAGCGCTAGAGATCATTGGACATGATACACTGAATAATGACTGGAAATATCAAGCGTTTTTTTTTCTTTTGCAGCACAGAAAATACACCAATGATAGTCGGTTTAGGAAAGGCAGCACAAGTGGCATTGAGTGGTCTTCAAGAATATTCAAAGCATATGCAAAAAATACGAGACTACTTCGAGGAACAGCTCAAAGTAAGTGGCTGAACACATTTATTTTGACTAAGCATCGGTATTTTTTTTTGGGATCAATATTTTTCGAATTTCTAATTTCCCTTTCTCGACTTCATTGGTCCAATACTATTATTATATAACTCTAGGAAGCGCTCAGTAATGAGATTGTAATTAATTTCGAAACATCGAAACGTCTGCCAAATACTAGTAGTGTGACATTTGTGAAATACTCAAGGGATGCTTCCGAACTACTATCTAAATGTAAATCATTCATTGCTAGCACTGGAGCTTCTTGTCATGCATTCACTCAACAGTTAGTTCATTTTTTACTGATCTTTATATTGTATTTTGGTGTCAGAGCTATTGAGAATATCCGATCACATAGTGCAGAACGCTTCATGGACAAATAATCTATTATATATTTGCAGTATGTTGCTGCTTGTTATGCCTTCCGATTATCTGGATCGTTTAATACTGGCAAATATATTTGGCTTGTGTTTCATCGGTTTTTTGAGAGGAGAATCACTATCATATTGTCTTAAGCCTAAAATTGCAGAGGGACATTAGGAAATACCGTGGGGCTGTGCTGTTTGCTTCATATTTAATATTCCATCCATTTTTCTTGCAGATGTTCTCAAGTACTAACAGCATGTGGTATTCGTGAGGAATTTGCGCTCCGGACGGTAAGATTTAGTTTCGGCAGAGATTCAACATGCGATGAAGTAGATCGAGTGGTGAAAGAACTAAAGGCGATCATGTTTATGGATAGATATGGCAGTTCGTTATTAAATGTCATTAACAAAGGACCCATCTCGGATTTTTAATTCGATGTGACCTAGTCTTGTTGATTTTGTGAAATCTTTACATGGTATACAATAGTACATAATAATGTAAAACTCCTTATTAGTTCGTTGTTATAATGATTATGTACTACTCATTGTTTCGTCCAACTAAAACTGATCTCTGAGATTGCTCACTTAATCGGCGTAATTTGATGAAAACTAACTTCAAGTAGTTTCAGATTGACTAATCTATGTTATGAGTCAAAGGAAAATTTGCCATGACACTCCAATCAATCAAATTCTATATCTTTTGCTATTTTGTCAAAAAAATCTGTTATCAATTTGTAAATTGTCATTGCTGCTTGCTATTCTTCTTGCCTAGGAATTTTTTCAGTACTTCTCTATCATTTCGTTTCATTCCATGTGTTTTTATATTTACATATTATTTAAATAGGTTCATGGGTGTAGGTTAATTTTAACTTCCAAGTTTCGATTTTCAACTTTCGCCACTAGGTTCCTTCGGATTTTGTGTCGATATATTTTGGAATTTCGGCTGGAATTTCGGCTGTCTAAAGGTTCCTGCATAAATATATGCCTCTTATTTGCAGTGTAAATTTCGTTAAGCAAACGAACTGGTAGAATTTTTATCTGGACTTGTTTTGGAACTCATGTTATTTGTGTTATCACTTCATACTTTCATGTTTTGTTACGTTTTTATTGACTTTTTTGAGTCAGTGAAATATGTTTGTATGCTTTTGACAATCTAGATTTACGATGATTTACTTTCCTAATTCTGTTATCATTGTGAATCTCATGGAACCTTTGGCATATTTTCCCTGTTTTTTCCCGTAATATTCCAGTAAAATTCCATGTTTTGATTTTATTTTAAACTTGATTCTTAAAATAACTTTGATAAAGAAGAAATGAATCTCCCTTTCTTCGTCGTGCATCTTTTATCTCATAGAAAAATAACATGGCTGAGAAAAATATGTGCAAACAAAACGATATTCGTGGTAGTAAAAGATGTGATTTTCGAAATGGAAATTGTAATCTTGTTTATCCAAAGAGATCGAAATTTACTTATTTAATAAAATTCCAATGAAATTAAAATAAGAGTCACCAGGGTCAGAGTCATCTCCGATATATTTCCTCACGATTTCATAGTCGGTGTAATATATCCTGACGAAACAGATGGATCGAAATGTTAAGCTATAATCAGTAGGTAGGAGATGGAATCAGATTGTTGCTGCCATATATAAAACTCTTGGCTCTAAATTAAACAAATTGTTGCTGCCATATATAAAACTCTTGGCTTTAAATTACTCACTTTCGAGGCTGGTGTATGTCATGTCCTAGAAAATGAAAATCAAAAATTAACAAATCTCGTTGGACTCGATGGCTGATAGTGTTTGATGGCCTTATTCAGGCCATGCTGAAAACACATTCTTATAGCCTCAAAAATGATGATAGGTGCAAATAGAGATCAGTTATCACTCTGAAAGCATTTGCATATCCGGCTTAGGTCGTTTGTGTTTTACAGTTTTAATTCAGGGAATAAGAAATTTCGAGCAGAACAGAATAATACGGAAATCATACAGCGCATATCCGGCGCAACAGATGCCGATAGCGAACCGGAACTTCTCATAGCGCTGGTATGAAGATTGCAAATATTACGTGGTGTTGACAGTTTGGAATCCGATACAGAAGAATATGAATGACTGGAAGGAAGTTTTGTCAGTCCTAACAATAGCTGTAATCACGGTAAAATTAGCAGTTTCTAAAAATTTTTATGAATTCAATGTTTGCAGCGTCTACAAATAACTTTTAGATCAATCTTTCCATCTTATAATTCACAGATATTGAAAAATACATAAAACAGAGATGGCTAACATGTCCGGAAGTGCCTTGATTTCCTGAATTTCTTCTTCGGAATATATACCGCGTCCGATTGCGTATTGCGAATCGACGATATCTGGCAAATTTTTGATATCACTCTTCTAAAAAATATAATTATGCCTTAATTTACGAAAGATCTGGATGGTGAGTTGAATCAATGAAGCATCGAATACCGATCAGTTAGGGATCAAATCCTTTACTTCATCATCCGGCAGTTCGTATCGATTAATAATGGGGGATTTTCTCGGCTCTTTGTCAGTAATCGATGGAATCCCGCGCAACTCTTCATATTCTTCACGAGTAAACGTCTTCTTACCAATCACTTGATCTTCACGAATAAATTCCGGATATGCATTAATATCCTAGAAATAGCTTATTCAAACAGTTCCTTCATTGTATAAAATATCACTTGTACAAAACAAGAAACAAAAGACGCTGAATATTTTATTATCAGAAACTGTTTGTCTCTTCGATTTTTGAATTATTGTGGAAATTTCTTTGAAAATAATGATTTCACAAACCTTAATTTCAGAAGTGGTGTAACGAGCATAAGGTTGTGTTGCGGCTGTTCCTAGAAATAATGGAGCAATTGGATATCAAGCAAGCAGAAATAAAAATATTTTTTAAACTAATGAAATTAAAAAAATTTGAATGATGAAAAAGAATTCCCCTTTATATAATTAAGAATTAAAAAGTTTCAATTTCATTCTACATGGACACTGATCTGAAGGTGCAATTGTCAAAAAACAGAGAGAGAGAGAAAGAACTAATCACCGAAAAGAATTATAATTCGAGATTTTTTTGTAAAGCATATCAGGAGTGGAACAATTATAGATTTTGAGAGTTATACCAAGGCTAGAATCAAAATCAATTTCTTTCTCTACCAATTAAAAATGAGGTAATGATATCTGCTATGGAAGAATAAATAAAGGTAAGTGAGATTTTTGCTTGCATGAACGACCTTTCGGAGAAAATGAATCTGGAATGGCCTTCATATCTGCTAAACTTTCCGTTCTGTATGGGCTACTTGTGGAAGCTTCGGATGGATTTTTTTCTGAAAGCACTTTTTTATGCGATTTTTTTAACAGTTAATTTACTCTGATATTAACTTAGTACCAAAAGGAAAAATTGATCCACCTCAAACCGATAGTTAATAAGTGCTGAATTACAAATCGGTTGAGTTAGTTTTGCTTTCAAGTAGCTCAAAGTTGTTATTTGCTTGACATACCATTATATATCGGGGAGAACTGGCTTTTTATCTCACGAATATCAGCAAGGCTTTGTTCTCCAAATGCATAGCGGTTCACAGTTTTCAAATCACCTGAAAAAAAAATTGCTTAGAAATGAATTCCAGGAACCATTGAATCAGTGACATGGAGTTTTAAACGAAATAATTGAAAAGAAAGAAAAGCAGAAGTGTACTTTCTTGTGAGATCTCTCGGTCATACCAGTTATTCTTCATATTTCGAATACCTTCAAAACCTGTAACTCATCCATTTTTCTCTTTTCTAAAATCTCGAATTTCTTACGATCACAAAAAAGAATGCTGGTCACTTATGAAATTCCATATATTTGGTGAATGGTCTGTTTTTATATCAGGAATTCATAATTTAAGAAAGTAGTAAAGAACTGAACCATATAATTTGTCTTTTGCTTGTCTGATCTGTTCCGTCAGATTATAGACAAATCGACGACCGCCCAGATAATGATCTAGATTTGGTGTAAAGTATCCTGAAGTATGTATTACATTTCTAGTAGAGTCGGTGTTTTTTTGAGAAGCATAAGATGTACATTCTTTAAATTAAATTCTAAATACTTTTGCCATGGAACTGATTCGGTATGTTTGCAATATCTGTAATACTTTCAACACCATGTAAATTTCGATTGATAGTTTTCGTGGATGGTGGTGATGAATTTCTTCCTGAAGCACAGATGAAATGTATTCTTCCGATATGGTTAGGACAAAGATCACAGATACTGTTTATTAAGCAGTGCTGAAATTCCCTGAAGTATAGGCACAATAAGATAATGATGATGGTGTCAACAACCTATCCTACCAGAAGTTTGCTGACATCCAGCAGTTCCTGGACGATTAGATAGTAGTGTTTGCAGTTGATTAATTCTGGTGATACTCTCGGGATTAGAAGCATGCGTGCTGGTCGTTTCACGTGATTTTTTGGTGGCTACAAAATATTTTTGTTTTCTAAACTGTGAAATATGATCTCTACAAATAACTATGATCTGAGAAATTAGGAACAAAAAAACCATAATGCTTAATTGATGATTTCCTTGCTTACATTCATGCGAGAATAGATTTTGTATCTCTTGAATTTCGGCAATACTGTCGCTGCTAAAAGCATTCCGTCCAATTGTTCGCTCCTCCGCACTTAGTGCTGTTATGATATCTGTACTATTTATCAATAATAAAATGTTTATACAAGAATAAATTATAGCAAAGAACAGTAATATTGATTGGCCAAGAACTGGACAACCAGGAAGCAGACACTCCAAACTTTGCTATGTCACTTTTTCAAATGAACTTCATCATGGCACTTGATTTATTAATATTAAAGTATTCTTCGTTTTAATTGCCATTGCTAAAATATAGACATAGAAAGTCTTCTACCGCTGTTTCTTGGGGAGAACTGATTTGGTATGCAACTATTATTTCTAAGTCTGTGTAACCCAAGAGAATGACGTCCAACTCCTTTGTCATTTTTTTCATCGAATGTTCCTGCAGCTGCTAATCGGGGAATATCCAAAGAAACTTCTGAAAATTAATATCCTTTCTGAAAGATCTAAAGGATTCATTTCAAATGCGATTCTCAAGAGAAATAGTGAATTTGTTAACAACAAGCCAACTTCATTTCCAGTAAGCTTTCTGGACAACGGTCCACCATTTCATTCACTTCTGCAGCTGTTCTAGTGCCTAAGTCTGCCAAATAGTATAAAATTGTGTCATCAACGAGACATGCAATGTAATATTGAAAATTTTTCTTCGATATTCCTTTAATTAAAATCGAATATCAATTTATTAAGTTTCTAGCAGTCATACGAGGCTGAAAGGAAAATAGTTAGCCTTTAATCTCTCGAAGAATAACTGATTAAAAGTACTGCCGTCATCTTTCAAAAACGCTCTTAGCAGCTTATGTGTCTCATCTTCCTTTTGTTTATTGTGCATGTTTATGTAGTTGCATGTAAACTTAATGGTTGACATTCAAATATGAGATGAACTAATGCTTACTGATTGGAAATATAACTGGACGGTCAAAAATGAAGTTTTATCTAATTTATTCCATAGTAGAACACTTTTTAGAATGATGAATTCTGTTAAAAAGTATACCCACCAATATTATCAAAATATTGAAAGGATTTTTGTCCTTGTGAGATCCTGAAAGAAAAAAACGAATATCATAAAATGATGCAAGAATATTACTAAAAAATAGATCATTGATTGATTCTCTTATGCAAACACTCTAAGAGTGCATCTCTTTCAATGATCATCAGATTCATAAAATAAATTACCGGTATTTTCCTGAGAAATTAACAATTTGCTCAGATAACTCTTTGAATGTGAAAATACGGGCATTAGTGAACTTTTGGCTGCCACTACTTATTGGATAATATATCTGCAAATTGCATTGTATCTTGGCGAAACTGGCGATTAATAGAATTTGAATAATTTATAGAAGATAATTTCGAAAACTTATACCACGACAACTAACTTTTTCATTGTTTCTAAATCATATTTTAATTTCGCCGAACACTCTGAGTGGTTTAGAAACGGTTAGATAACACTCCCATTCATCAAAATGGGAGAAATATGGGAGAAGGCAGTACAAATTTTAACTAACTACAAGTTGTTGCATGATGAAGTTTGTTAAATCGAGTTCTGAATCTATCTTTGCTTTTTGTCTAAATTTTTGTAATTTTGTTCCAAAAATAACTTTTGGTCAACCTTAATTAGCTCCTCGAAATTTGGTAACTTGTTGATTTCAGCAATGTAGGAAGTATCCACTTCATCATCTATCATTTTTCCAATTTCCACATTTTTGCGCTCCGATTCCGCTTCACTCATACTACCAATGAATACTACACTTATGCATGTTTTAAACGGTGCTTGTTTCTTTGCAAAAGGATAGAATCCAAAAGTTGGCAAATTTGGAAATTTTTGTAAATTTTGGAATTAAAAAAATGTTGAAATGTGAGTATGTATCACTTTATAGAAAAATTCGGTACGATAACATTGCTGCTTTTTGCATATTTTCTTGAGTCACCGCTGATAACAATCCGTTTATTAGAAATATAAATATGAATGGATGCCAGAAGACTTTTGGGAAGTTCTCGATAGAGGCGTCGAAGGTGCTGTACCAGCGCTGTTAGTTGATTTGATCTCAGTACCTCTATGTAGAGCGATTCGAGCACAACATCAAGAAATCGTGAATGTGTCGAGTTTTTCAACCTGTTAAATCGAGATGGTTTCAGTTCAGTAAAAAGCTTAATCTCTCCTGTTTATGGTAAACGCTCGGGAGAAGATTTTAAGATTTTTTAAGGATTCAATATGAAAAAAAAAGCGAACCACTGCAGAGCGAAATTGACCGTATCAATTTTTTCCTTTGACTTGATATGTGGAGAAGAAACTAATGCTGCGATAGCATTTAAAGTTAATTTTTGAATGTCATTGTCTGAGAGGAGATGCATAGTTGCAATGAATTTTTTACAAATTATTCCTTGTACCATGAAAGAAATCTGAAATTATCTCTTTCCTTCTAATTATTCTGATGAACCAACAAATTTCCAATCTTTTGAATCCTTTATAAAGTCTTCTTTTGCAAAACATGGATCAGTTATTTGAGCATCAACTTACAAGTCCATCTCACGCATATGAAATTTCAAACAATTAACAAATATCATTGAGGAAAGAGACCAACCGAGCACTCCGGATCGGTAGCAATGTTAATACAGCAGATAATACAGTCATTCTGATCAGCTAATATTTGCAAGGTGCTTTCCAAATTTTGTTTCAGTTTGTCAACACCAAGACTGTTGACAATCTTTAGATGTTCTCCGTATTCTTCCACTGCCATTTGAATCTGAATCAACAAAAAACTCAAACTGATAATTGCTTAAGGGGTCTTGACTTTAAATAGTTCACTGATTTCTCCCATTTCTTCTCTACTTTTTATGTATCAGGCTTTCGAATTTGTTTAGAAGAGGCAAATTCGAAATTATTATTTATAACTGAAACTAAATTTTCAAAACGGTCAAAATTTGGTTTAGATTGTAGAAATGTTGAAAATTTTGCAAACTGAAAAATCTACAAAGAAAAAGAGTTTTTGAAATCACTTTCATAATGAATAAATATGAAAAAGATTGGATTACGGGAGAAAAAAACATACCTCACCATTATACATCCAATCAATTACATTTGAAACGGCTTTATACTGATAGCTGATCAGTGAAATACGAAGTGGAGTCTGATTGCATTTGAGCATCTGGAATGTATCATGGATTTATGCAAAAGGCAGGTATATATTTGGAGATCAACCATTTACTCAGATGAGAAGGGAAAAGGAGGTACTCTAACTTTAACAATGTATACTGTTAAATTATGTATTACAGAATCGTAGTACTACTACTACTACGATTCTGTAACACATTACAAACATTGAAAATGTCTATATATACCACACGAATGTAACTAGAATGCATAGCACCGATGCTGCTATGCAAAAAATCAGTCTGCATTTGAGCACAAATAATTTCAACATCAGCAGTAATTAGATTTCGCTTGATACGTAGTTCACGTAGATACTGATCAATACCACTGCAATGCTGTTGAAAATCATATCGCTTCAAGTGGACCATACTGAAATGATCAATTAGAAGCATGAGCGTTCAGCGGTGCAGAATGACGACTTCTTGAGGAATCGAAAATAAAAAATATTATTTATGATTTGTTTTCTTTCTCTTTGTTATCATTAAAATTCACTCGCTTTTTAATGTAAGGAGAAAGGTCTCTAACTTCCTTAAAGTGTGAATCAATCGGAAATTTCTATTTTCTTCGGTACATAATTATATGATCACTGAAATTCCACGATTGGAAGGCTTCACTAATTCAAAAAACATTACTTGTTATGCACAACAGACTTCATTAGCCGTGTTACAATTTTTCCCAGAATCAGTAAAGAAGACAGAACTCGACCTCTCAACCACCTATCAGCAGAATAACTATGAACAACAATAGACTGTTGCACTCTCAACAATTTATTTCTTCCAAATTAAATGCCATTTTTGAAAATTGTCAATAATGCAACCCAAAATTAGCATATGATCATTTCTATCAATTGCTGTACAATTCATTCTGATTTGCCGTGATAGTAATCAAATACTGCGATGTGTTAAATTGCGTCACGAGCAGGTGACCATGAATTACCGGATGTTTCTGACTGCCTTCTAAAATATTTTGCAACCTCCGATTTATAAAAAATTCCTTAATAATCTGAAATGACTAAATATATTTAACTCGAAATTTGGTATAAGCTTTCAACAAGTTTCTTTAAATCTGAACGATATGAAAGCGCCTGATGAAGAAAATTGGTGGGTAAATTGGTTCTTCATGCAATGAAAAAAGAAGGGTTAAATGAAGTAGACAGAAACTCCATTTATGCAAATATCATTGTTATGGTTTGGGGGAGTGAATAAATCGATGGCAGTTTCAGTTGCGCTAGCACAAGCGGGTACGTCTTGTTTTGCAGGCAACACACACACACACACACACACAGTCCAACTTCAAAACTCGCTTCTATTTTTCATTTTAGTCAAGAATCAACCCATCGAAATTACATCCTTTCTGCCATTACAGTGCTCGATTCCGTTTCTTCTCCCACAATTATGGACTAAGTCAATTCACAGTCTCGATGATATCATGCTGTCATTGAGCCGAGTAAATCCTTGCCATTTTTTTATTACAACTGCTATCTGTGTAAAGATTGTTGCGACGAACTTTATTATTGAATTATGCAAAAGGAACCGTTTTAGGACGAAACGTTAGTCAACTTTTTGGTTTAGCAAACCGAAACATTTTGTTTAAATTTCTGTCATTTCTATCACTTCTGTGCAATGTTTCGAAGAGTTTCGGATTTAAAGTGAAATCTATTAGACTGATAAAAACAATACATTTTGAAAAGAATTAAAAAATATGAAGACTTGATCTTCCTATCTATAAATGCAAATAACAAGAAATGTTGTTGAGAATAATTACTGCGAAGTGCATCTTCCCATCACATTTATTTTTTTCCATTTTCATTCTACGAGAATTTGACAAATGCATGCATAATGTTTTCAACCGTATCAAATTCCTGTTCAAAACTATCGTTTCATTTTTTTTTCCATCAAACTTAAGCATTTCATTTGACGAACTACAACTAACTTCCCTTGCATTTCCTTAATTTGAAGTAAAATTGACGATGAATAACTTTTCACCTTGTGATTCAATTAACTCTTCATGTATATTCTATTTGTCTTTTCAAAAATTTGAAATTCGAATTTTTATATTAGATTGATATTTTGGTGAATTTTGCAGGATAAATGGCGAAGATTAACAGTGATAAGGGATCTGAGGAAACTTCAGCAGATAAATGTATCAGATGGAAGGATTAAGTTTTACGATTCTTTCGGAAATATTATCTGAAAAAATATGCATAGACGAGAAAACAATTATATGGCATAGCTTCTCTTTTTCAAAGAGAGAAATCACGAATAGATCCGACGGTCAAATATATTAATTGTTTGCAAATTGCAAGCATGCACTTCAAAACTATTTCCGGAAAATAAATGAGTCCTTTTCCTATTCTTACTGGAAAAAAGTTAAATTTTGAATTGTTCCTACTGTTAAGAGCAAAGAGCGGGTGCATATCAATAGGCAGCCGAAAAGTTCTCATACTTCTCTATTAAGTATATTCGAATGGAATTGGAGACCAGACTTTGGAAGCAAAAATGGATTTAATTTCTCAACAGACACTGCAAATTAATAGCAAGAAAAACTTATCTGAAATAACAGTTTGAAATAAATAATTAAGTGAATACATTTTAATGGCAGGAATAGTGATCAAAATTTAGCTGGCCAGGTTTGAACTTTTTATTAAGATCAGATTTTTTTCCTCAAATGGCATAGGATAATGTCCAAAGGTCAACATTACAGCTTTCACAGTGAGGAATATTTTGGAAAAAAAAACCTATATTGTAATTTTCAACTACGATTTGTTCACTTTTTAATGTATAACTTAAAATTAAATCTATTTTATTTCTATTTCCTGATTAGGAAATTAAAAAAGTAAATGGATAAATGAAAGAACAAATAAATGTATCAGAAATGTCGCTAAACAATGTTTTGTTAAGAATAGTAAGTATATATAGAGATATTTCACTGATGCGTAACTTCAACATTGAATCCATTAAATTCAGATTTCAATTCTTCTCAGTGGTACTAAACTTTATTCTTTGCTGCTTTTATTAGATCCTACATTTTACAGTTCCTGCAGGATCATTAAAATTATCGAAACATCACGAAATATTCTTTTATTTAATATATATTAAAGTTTTTAAATGGTTTTGAACAAACTATGGTCCTCTGTGCAAATTGAAAAATTTGAAATTATGGCCGATATTAATATAAAGTTGGTTACAGAACAAATTCAACGTTGAGAAATTCCAAAAATGCTTCATAGCAATTTATTTTTAAATTTGTATGCTTAAAGGTTTCAAATAGCCAAAGCTAAACTGACATTTTGTCATCATTTTGTTTGGTACATTCACAGGTGTTCAAATCATTACCCCAGATGTTAAATGCGGTATTGAATCAGTTCTCATTGCTATCATTTTAATTTGACCTATTAGATAGTCTACATTAGCACATTTTAAAAAAGCATTTAGATCTGTCATATGAAAGTTTAGTAAACTATTAATAGATAGGCCTGTTTTATTTTTTAACAGGCACTGGTTACAAAATAATCAATGAAAGTATGATAAAATTTATGCTAAATTTTATAACATCAAATCACCCATAGCAAAATCCATTTTCTGTTTGTGACCACTTAAACCACGAAGAGCCTTCTCCCTTCATGATGAATGCTATTTTTCAATTTTTAAATTTGATTTGAAATGAGTCTCACAGATATCAGTAATCTGCATAGCTCTGCTTACAATTTAGAAATTAACATTAGCAAATTTTTTCATGCCATTTTTTAGTAAATTAGTTCAAACCGATTGCTTCTTCCTTCTTAAAATTTTCTTTCTTATTTTAAAAGGAATTTTTGGATAAACTTTATCTTTGATGTTTCTGTATTGGTATTGATAAAACAATCAGTTATCAATTTACAAGTATTATTATCTGCTAAAGATTACTGTAGCAGTTCATAATGTGCGATAGCACTAAGATTGGTAAAAATTTCACAACTAATTGTTTTTTAAAGTTAACATGAATTGGAGCTGAAACAAATGACGCAAACCAATTCATAGAATGACACCAAAAAAAATTTCATAAGTTTAATCAGATTTTTAGAAAATGTCAATAATTAACGATTGATTTGACACAGAGCGATTCATCTGTCTAATTGAATTTGTTGCTGTGGAATAATTGACGAGAAAAATATAAATATGAGGTGTTGACAAATTTCATTGCACTGACCCATCTCTTTTCAACTCGTATTATTCATCACTTTCAATACAAATTTTAACTTATCGTTTTCGTGAACTCTAAACCCTAAAGTTTCAATCATATCATGCTCCTATAAGAAAAGGAAAACTTTTAGTGAGTTGCTATCAACAGTATTCAATGATCAATAAGTCATCAATATTATTATCAGTGATAGCCCAGACAGTATTAGATAGTGGGAGCAATATGCCATGCCGTACAACGAGGAAAATATCCTTCTCCTCTGGCTTTTTCACTTTCCATAACGAAACCAGCGAAGAACCCGCATTTCCTCTTTATTATATCTTATTCAGATTATTCTTCGAGAATTTCACTTTTTTTTTTACATTTTGAAAAAGATAGGATTGTGAATGAGAAGGATCATTTCCACTCATTTTACATTTAACGATAAGAAGAAAGAAGAAAATGAAGAGTATTAATTTGCATATCTTGAGATGGAAAAAATCTATGCAATTGTCAAATGATAATGAAAATAATTGATCAGTTCCTCTTTCTACCATAATTATCAATTTAATTTATCAGTTATCAAATTTGTATGAGATGGAAGCAATCATAATTGTTTGCACATAAAAAAGTAGCATTTTAATTGTGAATGATTAAATTGTTATGATGAAATTGCACGTTGTCACATAAATAATTGCAATCCTTTACCAATGAATCTATGAATTGTTGGGATGCATTATGGCCCATTCCCAATTTTTAATTCAAATTTAATTCGATTATTCAATCAAACATGAATGTTTGCATAACTGTGAAAACAAGTTCTGAAAAACTTGCAAACATGAAGTTTTTTGGTAATGTTTATTTTCAACTTCCAAAGAATGCATGCGATGTTGACTTGGTTAGTGTTTCCTTCTGTCATTACTTTTTCAACTCATTCATTTCTCTTTGGTACTTTTTTTTGTAATTTTAAGACTCTCTTGCCTTAAGATAGAGTAGTGACATTCTCTCTATCTTTTCTTCTAATATGACTGTTACCGCCATCAATCGATCCTTTTATTCTTCAATTCTTTACTTTCACATTACTTGTATAATTTAGAATATCATCTTGAAGAGCCTTGACCTTTTTAACATTCATCGATATTAATTCCTTCATTATTCACACTCTCATTATCTATGAGCAGCAGTTAGCTATTCCACAGTCAGGTATTCTAGAAATATGGAAATCTGTTATAGCTAAACCTACAACTCACGTATCATACATATATTAGTAATATTATCATCCAAATTATTTTCACTTCTAGCATTATCATTTAAGATTAACTAAATTAAATCCTAAATATTGTTGTAATTTTTCATAATTTCCTTTCTACGTTCTGCAATTCATAGGATTTCATTTTTTAAATCCCTGATAGAAATTCTAACACAAGTAGCTTAAAAAAATCAAATTTTCTTTTAACCAAAATTTAAAGTTGCTAAATTGAGAAGAAGTGAATACTATTAAGTTTTTCATTATTACAAAGCATTTCATTGTTAGTTGATCAAAAGTTATGCTACTTTCTCAAATTCCAAACATTATATTGTACTAGGAAATTTGGAATTCTGTTTTAGGATTCAAAAAAAAAGAGAAGGGTATTCTGATTCATTTCAGATTTTAATTTCAATACCTGAATTTGTTACAGATTACAAAAAGCACTTTTATGGTTACAAATTCACTAAAAATCATTCCAAAATGATACAGTGTAATTATTTTTTATTCATATCTTTCGGTTTTTATAGCATTGCTACAATAGTGGTCAATGACGCAATATTGTAAAAAAGATTTGTTTCTAGGAAATACCGGGGAGACTATGAAACTATGACTGCTGGTGTTTCTAAAGATGTAAGACACGAAACTCGGACTACTTTCAATCAAAACTTCGCCCATATACTCCGCGGATTCTGCTCTTCAAGCAGTGTGAAACTAGAAAATGGTAATTCAATGGAATATAGGGTCAGATTCAAAAAGAAAACACAATTATTTTGCAATATTTGTGAGTTACAAATACTATTTTTCATTTTGGTTTACACTTAAGTCCTCTCTTTCCACATAGCAATTACTCGTTTTCCCATCCTCTGCGGATCATCTCATTTCAAACTATTCGGGGTTTTCATAATTCAAAATTCACTATTGCTTAAAGTTGAATCTTATAGCTAGCATAGCAATCTTCATTTTCAATTGCAAATATTCTACCGTTTCTAATTTTTCAAAGTTTTAAGCAAATCTGACTGGAATAAAAAAACCGACCAATTCCAATTACAAGGATTTCAAAGAGAAATCATTTTTTGAAAACAGTGAAAAAGCAAGAATCATTTCCACCCATAAGCGCTTCCCAGAATTCAAATGACAATGTCCTGATAGCAGTTATCATCCATTATTAAATATTTGCATTCAGTATCGAGCATTCTCATCCCTCTCTTCATTTGTAATTTTGTCATCCTGAAAAATCAAGTGCCCGCAAATAAAAATGTCCAAATTTTTTGCCAAAATTTCGTGGCATTTTTAATTTTCTAATAAATTAGATTGGTAGTCATTTATAAATGGTATTTACTCCATAAAATCTGATAAAATGCAAACCTACTCATCTCATGAATAAGAAGGATGACGAAAACAGAGCGAAATGAAATTCAGATGTCACTTATAACCCGAAAAGATTTTAGACTTTATCAATGGGTTGAAAATAATTATATCAAACTACCCATAATTGATCAATTCAGTTACTATGACATTGTTATAGTAAATTTTTTGACGCTCTATCCTTACTATTCAGATTCTGTATTTCTCATCGATGTACCTTTTGGTGCATGAAGCAAGTGTAAATTGTTTCAAAGTAATCAAAGTGTCCGATTGAGATTTCAGGAGCAAGTAAAAAATTTTTCTTTCAGGTCAACCACACCGAGCAGTCGGTATGCTACTAGTAGATTGGATATTTCTGGCAGGTTTGGGTGTTGCCATGGCTGTGCTTTCGCTAATGCTCGATTATGGGGTCGATAAGCTTCAGACATGTATATTTGCGCTGTTATCAACTGCTGAATTTCTGAATTTATTTTGAATACTTAATTAATGAAGGGAAGAAGAATATAGCATTGCAGGGGAAATAAGCAAACGTTTACTGCTTTTGAGCGAGAATTCGTAATTCATCATCTCGCGCCATTCCACTCCAGTAGGACTGGCTGGCTTACTCGAAGTGCAAAAAAAGTAAGCTGTCAATTTGCAGATCATGTGATAGCAATGGAAAATTTTAACAATACCAAATATGCGACAACTAACACGTTTATGACTTATGCAACGTGGCTAATTTATACAATGGTGCTTCTAATGCTCGCCACAACTATCGTACATTACCTATCCATCAACGCTATGGGTTTATTTTAATTTAAATATCTTGATAGTATTCCAGATCTTGATTTAAATATCTTTAAATAAATTCAAATATCTTAAAATTAATTCTTCACTTGATTAGTAAAAAAAAAGTATATACAAAAGACGGCAAATTTAGGATCTGGAATACCAGAAGTGAAGACAATACTACAGGGTGTACATATCGAGAAACATCTAACATTTCGTACTCTGATATCCAAATTGATCGGTTTGATGCTTGCGATTGGAAGCGGTTTTCCGATTGGTAAAGAGGTACCGAATCAGAAATAGTAATCTCTCTTGTCAAACCGACTTCTAAAAGATCCATTTTATCGATTCATTTTATAGGGACCATTTGTGCACATGGGTTCCATAGTAGCACATCTAATGAGACGTTTGGTAGAAGGAATCAAGCCTGCTTACGCAAATGAATCCAGAAGTTATGAGTTACTTGCTGCAGGATGCGCTGCAGGTGTTGCTGCAACTTTCTCTGCGCCTGTTGGAGGTGGCCTTTCCATTAATCATAAAATTAAATATTAAAGCATCAAATTTACATATTGAATTCGATTCGTTTTCTCGTTAATGCTAAGAAAAAAATATTATTAAAAAAAATATTTGTTGTTTTGGTTTCTGATCATTTCTTGCAGATAGTTTGGTAAATTTGCAGAATTGAGTGATAATTGTTGCGCTACTTGTGTACATTGTTTTAAATATCGATAATTAGTTATCAGAGATTAGTAATATCAATGATATATATTAATTTATCTGCAACTTTAAAACTGTCTGAACTTTAGGAAAGTTGCGATAATGGAATGCTAGCATGTGCATGCTGTGTTGCCGCAAAACAAATCAAAAAAAAACTTTTAAATGATCGAGCTTTTGATTAAACCTTTCAAGATTCTAATGAAATGATTCAATTGAATTGTACTAATTTCATCTCTTAACGTACACATTCAAAGAAAATGAATATGATCTTTCTTACAAAAATATCACCCATAATTTGATTTCATTGTTAAGGAGTATTATTCTCGATTGAAGTAACAACGGCATATTTTGCGGTTCGCGATTATTGGCGTGGATTCTTTGCGGCTGCATGCAGTGCAGCAACATTTTCACTTCTGCGATTGTGGATCAATCCATTTGAAGGTTTGTGTTTCTTTGAAGTTTTATTTTTCTTACCTTTTCGAGAAATAAGCTTGAGAAAGTTAATTTGAAGTAGTTTCATTACACCAAAAAATGGCAGAAGATCATATTTCAGTGACAGTAGCAGCACTTTTCCAAACAAAATTCAGGCATCTGTCATATTACCCCGAAGAACTGCTGATTTTTGCATGCATCGGGTAACTTTTTCAGTCCATTTTTGAAATTGACAATTGCTGGTTTGAATAAAATAAAAAAATATTGTAGTGGTATATGCGGCTTGGCTGGTGCGCTATTTATTTTTATCCATCGCCGATATGTGCTGTTCCTTCGAAGGAATAACTTTATGAAACGACTTTTCCAAAGACAGTAAGATCTTTGAGTAAATTTACAACATTATAAATCACCAAACTGGATGGAATTTCAAGGAAAGGATTCCTAGTTTTTTTTGTTCAAAAGTATATTATATCTAACTAAATGATACATTTTAGCTGGATAGTTTATCCGCTTACAATCTCTATCCTTTATTCGACCATAACATATCCGCATGGTTTGGGACAATACCTCACTGGACAGGTAGTTAAATTTATCTCTGCTTCATTAGATGAGCAATTAGGTGGAAGATGAACTTATGCATAGCTATGCTGAATATGAAATAGTCCAGATTTTATTTTGCAATATTGTTACTAATCCAATTACTTTATTAAATTCCAGATTGTGTTTGCACGGTCATTGCGTGATTTTTTTGCTAATTGTACGTGGCACGTAAATCCGTTACACGTAGAGGCATGTAGTGAATTTTTAGTGAGGCGTTGGAAAATATATGATTCCGTGTTCATTGAGCTTGGAGTTTTCATTATTGGTTTCGTAAGTTGGCTAGTATTTATGACCATACCGTCTATATATCCCTCGATATATCGAATGAAAATCCAAGTCGTGATTTGAGAGCGGCCAAAGGAATAAATCTTCTGTCTATAATCAGCGATTTTTTGCTTGAAGTTTATTACTATACAATTTAACAATGAATTGAAATTTACAGTATTTTTTGGTAATCATTGCGAATACATTGCCAGTGCCAGCAGGTATATTTATGCCAGCATTTGTTATTGGTGCAGCAATGGGTCGTTTTATTGGTGAACTGATGGCATTTGGTTATCCCAATGGACTCCGTAACGATCAGCAACTACTGATTCTCCCTGGCATTTATTCAGTTGTTGGTATCTTTTCTTCCACTCTAACACTTTAATTAACTAGTATTCATGACCATACCATCTACATATCCCTCGATATGTCGGATGAAAATCCATGTCGTGGTTTGAGAGCGGCCAAAGGAATAAATCTCCTGTCTACAATCAACGATTTTTTGCTTGAAGTTTATTACTATACAATTTAACAATGAATTGAAATTTACAGTATTGTTTGGTAGTCATTGCGAAAACATTGCCAGTGCCAGCAGGTATATTTATAATTAACAGAAATTCAGCAAATGCTTTCTCAACTGCTTCTAACTACTGTTATCATTCATACAGGTGCAGTGTCATTTTGTGGAGCAGTAACGCATACCGTTTCGGTTTCTGTGATCGCTTTTGAATTAACTGGTCAACTGTTACATATACTTCCTGTTATGGTATTTCCATTTTCGCTACCGTATCCTGTCATCTTTTCTATGCAAGAGTAATGTTATGTTTGTGGTCATTTTTTATTCAATTTAATTTGTTTGACTTACAGATATCAGTATTGGTATCAAATATTGTCTGCTCATCACTTCAGCCTTCATTCTTCGATAGCATTATCAAAATTAAACATTTGCCGTACTTTCCAGATATCCCGAAATCGACGTCATGGTATATTCACTCATTTATGCATTTTTCTTTCAAGAGATTTGTTGAAAAGATACCTTTATAGATTTATTCAAATGAAATGGTTTTGCAGGGTTCACGAAATACGTGTAGAACAAATCATGGTAAAAAACGTAAAATTCTTAACGAAACAAAGTACTTATTATGAACTTCAAGAGTTACTTACCACCACACATAAATTAATGGCATATCCTTTGGTCGATAATCCATGTAAAATTTTTGTCTCTTTTTTCTTAAAAGTAAGAAGTTTAATATCTGGTAGAATAAAAAAGTTTTAAATACAATGAAATTTAGCATCGATGATATTATTGGGATCAGTAAGTAGGGAAAACCTGCTTTATTTGCTGAATCAGATTGTTGGAGATGAAGCTCGACGTGCCGAATACTTGCGAAGAATGCACTTGCAGAGCGAATTTCACGAAACTATGGAAGATGGGACTTATAAGAGTGGATCTCTTGTTAAGTAATACCTTTCAATTTCTTATGTGAGAAAAGTGCTTCATGGCCAGGAGTGATACTTATTTTCTTCCAAACTTTTTCTCTTATTTTTTATGTTTTCTAACTATCTCACTTCTTATTCTTACTTGATTAGAAATGGAAAATGAAATGCATATAATTCGATCTAATAAATTGATTAATCTCCGACTAAACTCCTTATAGTTTTCACTTATGTCGAGGAAGAGCACGAAAAAATATTACCACTAATTTTAAGATCATTTGAAGGTTTTGTTATATTCAGTTTAGTGAGTGAATAGACGGGAACTTCTTGAAACTGGCTGAAATGTTGAATCAATATAGATCTCTTTTCTTCCAATAGACGATGATATATATTCCTTTCTTTGTCTAAAATTTTAAAAGCATTCTTTATTCTTCACAATATTTTCCTAATTTTTTCATTGCATTAGCGAACTAAATTCATCTCGCAAGAATAATTCTAAAGATAATTCCCGACGATAATTTTTCTAAAACATATTATGAAGTGTACGGCACGGTTGGAATAATTGCGTTTATCTGGATGATTGAGTTATTCCTTAAGCTTTACTTAGCATATTACATGCACACCACAAAAGATATTTTTCAAATTTTACATGCTGACACTTTAGGAAAATATGGAAGTCTGAGACCAAATAGCGACCGAAGCTTTTTATGTTCTTATCTTTCATGCATAAAATATGTTTTGCTAATTCACATCAAAGCTTAATTTCAAATTGTTTGTTTTTGAAGCAATTGAATATTTCCTGTTTCTATTATTTCCTAAATAATATATTTGGTATTAAGCAAAATAATATTTTAATAGAAATATTCTGCAGCTTCTCTATTGCGTCAGTTTTTCCGAAAATCTCATTTGCGGAAGTCAGAAAAAATCCAAATGCGGGGGATCTGCAACGGTCACTAACGGGATCATTAGAACTGGGTATAAATCAAGAGCCGAAGTTGAAGACATCAGTCAGCGAATACGATATGCGAGGATCTAAAGAGAGAGAAGAAAAACGAAGTTTGAATCAAATGGAGCAATTACATTCAGGACATGATTTTCGTGAAACTCTTGGCAGTATGTTTTTGAACCCTCCGAAATTTCCTTTTCGCCATACTTATTCATTGCCATTTATGTTTTTATGACATATTTTGCACTTTTGCAAGAATCTGATGCTCTTTTAGGTATGTTTGAGAAAATTACGCAGACATTTCGCACTCGAAAAAGAGAGGAATCGGAAGATTTAAATAAAGAAGAAGTAATTGTTTTCATCTCATTCCGAAACCATTTCACATAAAGATTAAAACTTCAAAAAAAAATTTCAGCAAATAGCGTGTTTTGTTCCAAGAAAGCAGCAAATAGCGCTTTGTGATATTGCTAAAGAACTTAGAGTTAAAATTTTGATTAGAAATAAAGAGTTGAGATAAACATAACAGCAGTTCCTTACAGCGCCAAATCTGGGAAAAACAACAACTCAGTAAGGAAATTAATTATCTGTATACTACCATCGATCCTGCACCTTTCCAGTTGGTGGAGGACACATCGTTGTACAAAGTTCATTCAATCTTTTCACTACTTGGCATACGACGAGCTTATGTCACCAAATGTGGTGTCCTTGTCGGTGTGGTGGCTGCAAAAGAGGTCAGTACCGTAAACTCAATTGTTTGAACGGAGAATACCTAGTCATCTCGCTTTGAGTACCAAAATATTCATTGGTAAACTAAATTCACTGGCAAGAATGAATTTCTAGATAGCATCAGCAATTGAACGAATACAAGCAGGAACTCTAACCGCTGTCACAAAACGACCAGAGGACGATGAGTATGATAAAAAAGACAATACCGAGGCAACATTTGACTTATGGGAAAGCAGTGAAAGTGACACCGATAACGAGGATATCATTTCAGTTAGTGTTTTCACTTAATTATTTATATTTTTATTCTGCAAAATCGAAAGCGCAAATGTTGCTGCAGTAATGAATGCTAGAGCAACTTTCTTGACTTTCCAGACTTTTTCATGTTATCAATTTATTCTGAAACACTACAAGATAGAAGATATCTCGAATAATTTCTTTTACAAATGGATCAGATCATTATTGTATTCATTTTTAGCCAAGAGTAGAATTTGATAAAACCACAAGCAGTGAAGTGCTGGAGGCAAAATTCGCAGTCCTACAAGCCTCAAGTTTGTTTCCCGTCTATTTTCTAAGAGCTCTCTGTACAGTTTTTAAATAAATTGCTTTTTCTCCAAATTTCATGTGACTTATTACAGTTGGAAGAGAAATATTGAATAAAGATCGTCGTAAAAGCTACCCACATTTTCCGGGGAAATCTTGTCGAAGCTTTCGAGTGCCAAGATATGAAAGAAAAAGTTGTGACATAATTCTGGAGAAACTGCCAAATGTAGATGAACAATCAGCAAAACAGAACTTTGGTCGTATGGTTGAAAAATTCAGAAGATTTCGAGATTCACTGTCCGAATCTACATTATCAAAAATTTCTTCTCAGGAAAGCTTAGAATCAGGTTTTTTTTAATGATTACTCAATTTGCTGTCATCGATTTCATAGAAAGTTGTAGTTTCACGTTTTTTGATGCTAGTCATAACAATTTTCAGGCAGTCGTTCAAGTGATCAGTTCATTATTTCATCCAAAAGCTTAAACTTCGACAAGCATCCGAAAGCACCTTATAATAATAAAGCAAACGAAGCGGTTGGAACTTCTGCATCACAGAAAAATGTTGCTTCATCGTGATTTAACTCCAATTCGAAACTTATTCATGATTTGTTTATTAGAAGTGACCCAGGATGTAAAATAAGTGATGCCATCTTTGTCGTTACGGAATATTTTCCAGAACAACATTTGTGGAGTTTTGTGGAGTCGGATGCGAAATGCAATACCTGATGTTATGAATGAAGGAAAATAATCCGTAACACTGCCTGACTAGTCTTTCAGAAGGAATAGAGGTGATGTCAAAAAATTTCTTAAACCTCATAAATGAAACAATTTATGGAGATATCCGACTCTAACAACAATTTTTGTTTGTGCTTATTTCGACATATTGCAAGCTGATTAGACAATACATTTTCCATGAAGCGCAAAACAGGAATGGAATATGATAAGACACCTAGAATCTCTATGAGATGTTTATCGCTTTTCTGTTGCGGTTTTATTCGAAAAATGTTTTTTTCACATTCATCGAAGCCACCGCAATAATGTTTCTGTTGTAGGAAAATAATTCTTATTATTACTTGAAGTTGGATCTAATAAATTCCATATAATAAATTATACGAAATTTAGCATTTACAGCTTAGAATCTGAAAACTTAAATTACCATTCGATTCATAACATCCAGAAATAATTGGAAAAGATTTCTGTGCAAGATTATCACATTTGATTCTTAACATGAAATTGAACAAAAAAGTATGCTAAGTTGTAGAACGACAGGCGCTAATCGACAATTATCATCAAGAGAGCATCAGTGTGAAGATGAAGAATTGGAGATAATTATGCAAACAAAATGAAGCATTGGCCAGTGAGATGTTACTTTGAAAGATGCTTATAAAAAAAAACCTTGCTAAATGCATGACATTTATTACTAAAGAGGAATGTGGAAATGGATCAGCCATTAATGAAAATGAATAAGATTGGATGAATGAATAACCACTTAAATATAACTGATAAGCCTTTTTCCAGAGCCTCTGATATGCAACCAAAAGTCACGAAGATTCTGGTGACTTGTTCCATCAATGAAATGCAAAATTCCCATATTCTCAATTCGGTAGTTTTTTGCAGCAAATTCAACTATATGGCTGAGTTCCTGAATCCACTGATAGAAATGAATGCTTTTATGTCATCAATCTCCATGAATCCTTGTCATTATGGATACCCCTTCTCCCTTTAATGACTCGGATAAAAAATGATTAGGGATATTAACCGACAGGAGGTATTTGAAAGTTATCAAAATTGAAAGTTATTTAAAACTTTAATATCCTTTGGTTAATTAGATTCGCCTAATATGCAAAGAACGCAACAACTTTTACTCTTTCTTCATTAATTTTGCAGTCAATGCTTATATTCAAATTAATTCCCATATACTACACATTCATTATAATTTTAAATTCAGTTATCTCATATTCATCAACCATAGAAGTTTTAACTTTTATATTATGTTTATTGAAGTAATCATATTCATATGATATACATCAACGACACTCATTGTGTGATAGTCCACCAGTTACAAAATTTTTATGCATGAAATGAATAAATAATATACTACGTTCGAGTTTTTGACCTTTGATAGAAAAAAGTGACGTCCGAGATATCTGGGTATCTCATAAGTTCAATCGATAACATATGCTGAATATTGAGTACTTCTCAAAAAAAGTCAACCGAATTTTTAATTTTTAACGATTCAGTAGTAATTATAACAAATCGATAAACTTTAACTTATTTTATATGCTTGATAGCTCACCATAACGAGGAGTTTACGATGAGTTTACGATGAATCGATGACGCTGTATATTTTATAACGAAAGTGTGCTTTGGCGTACTGAAAGATTTCCTATTGTCTCTGCTTTAACGGGATTGTTACCATCTTGTTGTGCTGTGCTGTATGTTTTAGTTATACCCATCATTAATTTCGATGAATTATCGAAGTTTGTTGATTCACTTTTCTAAAACTTCTTCTGAAACATTAATGAAATGATTGTGAGCAAGTCTACCTGCTAGATATTCTGATTTAACCTAATTAAAACTAACAATATCAAACTTTTGCAAGATGATTTGTCCTTTTCTCTTCCTTTCCCTTTCTCACAATATTGTCATCTTTTTCGTCTCCAGAAAATAAATATCTGGCTAGCCTTAGTACGCTAGAACATGACCCGATAATAATTGTTATTTAAAGTATGCAAGCTGACAATACTACTATTTAAATTGCATTATTATTATTGATTTGAACAAAGAGTAAAAGCTGTTTACCATATTTTTTATCGCTAACAGAATGGCCCAAGTCCATCACAATAGTACTTCGTCTGTATAAAAAATATTTCACTCACATCAATCTGTGATCTATGATGAGATATTCCAAAGGTTATTGTTTGATTATACAGTCAATCATTTTGATTATACTTTGAGATACTTAATTTTCATATAGTAAAATTGAATGAAACTGACACGAAAGATTTATTTGAATAATATATGCTATGCAACGTATTTCTGTCTGTCAACGAATGTCAAATCAAAATATTGATTAAAAATTCAATGAAAATCCGTTGTTAAAAAGGACCTTTCACTGATAAGAAATTTTGTAACATTGATATTGAAGATGAAGATTATCACTTTTTGATGTATTGAGCGCAGAAAAGCAATATTTTAAAAGAAGAAATTTGAAATATTGCTTATCAGTACAGAAAACTAATCTCTTCGTATCTATTTGAAGTGCAGAAGTACTCAATGTTACCATTATCAGCGAAATATCATCGCTTCTTCTTGAGACATTCGCACTTTTTATAGGATGCACAAAATGCATACGTCGTTTTACTGATAACATGACTTGTGTTTGTTAAAAGCCAAACTTTGTAAATCAAAGATTGCCAATCAAAAATTTTGGATCATGTAAAAGTATTGCTGGATATTGCTGGTGATTATTCCATCATGTTTTCGATTCATTTCTCGATCAGCAATCAGGATAATAATTCATCTTATTTTAATGATAGTTTTTATTGCTTCAACAGACATTATCAACATTCCGCCATTTCCAAAATATTCATTCATTGTGAAATTTTAGTTGAAAGAATTTAAAAAAAACTTATCTCGACTGTTATTCTGTTTATGGAAGAAAAACTTACGGCTTCTGCTCTGTTTATCCTTAATATTTTCGTGATTATAATGGTGGATAGTGATATGATAACATTATAGCAAGTACAAATTGATCAGTGAGAAAGAAAGCATAAAAGTGTAAAAGTGCATTTTTCGGTGATAATGCTATGGAGTTCTTGATAGCGCATAATGATGTTAGCTGGTACCGGTCCCCTCTTCTTTCCTTGTAAAATACTGGCTGTTCATAGCTTTATTTCTCGTGAGTATGCTATGCAGTCAGCTTCCTTCTAGACTCTGTAAATTAGCCAAGAGCTTCCTGGAAACAACTCCTTATATTCTTCTCCAAAACTACGCCCTGTGTTATTTTCAAACAACCTCATTTTTGGCAAATCATTTTTATCACTTTTACGAAATTTAAGACAAAAGTGAAAATTTCTCTTCTGTGAGATATCATAATTGGCAAAGCGTCAAAAAAATTATTGAAAAACCTACAAGTTTCACCGAGCTATCACTAAAATAAAAATAAGATTACTATAATCCACTCATCGCAGAAAGCAATCTAAATTGGAATCAAAATTTTGTTCCAAGTTTTCGATAATTTTCTTTCAAGTTTTCGATATGAAAGCACCACTCTTTTCATAAGCTATAGAGTCCGAGAGAGGACATTAGTTTAAAGTTGGGAAAAGGGTTGAAGTTTAGATAGTGTTGCTTCCCTGCAATATTATTTGTCATTGAAAGAGGAGATTATGAGACACCTGGCAGATGTGCCATTCAAATAGAAGCACTTCTTGTCCGGGACCATGGCTATAAGAATGGCAGTGCCCATTTTAGAAAAGTCGTAAAATCTCTGCTATTTTATTTGCACTGGAGGAGTTCATCGTTTTACTTTCCCCTTTCCTTCCAGCGGTATCGTAAAAGGAGAACTTTATGATTGGCTAATAACGGACTTTAAAATATCTTTCCTTATGTATGAGCAACGATTCGCTTTATATTTATTTTACTTTTAACTAGCTTGAATTGCAACTTCCTACTTTACCTTAACATTTTACTCGTTGCTCATCAACAAATATGCTTTAGGTAGTTGTAAAGAGCACAGCTAAACCTTTCAAATTAGAAATGGATTTATCTCAGCTTAGGCTGGAATTGTAGAATGGCATTTTCTTTAGCAACGAATATACAGAGGAGGTGATTTCAGGATGTTACCACCAATATTAAGGGCTCCCGATTATTGCAACTCTTTAGTTCGCAGATTACATCAATGTCGACAGAAGGGCGAGCTTCTGGATTGTAGTATTCGCGTGGATACTGGGAATGGTTATACTAAGCATATCCTTGTACATCAAATAATAATACACTGTTCCAGCAATATTTTGAAGAAGCAACCGTGTGTTATGATAAAAAAGGTTGAGAATTGTTTGGTTAAGCCTCACCATTCATTAAAATTTAAATCGAATCAGACTGAAAATAAGTTATAAAATAGCAATTGGGAAATTTTGTGCCTTTCACAAAAGAAAATATTTATCTTTTAAAAGACACCTATTAGAAACACCTTCATGCTTATTGTTATGCAAAGTTTTTCTAATTATTCAAGTATAGATTATGTTTAAAATTAGAATTCAATAAACAGCTATGAAACAATTAGGTAAAAAAGTTGAAATACACAAGATACTGATTTGTAGACTGGTTTGCAAGAGGTCAATTTAAATTTAAAATCCAATGATGAAGTGAATTGTCTAGAAGCTCTGATCAGTTTCATGTATACTGGATCACTCGAAACAACTAACTGCGAACCACAGATTGTAAATTTTCAATCTCTTTAATTTATTATTCATTTTCAAGAATTTCATTATGAAAATCATCTGCAATTGAAATATTACGTTTTTGAGCAATACGAAAATTACCAAAAAACTGAATTATCGCCGATGAATGAAATAAATTTTTGAACAAATTTTCTGAATCAGATGAATGAAATAAATTTCTGAACAATGCAACACTACTGTTTAATTCCTCCTTTTACTGAATAGCCAAATTTATTTTTCTAGTAGTTTTGAAACTGATATTTGCAGTTATCACTAAAATTGGAAATGATTGTTGATGGCTGTTCAATAATTCTGTCCCAATTTCATTAATATGTCGAATGTGATTCATATATTCAGTTACTGTCAAATTACTTTTTATAGCTCAAACGATTGGCGATGCTATACGGAATTCATGAAGTGTTTAATCTGGTACAGTCGGTTAGCCAGGATACGCTGTCACTAATACATTCATCGGGTATTAGATTTACTCATTTTCACTTAATTTGCTCAATTTATTGTAAAAATATAAAAAATTAACGGATACCGATTTTAATTCAAGCCATGATCTCAATTTTGCTTTCTAATTATTGGCGAGGAGAAAAAGAATTGGAGGTAGATAATAGATAGCAGCATTAATTATATATTGTTGAAGTCTACTAAAAGTTGAAAGTGGTAAAATTAATCGTTGTAAGTTTGAAATTAAGATTTATACACACCGACAATTATTTCATTTCCAACAGTGAAAGAATGGATACATCATCTTATGCAAAGTATGCAGTCGGTACGAAATTTATAATATTTCACGTGCAGCCTCTTAACAACAACAGTGATTTATTTGTTGTAAATCTTAAAAAATTAGATGGACTTCCAAATTAAATAAAATTTAATAATGAATTAATCAGAGAAGCTTCAGTCTTTAATTGCTTTATTCCATACTTTCCTACCCTTTATTTACGATAAATATTTAATTCACCACATTTTAAGAATATTTTTCTTTTTTCTTTTATCTCTTCTCCTTATCGTCGCATCAGCAAAACTGTTATCGCACCTCTATTCCCATTCGATCCACCCTTCCCATTTCTTCTGTCACTTTGAGATTGAGCTATTTTATTATTACTTGTGAACTCACTCATTGATATTTCAGATTCCTAAGCTAATCTTTTCAGGCATACGGCAATATATTATTTCCGAACAGCGGCATAGTCTTTCATGCTTCCACGGAAAATGTCAGAAACCCAAGGCAAAGGCAACGTGCAGTAAGTTACACATCCAGTTCAAGTGAGCTTATAAGATTTGCAAAGATTGTCGCTGTGAGTTTGTAAGACCATTGAACAATGGATAGTTCATTTCAAAAACACTGATTTCTTTTAAAGATATTTTTAGCTGGATTCATCAACATGGTTACAAAGTTTTCTCGATGAAGCAACAATAACTTGTATCACTGAAGATATGGAGCTACGGCGTAAACCGATCAGACTTACTCCAAGTAATGATATAGGAGAACATAAAAATGAGGTGATCTTACCCAGCAGTGACCGTGAAGGTATTTCTGATCCACTGATATTGATTTCTGATAGCAGAAGAGAAATTATTTCTCTTCCGAACTGATCACCATCATGTTATCTTATTTGACAATGATTCTTTATTTTTTACATTAACTGCTTAATAATGCTGCAAATATTCAAGGCTGGTGTCGAAATAAGAAATATATTGAGCGAATTCCATCTGGCTACATGTGCACCGTATGCCAAAAAGTATATGGTCGCTATAACTCAGTATCGTACCATGTTACAATTTATCACCGTAACCCACCAATACGATGTGATGAAGAAGGTTGCAAGTTTAGTACCCGTGAAGCGCGTTACATTCATTTCCACAAATTTTATCGACATCACGTACCATTGCCTGAAAATATTGATTTAGGTAAATTTTTAATAGCAATGAAGAAATGAGATTTCCAACTACTTCAAATCTCCCCCACATCTCTTTAGCATGAACTTGTCAAAAGTATATTTCATTTAGGTTCCCGTAAGTGTGTCTTATGTAGGCACATATCAAAAAGCCCGGCTATGTTGGAGAAGCACATAAGCCGCCATCTACAATACTGTATGAAAATTGGGAAAGACTATCAATGTCCGCAGTGCGAGAAGCAAGCAAGTTCACAGCAGGAAATGTTGAATCATATGGTAATGCATGCTGAACAGGAAGAGTCAAGCTTCCAATGCAAGCATTGCAGATATAAGTCTGTTTTCTTTCATCATATTCAAAGAAGTATTGCCATCCTTCTGAGCATTGTATCTTTTCATATTATAAACAGATAGATATATTGCAGAGGACAAACAGAAAGATCACTCCGGCAACATATACTCTTCAAACATACTTCCGATATGTTCTCCAGAAAATTTACATGTAACCATTGTCTTTATGCCTCTGTGGATTCGGTCAGTCTCGCCGCACACTGTAAAAAGATGCATCCGAAGCAGCAGCATTAATTAAATGAGTAGTTTTAGCCAATTGATCCCTATATTTTTTAGAATTTAATTTTTGAATGTTTGCATTTCTAGATTTCAGGTTATCAAAGACTCCTTGTTTAGATAAACACTGGAATTTGAAACAGTTATTACGGTATCTCACAGAAGGTGGTAAAAACGGGGCGTGATCAGATCTGAAAGCTTGTTGCTGTCACATTTGAAAAGCCGATTTTACAATGAAATGAGAAAACATAGATATAGCAGAAGGAAATATTCAAAAGAAAACGAATAAAACTAAAATATTCCTTGGATCTTTTTTTTCAATTATAAAATAATCAATAATATCACTTGTAACAGCGATAGATATTATGATGTTGCTTAGTTCCTTCGCCATCCCGTGAAGACGAAAATGATCATTGCAATGTTTATGACAAAATAGAAAAGGACTTGACTTGTTCGTACAGATACTTTAAGCATTAAGATGTTTAGCAATATTTCAATTATCTATTGAATCCTTGTTTCTTCTTCAGATTCACCTTTGATGAGGTGCAAAAAGGTAAAACATTACTCGTTTGCTTTATCTTGACACTTCCGCGCAAAGCTATGGAAGAAAATGGCGGAAAGCTAATTTTATTGAATAAATGTGTTGATAAGTGGAATTTTCGGTATTGAACCATAAGCTCCTAAAGTCTGGAAGTTCAAGCCATTGACCAACCATGGACCATCGCATTTTAAATCACCTAGAAAAACCACTGCATTTTGAATCACCTAGAAAATTTCTTGATGAAGAGGAAAAAGAAAATATCAGCATTGGAGGCAAACAATATGTGACTAAAATAGACTGTGTCTGCATGAAGATGAACGTAGCTTTGTTCTGTAACTTCATAACTGTTTATTTACAACTTTACGAAATTTACATTTGAGAAGTCACTTTTGGAAGTAACTCAAAAAGGTAAGGGATTGAGAAGAGAAACCAGAAAAAGGTGAAAAAGGCAAACATACTCACACCTTATGCAAATATGTGAAATATACAGAAAGCGAAATTAGCATAAAGGTATTGGATAAAGAGACAATTTTCAAAATGTCATCTGAATGGAGCGGTTGCTTTTATGAAGAGAAAGTGTGTGATAGAATTGCTGAATGTATCGCTGATCTGTTCTATGAGCCATTTGGCTACGATGAACTATGCTTCTATTGCGTTGAAGGTTCTAATCATCATCTTTTGCCACTCATTCTTATCACTAACAGACATGTTATTTTTGAGAATTAGCTGATAATAAAAAGTTGATAGTATGATTAATAAGATTGGAGGCAGTTGTTTTTTAACTTTCTCCTAGCTTACTCAATACTGTTAGAAAATGAATTCATAAATTGAAAAATGAAAAAATGGTTGCTGGGATTCCTTGCCAGTAAGCAATGTATTTTTCTTTGTATTTTTTACTCTGCAAATGACTTTGACCGATTAGAACCTTTTCTTTTATTTCGTATAGAGATTTGCTTCTGTACATGCTTATGATAATAATTTACATGATATCAGTAACACACACACACATACACGTATACACACAATCCTTAGCACTAATCTCAACCGCTCATTTTCATCCTCACAAGATCTTCAGAGTACACACTGCTAATTAGTGGCGTTGACGTTTCATAAGTAATGCAAACGGATGCAATTGATGGTGAAATAAATTGCAGGTACATACTGCCCATATCATGAAATCCCACAGCCTCGAGTGCGAGTGCAGCCGAAAGAAGGAACCAATGCGGTATCGATAGATTATGTATTAGATGAAATTTTCGGCTCGCAAAACGATTCCTGGCAATATGCAAATTGCAAAATAGAAATTGCTGCAAATAACCGAGAGAATGCTACGGTAAAATCACAGCAGAAGTTTGCTAAAAAGCGATCAATCATTGTCGATAAAAATATATCTCAGTATGTCGTCCTTATTTTTCTTCTAGTTTCTTGTATAACGCTGTTTTCACGCTTCTTTGTCAACTAAGTATGGCCAAGAAAAATCATCCTAAAGATTTTTACAAATAATGATTATCTCTTGGCTCGGATGCATGCATACCCGACCGCATTGATACCGAAGTTTTCATTAAATTGTATTCAGGAACTGTGGGATTAACTATTAGATTAAAGATTTTCAATGAAGCATATGGAAAAATTAATAAATACGGTGCAATAAAGTGAATATTCAATTTCATGCAGAGCATAATTTTTTTGATGTTCTCATAGGGAGAGTTCATCAAAAGCTTAGTGTTGATATTTTATTTGCTCTGTCTCTAAATACACTTCTCCATCAGTTCCTATCCCGTATTATTTGATAACAATTCCAGAACAGTACCGATCATCTCCTTTCTCCACTCAAGAATGCATTTCATTTCGCAATTCTTTTTAGCAAAGAAGCAGATATAAAATCGATGATACCAGGATGTCATCCAGATGAGAATCCCGCGAAAATGCCAAAGAACAATGCTGAAATTGCGTCGAGAATAGTTTGTAAAGATGTTGAGGTAAATAGTGAGTAAGTTTGTAAAGAGATAAATGGAGCGTATAACGCATAAAATCATGTCCAACATTTGATAACTTCACTTTATCGACAGCCTTTGAATGATCTATTTTACAATAAACATGTAAAACATAGTAGGCCTATTTTTAGGAAGTGTTCATTGTCCCAAAACGACGTAAGACATTATCATCAGTAAAAAATGACCGGCAAAAATACCAGCGTTTTCGAAATAAACAATATCTCTGCGACATATGTGATAGTGCTTTCACACTAAAACACAACATACAAACTCATTTATTACTTTATCATCCCAATAATGAAACATATATGAAGCGTAGACGTGGCAGGCGATACAGATGTTTAAAATGTAATACGGTATGTGGTTTAAAATTTGATCAGTTTGTCTGCAGATCAATTTCGATTCATTGAGTAAAGTAACTGATTAATGTAACTGGCCTCCCAAGTTGCATACCTCGTGCATGTTCAGCTTTACCTTGGTTTGTCTTATCAATCCTCAAATCATTTCAATTCAGCGTTGCACTTCATGAGAAATTTGTCAAGAATATCTACTTAGATTTTAATTAGATTTTTTATTCAAAGCACATATAAATTGTTTCTACAAATATTCGAGAAAATATGAAGCACCAATTAAATTTCGATCTTAGTGAGTAAGTCAGGTCTATAAATTTTTCTAGTTTTTTGAATTCTTGTAGCAAGAAATTTGGCGAAGTTGAACTTTCATAGATGTTTTAGCTATTTCGAACTTTCGCTGCCGTTCAGAAGCATCGAAAACGACAACACGAAATGCGCATACGACCGAAATGTGAAATTTGCATGAAGGAATTTCCAACCGCTTCGCTACTTCGTGAACACGTGGCTGTTATACATTTGTTCGTTTCTTTTTTTTGGAAAGAAGTTTACAAAAACATCTCTTACATGTTCTTCAAATATAATCCAAGTAATTAAACAAATTCTGCTGCAAAGATTATGGGCTGAAATAGTCTATTCTTATCTATAACGACTTTAATTTATAGCGATATTCAAATACGTGTTTAGAAATTTGCGTCCATTTAAATGCACTAAATGTTCGGCGGTATTTGGTCGACAGGGATGTTTACGTCGGCATGATATGATGCGACATTTAAATTACGTTTACATGTGCCCCTACAAACAATGCACTCACGCCGGTTTCAAATGTTCCAAAGTAATATAGGCTAAATTTCTTTCTTATTTCGTCAGCCATTTGTAAAGGTTTGATTTTTGTTATGTTTCAAAAATAAAACAACTCAATCATTCACTTAAGCAATCGATATTACTGAAATGTTATCAAGAAAGAGAGGTATACTTGAAAATATTATACGAATAGACGTCAGTTCAACGTGTCATTTTTCTTCTATCCATTACAGGCATTAGCAGCACATATTCGCTCCGTTCATACTCACGTTCGACCGTATGTCTTCTCTCCTTAAACTTTTTTTAAATTCGCCTTACTAATGAATTTATCATTTTACATCACAGCACATTGTTACATTTACCAACTTATCATCTCATTTGGATTTATTACTGCTGTTATTTAACTATCTATGGTTTGAATATTTTATATTACTTCATATCTGCAAATATTAATCTCTTGTATGCGTGACCGATTATCATTTCAGTTACAAATGTGAACAATGCGAAAAGCGCTTTGTACGCCGGAATGACTTACGAGTTCATTCGGATATCCATAATACAGAGTGCAAGTACGTCTGTACAACTTGCAAACAAATGTTTCAACGCAGAATACATTTTCAAAAACACGTCAGAAAATGTCATCCAGCAATAAAATCATGAATTTACGAAATTATATTAATTTTTAAAATTCATTTTAAGCATTTAAAGTTAAGTTATACTCTCTCACTATAATGTCTTTTTGAATCTCACGGATAAAGTTTCATTTTTTAATGATTTCTGTTGCAACATAGAGCTTCGACGATATCATCATATTTCGTCCACTCATGCATACCAATTTTATCTCTCTTGATCGATTAAACAATTTTCATTAAGTTCACTAATGTGTAGTGAATTTAATGAAAACTGTTTAATCGATCATTTAATTCATCCAATGACCAAATTATCGGTACTTCAGATCGCAATCGTTTGACCTGACTAACAATAAGTACATCCCAGAATGCTCAGTTCCGCTCATGGGAGGCATTCATTCATTCTTTTATAGTATTCGTTCAGATACTTCTTCAAACTATTATAGAGATTTTCACAGAATATCAAATGGATAATGCCCCATGTTGCAACAAACTGAACCACTGAATTTATCAAATACCTTTTTTATTAACTTCGCATATTATATCTTCTTTTCTTGTTTTATGGAATTCTGATCAAATCGTTTAAAAAGGACAGCTGGTAATGGAATTTAAGGAAGCAGTAATGATAAAATGAAGTCCTTGAGAGGAATTGGTCATATCTTTAACAATTTAAACATTGGAAGCTTCTAATTTCTTCTCCTGTTTCAGTTCAGCTCATTAAAAGGATAATCAATTAGAAAATCAATCGGAAAATGTTCGGGATTATTTCAATTGTAGATATTTATAAAGAAACAGATGTCAATAAATATTTAATGAAATGAAGTGAATCTTGCACATCCTGTATTCCATTTTTTATACCTTTCACTCAGTATTCTGTTTTTTTTACATTGGTAAGCTTAGATCGATTTAGTAATTACTGTATAATTTCAAATTATTGTTAAAGTGTTTTGAGGAATGAGGAAAAAATATCTTCGACCAAGTTATCATCCAAATAGGGCTCTCTTAGATTATGGATATGCAGTGATAATGGCAAACTTTTCAATTTATTCCTGTTAAGATCCAATCTTTTAGAAGCAACTTCGGAAATTTGAAAAATCTTTTCTAGATATTTTAAAGACGCCAGTGTTTCCTCCAAAATATTGCGTACCCTATTGTATCCCAAATTCAACCTTTTCAAATGGTAAAAACCGTCGAAATTTGAGACATCTTTCAATTTGTGTGAAATGTCTAGTTCTATGACTCCTGAAAGCCTTAATTCATAACTATCTGAGATCTGCCTGTCTGATAGGATCATAAGACCGCGAGTTATTGAGAATTATTCCTAACGGAAGAAATCGTTCCAATATGGAATGTGAACAATCCATTTACGCACACTTTTTAGTTAAAAACAACGACATGGCTCGAGACAAGAAGTGATATTCCAGCCAAATGAATAAAGTGTTGATAAGTAGAACAAAACCATAAAACGGGGAAATATCATTGCTTTCCGTGCACTTGCTTAATTGAGTAAGTATGGATTGGAGTTAGTAGATAAGATGAATGTGAGACAAAAAAGTAATCGTTAGAAATAACGCAAAGAGCAGAGATGAACATAACTCTTCCTTGACCCTTCTCCATTAATACCGATCCATTACAGACCCTAATTGTTCTTTTACTACTTATTAATCTTCTCCATGACCACTCACCTCTTGCAATTCTTTTGTTATGTTTATTTCGTTGTCATCCTCTTGCCAGCCTTTTTAAATCCAACTGTAACAAGCAGAAAATTCGAATTGAAGATTTCAGGATCTGCAATTTTCGATTATGAATTTATTATAAGTTAGTTTGCGACTAATAACTAATAATTTGTTTTATTATTTCATAAAGCCTTTCATTTGCCTCAATTTGATGGAATTTTTCATTCCTTCTTTATATCAAAATAAATTTATGGCCAAATTCATTGCGAGCATTAACCTTTACCAGAAGGCTTCGCGCTCTTCGGGTCCAAGAATTGATCTTCCAATCGATTCCTTCAGTCTAACCATTCCAGGAATCTTTTGATCGTTCTCAAAAAAACCTCAGTACATTCTTCCCCTCACAAAACTACTTTAGATCGATTTTCCATTTTTGAATAGCGCGCCTTTTTCAAAACTCTTTAAACTTCATATCAGCTCGCTGTAGCGTGGTGATATTCCTCGACATAACCGCTGGGATACGGTAGCGCATTTAGGATCGAGCAACGGGAGGGGACTCTCAGTGATTTCATTTGCTTTGGGGGAGGGTTCGTTTTTTTGTTGTATGTGTTGGTCGAGTGGGGGGGTGTGCGCCTTTACCTGTATTAGTATAAGTAGTATCACACGTAGGGACGTGACTTGGAATCGACGTGGCCCTGAAATCGATGCAAACAGAGCAACAATCATCTGAGACTGCGTGTTCTTCCTAAAGTTGATCGTTGCTTCGGACAACGTACCACCCGGATATATCTGCTTTTCCTGTAATTACATCAATTATTCGCACGCACGCACGCACATACGTACACACGACTCTGTATTGCGCGTTTGCTCGATATGTAAGTAATTCTCGTTGTTTTATTTATTTCCTTTTCTTTTTGTTATTGTAAAGAAAAGGAATTTAAATGGGACAAGATGGGGTGTTTATGGACAAGGATGGATTTCCTTTTGTGTTTTTGGCTTACAATTCAAATGTTAGTAGGCACAACGCTTTGACGTAATACTGTGTGACATCGTGCTATCCCTGTTGGTAACTTACCCAAATTGCATGGTGAGGGGGAAAACGATTGACATGATGATGATGTGGGATTCGACAAATAATATTTGAAAGTTTGGCTTGCTGAATAAGTGAGGCGACTACGTATAACGATTACGCATCAACTATCATAGTAAAATTAAGCTGAGTGGAATGCATCGCAATTTCAGTCCATCAGACACCATTTCTTCCGTTTTTACTTTGTGAATTGTTTGAGTTGTTGTTCACATTTAAAACAGCTAATTTCGTGGCAGTTTAATTTGTTTAAGTTCAATATACTTAAGTTAAGTAAGTTAATTTTTTTTAATTTAAGTAACTTAAATTCAATATACTTCACAATGAATAAGGATGTCTGTCATATGACAGGTAGTGTTATTTAGGTTATAGTATTATCTCGGTACATAGTGTCAGTATATGTTCATGAACGGTGGATAACGATTGGTAAAGCATTTGAAAGGTATAAGCATTATAGAAAATGAAAACTGCCTCTTAGCTTAAACATTATAATCGGGTGATAGTTAGAATGTGTGATATTAATTATTTGGATGGCTATTTGTAATATTTCGTGCTAATAATAAACGTGTGGTGACGAAAGTTCCAGTCGTCATCTCACTCATATCGTATCACTTATATCTTATTAGTCTTCAGAAATCTTTCACTTTCTTAAATGTGTTGTACAAAGAATTCATTAGGATACGACCTATTTTTTGATATGCAGCAGGCGGTTGATTGACGAAAGGTATTCTTTCCTTGCCATCTGGAAACTCATACGTATCATTACAAATAATTTATTGTTTTGTATTGAAGCTTGCCAAACTATGCTTAAAACCATTTTGCAGTGCGTCGTCTCGTAAGGCTATGGCAGAACACGAACACGATCACGATTTTCATACGGGCGATGCTGGTGCAGCTACAACATACCCTAAGCAGTGCTCTGCTCTTCGCAAGAATGAAAACGTTATGCTCAAAGGTCGTCCGTGCAAGGTTTGATCGTTTTTGGACTTATCTAAGGAGGCATTCACGTTAGCTGGTAATGTTGATTAAATCAAATAAGCAGAGAAGGAAAATATTGCATGCAGGCGGATAACTTCGGAACACTTATTAACTGTAGTTAGCAGAGACTTTTCTCTGATGAAAGGCATTTAGATGTTTTCCAGTCCAGTCAAAATTATCAGAAGGAGATATTCCAGGGAGTCTTTAAAAATAATCTCTGTCTGGTTTCTCTGCAGATAAGTTACTTTGTCAATTGTGGGATATTTCAGCGGATTAAGAAGCAGAGTGAGTCCAGTAAGTAAATATTAATGTGTAGTGAGATTTCGATTATCCCGGCGACATTAATTTGTAATTTTCAATGTTGGCTTAGATAAAGCTAAAATGTATTCAGGTTGTTGAAATGAGCACTTCGAAAACTGGTAAGCACGGACATGCTAAAGTTCATCTTGTTGGCTTGGATATCTTTACTGGTAAGAAATTGGAAGATATATGTCCATCCACTCACAATATGGATGTTCCTGTCGTGAAGCGTAAAGAATATCAGGTTTATTCATGGTTTTTTCCAAAGTAACAGGATTAATAACTTTTTGTTGCATCAAGTTAGAAGAATTGCATAGTTAATGAAGTATGATTAAAAGGAAAGGATATGTAAGAAAGTGTTCAGATGATGGGAAGTTTCAAACAATTTTTGTTAATTCTACTGATTGCAATTGCAGCTTCTATCAATAAACGACGATAGCTATGTCAGCTTAATGGATCTAGATACATGTGAAACAAAAGATGATTTGAAGTTACCTGAGGGTGACCTGGGAGATCAGATCAAACAAGCGTATGAAAAAGACGAAAATGGGATATTAGTAAGTTTCTGGTACTTGAGCTTACTAAGCATATGAGAAAAAAATGTATAGTCGGTTTTTCAAAAGTTAGAGAGTTCTATCTAGGTTCTCGATAATGTGTGTTACGTATGCTGCATTACGTAAAACATGTGACGCTTTTCAATTTTCAGTGCCTCGTTGTCGCTGCATGTGGTGAGGAAGCGATACTCGGTTATAAAAATATGCCGAACAAGGAAGAAAAATGAGATCTTTGGCGATTGGTGCTCAGAAATACTTCTGTCGCCATGTTTAGTTTGAGGATAGTCATCGAATGTTATGTTTCGCTTTTTTTGAAAGAGGGAATATATCGGTCACATCGACTTATTCCCATTACTTATCGTTGGTTAATTTTTCTAGTGTCAGTCCATCATACTTGATAATTAAAATTTTTTTGTTATTATAATCATTTATAATTAGTTGATCGTGCTTACTGCTGGGGTTATGTGTATTCTTGCTACACACTCAATCATCACCATCGTATTGTTCTTTTGTGACGTCTTTAATTTTTTGATTGTTTTAGCTCCAATCGAAGTGCACGGACAAGCCTTTCCCTTGCGTCCTCTTTTCTGCTTCAAATTATGACCATTAGCAGTTTTTAAAAAAATTGTTTTGTTGAATAAACTATTCTGTTTAAGAGTTTTTTATTTCATTGATTAAAGCAATCTTGTAGATTATCTCACTCAGCATTGAATTCGAAAGAGTTCTGCAGACATGTAGTGGTTTTGCAACAATATGCTGCATAATGAGATCTGCCTCGCTTGAAGTGTTGTTTCTTAAAAAGCAGGTCGAGAACGCCTATTCGGTCCTTTTATCTCGTCCTGAGATCCTCAAGCTCATATGCAGTTGAAAGTGTGGATATGATGTTGCATATCATCAGTACCTTAGCAGTTCCGATGGAACTTCCAAGTTAGTTGAACATAAGATGACAATAGCGATCTTTGAGGACGTTTGGAAGAGATGATGCTTTATTTCTTAGCCAAGAATTTTTTTTGACTAAGATTTTTCGTAAGCATTATCGAGCGTAAGAGTACTTCATAAAGGCGGCGCGATTGATTTCGCCCTGTATTCTCTTGTTACTGAGCGAACATTCCGGAAGCCTAAATCCGATATCTTACCTTAGTTCTTCGTGGTATAAGAAGAACTGGAACTATTTGGTTTCATTACGAAGAACTGTAAAATTCCTACTGTTATTCCCAATTGTTGGGTAGCGGTGATAACATCGGACAATAAAGGAGGAGTTTTAAACTGTGTGAACTGTATTTCGTGCAGCATCTGCAACGATATGTGCAGAAAAAGCGTCTGATTAAAGAGTGTTTTTTTGTCTGTAATGCTTGGAAATTATGATAATTATCAACAGCAGAAAAATCATATCATGATACCATTGCTCACCAGCAATATAAACAACAAATCGCGTCCCCTCATCTTAGCATGATAGCATCCATTTCATTCTCTGATGAATCAAAAAAAGCTGTATTTTCCGGATACTTCGGCCTATTTCAGTTTTAAAATTGATAACCTGAATTCCCAAAAAGGGTGCGCAAAAAAAACTATTTAACAATGCTTCTGTTGTAATATTCAGAATCTCTCAATAGACTGTAATGCGGGAAAATACTTGGCACCTTCTCTAGGCGCTAATAGTTCTCACACCCGGATGATCGTGTAATCACTGTAGGTTTCAGGATATATGAGACGTGTAGCGATTTCTTACAATTCGCAAAAGCTGAATGCACAACTGAGCTATTCTATGAAATTGAAATTCCATATCACGAGATATCGAAAGGAACCACGGTTCTTTCATTGCATTATATAATTATCATAAAGGCTTTCCCCATAATCAGCTAAAATAATGTACAATAAGCTTAATTTGACGTCGGTACATGAGCAAATGATAATGGCCGAAAAAAGCGGAAATTTCCAAAGTATTTGCTTACTACTTTACGATTCATGTCGAATACGCATGCACATACCGCTTTCTCAAGTATCAACGGACGACCTACTAAGAATGGTTTTGCGAAAGCTGCACTTTAACCCTTCCATGCTACCCATCCAATTTGATTTAACCAGAAAACCATCTCATCATTGTCACATAACGAGACTACCTCCTGTTATTTTTTGTTTTCGATTAGATTCGTTGGGAAAGAAGAGATTCAAAAGCAGGGGAGGCAATAAACCCCGCTGCACCTTAAAGCGATAAATAGTTCTGTTTGAGTTAACTGTCAGCAAGCGTTTCATTTGTTCTATTATCTACGCATTTATTTCTGCTTATATATTTACTATAGCGTTTGTTTATTACATTGACGCATCTACCTGTTAAAGTAACAATTCATTTCTTTGTGCATATTTACTGGCCTGGAGCATTTATTAGAGCATTTATGAATTGGCTAATATTGAACATGGTATATGTAGCGAAGATTTCATTTTGTATTCTGGTCAAGTTTAATATGATTATCAACAAAGGTATTGACGTACTTACGTCAGTTTAGAATGAGGTCGGTGACCGTTATGAGATTGATTAAGGTCTTCATCGTTTAAGACAAATTATAATCCGAACTGACCGAACAAATAATAAGCTTACTTCCAATTTACAGGACGCACATATGGAAGCCGAAGCAAGCAGTTCGGATGATTCAACAGTAAGCGAAACTGTTGAAACTAAGGTAATGTTAAAAGCTCTGCAATCAGTAACAGAAGGAAAAACCGTATCGAATATGGAGGGCAATATTCTGATCCATTTGATTTCAGCCAACACTATCGGTACCACCTTATGAAGTAAACTCGATGATACTTTGCAGCCATACCGATAATCTTTTTTATGAAGCCAAAATAATCGCTGTAAAAATGCAAGCCAATGGAGACCATGTGTATACCGTTCATTATCAGGTTGTCTTTTAGTTCTTTAAAAAAATGGAAGTATACATTTTGTAGAGGAAAGAATTATAAAATATTGAAAACATCAATGTTATCAATAATTCTATTATTAGGGATGGAGCAAGCGATACGATGAAAATATCTCACATAGCAGATCTGCATCACGATTCCGATCTTTCACACCGGACAATATTGAACTTGCAAAGGTAATATCGGCTTTACTGCTGTGACATTTCTCTTCATGATTTAATGTGAATTAATTCTATAAATCAAAATTCAGATTTGGAAACGTGTGTAAGTATCTGATCGACTAAATAATATTGATTTGCATGTATGTTGAAAGATTTTGGTCAACCAACCTTGGGATATGATCGATGGAAATTAGTATAATTTTAGGCATTAAAGTTAAGTTGCAAGCTTGGGTTAGGATGACATAGATTAGATGTTTAGCTATCATTCCATGTCATTAGGCCAATGCGTAATGATCAGAATAGTGATATCTGAAAATATTGGAAGGTTTGCATGGAACATTAATTGTAGATCGAAATGAAGGAAGCGAAAGCTCGAGCTGCTGAGCTGATTAAAAAAAAGAAACCACAAAAAACAGATATTCGACGTGGGCGTTCAGCTATACAATTATCAGAATCTTCTTCCAGTAAGAGAACTTGTAATGTGATTAAATGTTGCTACTATTAATTGTGTTGGGTTTTTTTTTGATATTTGTTGCGATTATGTAGCCTTCGAATTTTTTGCCTAGTTAAATCATCTATAGTTTATGATTTAGTTATCTTTAGACGGGTCACTAACATACATAAATTACTATATTCTAGATGCGTCTCGAGATGCGAAACCGCTGGTCAATCATAGTGTTCTTGGGAGTAGTTCGGCGGAGGGTTTATCAAGAAGTCCATCCACAAGTGAAGTTAGAAAACAAACAAACATCACGTTTTGGCAACATTCTATTCGGATTTTCTTAACTGGCTGAGCAATCAGTCAATTCGTTGCTAAAATATTTTTTTTTTAGAAAATTCTTTAGGCGGTATCAGTTCCTGAAAAGCTGAAAGCTCTGCTAGAAAATGATCGTCATTTGATTGAAAACGAACTGAAATTACCACGCCTACCATGCCGCTTGACTGTTTCAAAGATTATGAAAGAGGTGAAACATTAAGCGGCATTTTCTTGCAAGTTTACTGCCTACCCAAAGTCGTTAATATCTGAAGAGGTCCACAAAAAATTAAAATTACTTTGTCGGTAAAGCTAGATTAAAATTTGATTCCAAAGACCTCACAATTTACCTGTTACAGTTTTCTGTTTTTTCTTCACTTCCTCTTACTCTGGCCAAATTTGTGAGGGAATTGAAAAATTAGACAATTGAGGAGAAAATTTTGTCAATTTCATGAATCAGCCCATTCATTGCAGTATGTCATGCACGTACGTAAACTGGATGCTGTATGCTCGGAAGTTAAAGTGCATAAGGGAAGAGCACGTTATTGGAAGGGTGTTGTAGCTGCGCTAGATGAATGTACAGATAATATGAAAGTAAGTCTTTGCAAATACTTTTAAAGCTGAATTAGATTTTCGGCCAAAATTCGAAATACCGCAGATGCAAGGAAGAGAATAATGCTATCAGTTATTAATGCTATCAGTTATAATGCTATCAGTTAATAATGCTATTATTGTATTCCGCGAAAATTTAAAGGTGCTCTTTCCTGGAATTAACATTTCTGGTTTGCTGTAGAGCGTTTTGTCCGAATGTAAATGTCGTTAAAGAATTGGCGTGACTTCCCATGCATTTTCTTGACTTCTGTATGCACACTTTTGCAAGATCTTTTTGCCCTAAAAAAAAACATTTTGTTGATGGCATCGCTACGTCCCATCCTCGAATCTTTATGTTTCAGAGTTTTTTCGACCTGGTTATAGTGTCTGACATATTGTATCCAAGCGAAAAATTGCGTCATAAGGACTTGACTGAGGGAACTTCAGGAGTCATTCATCTGCATAATATATCAGGTAGGGCGTGCATTCAAAGGCGCACGTTTGTAGAGGGAGCATCATGTTTTAGAGAATTATCTCCTGTCCATTAACTATTTAATGCCGAATTTGAAATCTAATGCTTTTAAATGAATTTCAGATCTTTTAAATGAACCAAAGAGAGGACTTCGTGCATCGGAATACTATGGTTTTATTTATTTGCTTCGACTTCTTATTAGGTTTTCCGAAATGATTGAGTGAGTTCCGGAATTAAATACAGATTCTCACTTTCTCAAAAAAATAGAAGTTTAACTCATTCAAGCCACAGTTCCGGATACCTACACATAATTCATTCTAGATATATGCTATGCGACGATGACTCGAAAGAGATTTTAACTGTTTTTGTCCAGTCATTTGTTCGTTATTTGGGAAGCAATTCCGAGAAATTTTTTAATCCGGAGCTGGACTATGAAACCATTACTCAAGAATACAAAATGCGTCTCCTGCAAAATTCTAAAATTTAGCTACAATTTCATTGCTACATGTGCATAATTCCGATTTATTACATATCTTCAACGCGCAATTGCAAATTGTAAACAGTTTTTTGATTCAAGAAATTCTTTTAGAGCAGAATTTTTTGTGACTAATTATATTTATATATTATATGTGTTTTATCCTAAAATTAGGTAAACGTGGGATGTACAGAAATACTGATAAACTAAAGATAGGAGTTAAGATGTTCTGTCACCAACCCCTTAACTTAACCAGAAGATTTATATTTTTTCTAGCATGAGAAAGAAGAAATTATGGAAAGGATGAACGGTAACGATCACTCTAAAATTTATATTTCATAACTAACGAGGAACAACATTTTTCATATGTAAATGTCAATTTCATTTGAGAAGCTTGTTTTCGTTTCTAAATGTTCTTTTTTTTGATTTTTTGATGTTTTTAGTATGTTTTACATTAATTAAATCAATTTAACACTGACGCTTCATATAGCCGTATTATCTTCGCATGTATTTTTCCTTTTTCCGAAAACACATTAAATTACGATGTGAACAAAATCCGAAAACAGTAGAGGGTTACTCTATTAAGTCAGTAAAACTTCAACAAGGCTAGAGTTCGCAATGTTTGAAAAATCAACCCACTAAAGCATCCCATTCATCGGACGTATTTCTCTCAACCAACTTCGCTCTGAATATAATTCTTTTCTCGAATCTAAAGAAAAAAATTACGAATGCAGAACACGCGAAGGTTCCGTTCTTGTAAACAATAGTTGAATGCTTCTGATCAATCAACGTAGTAAAGACACCTTGTAACATAATAAGTGTAATGGATCTCACTGAATTTTTCAGTCTCCTTGATATCGAATACGTAAGGAAATTGGTCGTGCTCGAGTTTCATCAGCAATAAGAAGCTCGTCACCATTCGCCAAACCAAGATCTGCAGATAATCGACTTAAGGTTAGGTAAGGCTGTTAAAGCTATTTGAAGAAGTCATCCTATGATAACTTCAAGTTTGTTCTATCTAGGTTGCATGACATATTTGGCCCCATATTTGATTTTATATAAACCCTTTTCAAATTCATTTTAATTAAACCGAAAACTCGCCTTTCAAAGTTCTGGATAAATTGGCAGTGCTGATTTGGTCCAATTCAGGTATCAAATCGCTTTTCATATATAACTTTTCTTTTGCTGTTTGTACTGATGGATTACAAAGCTGGCTACAAAAAAAATGTTTTTTCGCAAGATATTTTTTATCTTGTTTCCTACTTCAATCTTCAATTTCCTTTTAATGTCAGCGTAAGAGGAAACGAAAAGATAAATTCTCTTTTCTATTGGAATAAATGCAATTGATCTATTTGAAGTATATTCTTTCACATTATCATTATCAATGGAAATAAAAATATGAATCACTCGGAAACACTTACTATCTTTTTAAAATTTCGTCTAGCAAATAGCGTAATGTTTTATTAGCGGGTACATCAACATACTGTGCCTGTTCACCACATACTAGACAGTCTAGCTAAAAATCGTATTTGCAGGAAAGATAAACATTAATAAAACAGCAACTCTCTTTAAAATTTACAAGCAAAATGTAGTTAATAAGGTAACGATTTTGTTACCTACTGCCGAGCTTTAGTTAAATACTCATAATGCTTAACCAAAAAGCTTACTCTTTTCTCCAATTTGACAACTCCAATAAAAGCTCCCTCAATGTTGGTGAAATTGAGATAATTTTGCATTGGACAAGAAATACTATAAAAAAGTAGCAGTTAAAAAAGAATAACCGCTAGGAACAGTCCGAAATTAGTGGAAAACTTTCAAATCGGGAAACTTACTTTGAAGCTAATTTCAAAGCCTCCAATGCGCATGAAGCTGAAATATCTGAAGTTTTACTATTCTTGTAAATATCCTGTATACAGGTGATGAATGCAATTATTGGTCTGCATAAGCATTGTTGTGTGCGAGTATTCACATATATAAAGCATTCATAGATATATTTTACCTCAATGAAATCTAAAAAATTATGAGTATGAAAAAAACAACATTACCCGCAATAACAGCATTGGTGGAAGCTACAGCGGGAATTATTCGTTTCAGAACGCCTTTTGTAAGCCTTAAATCAACCCCTTTGATATTATATTTGTTCGCCCTACTCAAAGCAGCTTTAAATATCCATTTCACGTGTTCTATGTTATCAGCATCCATCGATTCACCTGAATAATATTTACTATTAACCTATCTTTTCCGCATAAGTTATTTATCGCATGCAATTTTGGTAATAATGATAATATCAAGAGTAAAGTGTCATATTTAAAATACAAATTGCTACTTCAGTTCCAAGGATCGCAACATCAAATTATCAAAACAAACCGTTAAAAGGTTTATCTGTATGCCATTGTATTAATTTTACATATTCGATACAATGTTCAGGAAGTCGAGGAGTGTTTGCTATTGTACACATAGGAAAAGTGGTCTGCAGATAAGTAATGCAAGGATGCAGTGCTCGCAAGTTGATTAATTATTATAAATGGGTTCGAATTTAAATTAAATAATTTATACAGATTACAGAAGACAATGAAATATATCTAAATGCAAACAATTCGAATAAAAATGAAGTGTAACCTGTGGCGGATAAAGATCAACGGTACATTCAATACAAGCAGTCATTGTAGGCAATATTATTCGGGAATTGCCCTTAAATCCTTCTGTACCACCATCAATTAAGGGTATGATACCTGCCGGACCACCATTCGAATCGAATTCCACTAAGCTCACCTTATGAAATATATAAGTGGTATAACGATTAACTAAGTTATTCAGAGGAAAACCTTCATAATTTCATTAAGACAATCTACCTTATAAATTCAATATGAAATTCATGAAACAAATGAGAAAACCCAACCAATTTAGCATTAAGCCATCTTCTCGCAACGATAGAATCCAAACCACAAATGATAATATCAAACGATCGATAGAACTGGTCATCTTTATCCTGTATCTTACAGTTATGACTGCAAATAACTGTTTTTTTTTTTTTTTTTTTTTTGGATATTAACAGATAATGTACATATATTAGCACAAAATATATTGTGCTAATATATTTCACAAGCAAAATCGTAATTTTCATGTTATGATTGTTATCATTGTTCCATTATTTAATATAATATCTCCTTATTTTCAATAATAAAACATACGCGACTACAGGACAATCCGGGATTCGTTTCCGAATAAATGCCGCCGCTACCTCGGCTTTTGATTTACCAACATCAGTTTCACTCAAAATAAAGGGAATAGAGAAACATAACAAAAAAATATAACAGAAATATAACAAAACACAACAGATGAAAGTTTGAAAAACTGTCGTTAATGAAATTAAATTATTGTCAGTTTTGTCTTGAATTTGAAAGATCGCAACAGCAAAAAGATTGAACTAACCGAAAAAGGAACTGCCTATTTAGATTGGACAATTCTATCGTATCCATGTCGATGACTTCGATTTTTCGAAAACCAGATAACGCCTGAACATATCATATTAAAACAAACAGAATAAATGATCAGGAGAGTTTCAGCGGTATGATATAACTGTACGTTACCGACGGAAATACATACCAAATCTTTCAATAGTTCACATCCTAATCCTCCAGCTCCGACAACTAACACGTGACAATTTTGTACAGTTTCCAAATTCTAAAAAACGATATTTTCAATCACATACAGAAATCTTGAAGTGCTAACATGAAAAAACAGGAAAAGTAATTTCACTGCACTAGTAGGATTTTATTTAACAAATGAAATAAGGTACAATGAAATAAGAGATGATGACCTGTATTCCTGGTTCAAAGGCTGGATGGGCAAAGGCCGATTTTCCATCAGTAAGACGTCTCAAGTCACGCCACTGTTCGTTTCGAAATTTATCAACTGATACTTCTTCCATCTGAAAATTTTAATTCCAATAAAATAAAAGTGATGGAGAAGTTTTCGGCTGTGATCCCAATTACATTTGACGAGATCTGTGAAATACGAAATGTACGAGGAACCAGTGAATAATTACACTTTTTTTCCTCTTATCATTGCTCTATTATCTCTCATATCAGCTATGAATATGATGAATAACCAAGCTGAGAGATTATTTCACACGATATGAAGGGTACGCGTTCAAATTAAATATTTCCATCCACTCTTTTATCAGCACATATCATGAACTCCTACGGATGGCTGCTCCTCAAGCTTATTTTTCTCGGCTTAACGGTAATTTGTAACTTATGTATTTCAAGTAAATGAACTGCATATAAATATGGTATGTGATGACTCTATATCGTATACCATATCCATATGCAGTTCATTCACTACATGATACCCACTTAATAGCTCTATCTTACTTTATCAATGAATTCCTTTACCTCACATAGATAAAATCTACAAAAAATTTTAAAATTTCCTCTCAAATGATCAATGACTTGACAAACAAAGATTAAATGAGAATTTGAAAAATATTCCTTGGCAGTAAGAAAAGCATTTATATGACATCATGGAGTGAAGTATAATTTTATTTTAATGATTTTGAGAATTATATTTTAGAAACAAATTAGGAAACTGCTGCCTCATAATATTTTGATTTCATATAATCTTAGCTTGGTTTCAACAACTAACAGTAAATTGCAGTGCAATACACTGGGAAAGTGGTTATTCGTGATGGATGCCAAAAAAGAAAACCAATGGAAGCAACAAACACTACCTCTGTGGATTTGTAAGCAAACAATATGTTATTCACTTTTTTTCATAGAGGCCAATTTTATGAGAAATTTCAGTTGTATTTAAATCTACAAATTTGAAAAGAAATCTAGCAATATTTCTTTAATTTCTCGAAAAGTAATGCGAAATTCGGATCAATTCATTTTATTTCTAGCACCAGCTTATTCGAAACGTCGGTGGGAACAACTGGCTGATCTATTGCTTGAGGTACAAAACAGAACACATATTAAATTTCGGTCATTCATCAAAGAGCGAGATACTGATTACGTATCTCTGAAGATGACTACTTATGGCTGTTACGGACTTCTGGGATATGGAAAGGGTGGAGAAAGAGTAAGTTTTACGTCATGAAAAGTTAATTGTAGATAAGCAATTGAAAAAGCTTAATGGAATGTGTGCAACGGAATATTAAAAGACGAAGTAAGATTTTCATATCGAAATTCCATGTGCCGTCAAGGTATATTCGACAGATTTATATCCGTTATCTCTTTAATTCCGCGCTTTTGTTTCTCTATTCAATTCTCGCTGAGAAAAGCAAACAATTCACTCTGCTCAGGTCATTACCTAAATTACAACGTTGTCTCCTTCAGTGGATTAATCTCTACGATGAATGTATTGAGTACAGCCATACTGTTCTGAGATCAATATACCAAATTCTTGGATTTCAAATGATTGCAATGAAGGAACCGAAAGAAAACATATTGTATTCCGGTCCTGACAGCAGGATTGATGTAAGGAACCCAAATACTTCATATTTTAGCAAATTCTTTCTCGAATTCTTCCTCCGTGTACGATACTGATTAAGAAGCAACAAAAAAAGCGATAAGACACCATAATATAGGTAATAATGAGATTTATGCTGGGAAATTAGCTGTATCATGCATTACCATTAGATGTCAAGAGTCACAGAGGAAGCCTAACGAAGAAAATTTGAGCAATTCTAAGAGAAAAAAAACCAACTATATTAACCGTAAAGTCATCTTGTGTCACCATTGACGAGGCAAACTCTTTAAAGATTTTTTTATTTTCTCGCTATTTCTAATGCACTTCTAATCTCGCTACTTCTTACAGTATCTTAAATTTATAATATGGAAGAAAAAATTTATTGTGGATTCAAATAAGCTAGCCAAAGAGACTAATGAGGAAGAATGCATCGGAGCGGAAACTGCAACAAGCATGATGTGTCACCAACCGAATATGGAATTTGTAAGATCACTTCTTTTAGTCTCTGAATAACTTGTGTCTCACACTTACTGAACCTTGTCTTATGGATCACAACGGCTCAAAGTTCCAATTGCAGTTTTACTGGAGTAAAGTATACGAGAATCTTATCCATTCCTATCCCTACGTGGATGACCTACTCTTCGGACGTGTGTACAGAAGGACTAGGAATGTAACCAATCACGACATCTTCCACATCAACAGAATATATAAACAGGTAGCATTCCTTATATACGTTGCGGGAACACCTCTAACAGAAAATGAAGACTTCGCCGTGGATTATACCAGCAAAGATAGCGACTTCGAGCCCTTCCACCTATCCAATTTGAGCCAAACCCACAAATCATTCATATCCAATAACTTCCTTAAACGAGAGCCGCAATGAAAATTGCTTGTCCAATGAAAAAGCCTACAGTTAATTGAACTGAATTTTTTTAGAATAGCTGCGGGGAAATAATTTGCTAAGTGGTAAGCCAAGGATAAGTTTTCTGTGTGTACCACTCTTATTCTTATCGCTATTTACACTTATTCGTACTATTTTTTTATCTGTCATCATTTCCATACCTTTCCTTATCATCATCTACACTTCCTTCTGATTCTTCCGTTCTTACCTTTATCACTAGTTTCAAATTCAGACCAACAAAAATCCGAATTATCGATTGCACGATTTTGCGAATTTTTCAATGTATAGAGCTGAAGATTTTCAAAAAATGCCAGATGTTATCATTGGACTGGCTGATTTGTATTGTGAGGATAGTCTCGTTGACTGTGATTTTCTACACAGATCTCGGGGCCATTGCAATTCATTTCAGGAATTCAGGTTCATCTCGCAACTTTTTCTATTTCCAGAAACACTAGTTGAAGTTCAACGTTTTTATGTGAGATTTCTCTCTCTTCGGAAACTTAAATGAAAATTTATTGAAAAATGTTTTTTTTTCCTTTTTCTTCCGAAAACCTTCCGAAAAGGTCCCATTGCAGATATATATTGTGTGCTCGGACTTGTGGAATGTGTGGCATAAGTTTACGATTGTACTATATCAGTACGCATCATCCTTATGTCTATATCCAGGCAGGTTAACCTCCAGGGAATCGGATTTCCTGGCTTCGCTTTATGAAATATCAATCCATTGGTGTATCACAATAGATTAGAGTTTACTTATTAATCCTCGTCCTCCTATTCTTCCCTTTTTCTCAATTTTACCCGAAGCATTGCGGTAAAATTTCCTATTTTTATAGTAATAATCACGAACTATGAAAATCAAATGTTTCCCATTTAAGATTACTGAGAACGATGAAGAAGTAAATATTGGAATTAATGGAAATGTTCATTGCAATCATTTAATTTCATTTATTTTATTACATAATATTGGAGGAATCTCAACACAAAATCTCACTCTTATTCGATAATTAATGGAATGTTGAAAAATAGAAAGATGAAATTTGAGCCATGAATGGAATCAGTAATTTTAGGAAAAAATAGAGCAGCATTTGCCAATATGTACTGATGACCTGCAGGCTGTTCTAAATGGGACATGTAGTCACACCAATTTACATAATTGCTTGATCCCCAAATTCCGGGAAAAATGTCGCAGAAGTTGTGGTTATTGTCCAGAACAGAGTCGAGTTGATTGCGAATTTGTAAGTCTTCCAAGAATCATTGTAAGCGTCTGCCGCAAATTCGATTTAACAAATTATTATAAAATTATTTATCGAACTATTTTAAGGTGCAAATTTTTATTTAACAGGTAACGGCTGTAAATGCAGAATATTTATACGATCATCCGAATTATAATTATCGATGCCAATATATTCGAGCCATCTCAAACAGGAAATGCGAGGCAGTAGGGCTTTTTTTATCTTCAGTTTCTTGCACAAGATTAATTCTCGGCCATTATTTTGCAGAAGTTTTAGGAAGTTTTTAGCAAAGCCTTTTTTATTCTCATTCATATTGCTGAAAAAAATTCCTGCTTAAAATATTGCGATGAGTAATTACTGGTTTCGAAGTCTCGGTGAGCTGGTAGAGAGAAACAAAACTTTTGACTGAGCGAAATAAGGAAGTCAAGGAAAGTAGTGAATGATTCCTTCTGTGGTTCAACAACAATTTAAATAAGAAAGATGATAAATAGTTACTTTGAGAATGCGAAATATGTTGGCATTAAAAAAATTTTGCCTCATATTTTCAGGATGAAAAAGTTGCAATAAATCCGATTACGGATTGTATGTTATCCTGTGGGCATTACGCATGTTCTCCGGGTGATATAGAAGAAGATATGGGGCATAAACAAGTCCCTGTAATGAGGCTCTATGTACCGCAAAATGAATGGCAATTCGCGACGCTTGGATCCTTAGCTGGTTTTGAGAAAACCAATTCGTTACTTAGATAATTCAAATTAAACTGTAATTGAGGCATATACATCTTCAATGCATACACAAAAGCTCTCCTGTTCGATAAACAAATGAATCATTTACATATTTATATACATCTAAGTTTGTAAATTAATTCCAGTAAAACCATCGGTCGAAGAGGATAATCAATCCATTTCTATCTCTATCTTGCAAATACTTTTAATATGCTTAAGCGTGACGACATGCGAGGAAAAAATGTGTGTCTTGTACACTTTATGCATTTCATTTCATTGTACCATATAAATATTGGTTCAACACTGGAACTCTTATTCGTTAACTTTGGGATAATTTTTTGCGGCTGTCGCAAAACACCGTTCAAGGATTGGACTTTTTGTTTTGTACGCAGTGAAATGTACGCAGAGCCAAATGATGTCATTTTGCTGACCGTTGGGATAATACTACTGGCGGTCACCATTCTCATGCAGTGTGCAAGCGGAAAGCGTACAAAGAAGATAAATTTGGTTTAGTAGTTCCCCAGTAGTTTCTTCCTTTTTAATATTTAGATTTGTAAGATAGGATTGCTTATTTATTCATCGCAAACGACTCGATGAGTATATTGTTGTCTTCAACATTTACAATATTAGCATTTTCTAAAACAAATAGATTAGTTCACTGTGTAGGATATTATCAGTGATCTGTTGATTGGTCTATTGACCAAGCACGGTTAGCCATATGTATTTCAGTCAAACACCAAATCAAAAGTAACGCAAAGTTCCGTATCTTCAAATCAATCTGTGAAGAAAACCAACAAACTGCATAAAAACAAAGTGGAAGGAGGTGTTGAGAAATCACCGCGATCCTTATCCAAAAAAAAGGGACCAATACAAGTAATCAGCAACTGTTGGCAATTCTTGGGTGACTGTTGGCAATTCTTGGGTAAAATTGATCGATGCAGAAAACCAAAATAGCAGTAGTTTTTAAATGGCTAAAAATGATTCGATAAAAACTTTTACTTATAGTGATGCTGTCCATTTAGAAAAGACCAGTTACCATACGAAGCCAACCTGATGAAACCTTTTGGTCGAACAAATTGAAAGCATACAATAAAGTGAAAAGCGGAAGCAGTCGATCGAATGGACCATGGGACAAAGAAACGAATGGTGATGTGTCTATTAAAGTACCTGGAAAATCGCCCACTGTGATACCTATGGTCAGAACCGCCACAACACCGAAAGATGCGCAAATTGCTAAACTTGTGAATGTAAGCCAGCGTACATCAAGTTTTGAGAGTATTTCAAGTCACTCAAATTACTTGAATATTACAACTGATATCAACATTCATTTTTCGTATCAGATAATCAGACAAGAAAAATATGTAGTCATTTAGCCTGTTTAGCTACAACAATTATGGTTCTGATTGCGGCTAAACAGACTAAATGACTTTGAACACAATCTGATATTTCTGAAGGAAAGCGACATGGCCGCTTGCTGCGATCTCCTTCGAAATTCGTAAACCAGTTGCAAATTTCTTTTGAATAACAACAGATCATCCATACTTATCAAACTTCTTGAACTTCTAAAAGACTCAAATGGTCTTATTTTTCAAATCGATCAAATTTAAAAGAAATACTCGAAAAAATTCAGCATTGTCAAGCTGACAATGCTGAAAACAACTAAACCACTAAAAAATAATTCTGACTGTTCGAGTGGTTTTTGCCACCAAAACCTTGCAAAGGACAAATTATCCAAACTGCAAGTCATCCAGATAGCCCGAATTAGCAAGTTCCTCGAAGTAATCAGTTTGATTGAACAATGCAGAAAATGCAATGATTTAAAATTCTAGGAAAAATCGACATATGATGGGGAAATTAAAGGAGCCATCTTCAAAGAACAGGAGGTTGCTTGAACTTCAATTCAATTAGAAAACTATGAAATCATTCATTCTTTTTATTGTCTAAAACATTTCATTGCCTAAAATGGATTATTTATTTTCAGCAAAACACTCAGGAAAATATCTCAGTCGGCTCAATCGATGAGAAAGGTAACTATTTTTCGAAGACTTTCTCGAATTTATTGCAATTCAAAATTTCCTCCCAAATTTCCATTTTTTTTTCATCATTGAAATTGACTGTTTATAAATGTCAGAAGAAATGTTCAAGAATGCATTATAAAATTTGTAATATAGAGGAACAAGAGTTGGCACTTGAACCGAAAAATCTCCGATGGAGTGGTGAAGGAGGTTATCAGACAGTGCAACTGCGAAACATAACGAAAGACCGCTTGGCTATCAAAGTACCCCATATTATTTGGTTCTAAATATCATTGGAAGTTATGAAAATGAAGATATTTGGGATGAAGTAACAATTAATCAGGAAAATTGATCCGATAATAAAAGATTTAATTTTTCTTAATTATTGCAACAAACTTAGGTTTCGTTCGGTTCAGGAAGAATCCCAATAATGTAGGAAGATGAATAGGTAGTGAGCGATCAAGTCTCAACAAAGGGATCGAAAGTAGCAATCCAAAGTACAAACAGGCATTTCGAAGGACGATACATCTTCAGGCCAAATGTTCGGATAACCAGTTATACCGAGTGAATCCCGTATTCGGCTTTATTGATCCGGGCGAGGAATTAAAGGTGGATATTATGCGGCGGAAAGCTATACCGAAGGTGGATAAGATGATTTTCGTCAGTGTTCATGTATGTTAAATTTCTTTTTCTTCTATAATCATTTCTCTTCCTTCGGCAATCAATCTTCCCTTCTCATTCTTAGTTCATTCTATCCAATTCGTATATTTTGAAAACAGAACAAAAGAATGTATCATATTTTTTGCTGGCATACTTCATATTTTAGGCCAATAAGGATGACATTTTTCCCAAGTCATTATTCAAACGTTCAAAGGACAGTCAAAAGATGGCCATGTTACCATTGCTTGTCGCTCGAGTTATCTGATCGGATCAAATCGTGTCCGATCAAATCAGATTAGATCGAATATCTGTTCATCTCTTCCTCTCTTTTACACATTCTCTTTTCATTACAACAACTGAATAAACCGTCATCGACTCTTTCTGCTTCTCATGCATTTGAAAGAGGAAAATAATTATCCCCTAATGATCTTTAAATGTTGCATTGTGAACCCAAACGCGCCGTATGATTATGCATGCGGTACGTATTTTTGCTAGGGTTGACTGGCCAGGGTTCAACATTGGTTCAACATTCAACATTGTTCAACGCTTGATTCCTTTAATGGCTAAGAGTCAGAAGATTTAAAGATTAAGTCACTTCTTTCTAGGATTTGATTTTTCACCAATATATTATTGCACTCATTTGCTGATTGTATCTGTTCAATTTCATGTACGTATTGTTTTACGGTGGTTCGTTTAACATACATACGTCACGTCACGTATTTAACGTATTTAACATATATTTAATATATTAAAAAATATCTCCATGTACTCTCTATTTTTTACTTATTCAGCGCGCTCTTTCTCTACTCCGTATTCATCTTGCTCAAGTATGCATCTTTCAGAGGTAAAGTTTTGAAATCTCATGGCTGCAGCTTCACCTTTGCTGCAATATGCAACGCCGGATACAGATATCTCGAGTTCATCAGCACCACTTCAGCCCTCAAGCTCTTCACAGTTCCCACAGGTTGTGCTTTTCTTCCAGGTATTACATAGTGCATAACTTGCTTTTCGAAGGATATAATATTTCAATAAATTCTTTGCAGACAAGTTCTAACATCTCCAATCAACAGATTATGACCAACAGCCAGTATCAACCATATTATCTACGACCTGGTTATCGATTCAAAACAAATTTGGTTAGTTGACAGTTATCCGCTTAGTGATGTTTTAATAGCTGAAGCTGACGGCCATTTTCATTCTTCAACAAAAGCATTTATAACAAATATCTAAATATACTTGGATCAAGTACAGAATTTCTAATTACAAAAGCTTGTTATTGCAGCAACCGGTATTGGATGTTGCTGACGGTCCGGGTAGGCGGTTACGCAAAAATGTCGCAAATGTCAGGCGTCATATCGATTACATTGCCAATGTGTTGAATCATTTTGAGGTATGTTTGCACCGAATTATTAATCTCTAATATTATGATCAGTACCATTCATTTCCTATCCCAACGCAAGTTATGCAATGATAGGAAATGTGCTTCTAGAATTACTACAACGGCAAAAAAAATTTTGTGTTTATTTTTCTCTGATCGTTATTAAAATTTCATTGCTTCTTCTCTATTTTTTTTTCAACACTTACAATTCATCCTTCGTTATGGTTGTATCGATGTATGAAAAATGTTAATGCTTGGGTAATAATCAACTCTTGTGTTCGATAACATATCGCTGGGTAGCACGTATTCCGTTGAAATAAAAAGTTAATGTTTATTGTATTCGTCTCATATAGGTCGTAATGGAAATGAAAGAGAAATATGAAAATATGAAAGAATCCATCTTTTCAATCGTAAAAATCTGATATGTGGAGTGAATTTTTAGGCTCGATTGTGGCAGCATGATGTACGTAGTCGTGGAGCCGTTCAGCCGGATATACTATATCAAAATTCTGCAGTTCCTCCAACCGCTACAATAGACAAGACTATTGACTGTGTTTTAAATAAATTTGTGCGGGCTGCAATGAATAAAGTTAAATGTCCCATTTACAGTATTTGCGTAAGTTATTAATTTTGCATATAATTTTTTCGTTCAGTGTTTAACTTCTGCAAGTCACTGTTTTATAAGTTTCAGTGGACACCAGAGGGTAAAAGGTTAATAACGGGTGCATCGACCGGCGAATTCACTTTATGGAATGGTACAGCTTTCAATTTCGAGACAATTCTTCAGGTATTTGTGACAGCTTTTACCATCCATTTTTCACCGTATCGCGTTTGTTCAGTTTTGTCTCATTCATTCATTTCCATGCGTCACCGTATGTTATCCATTACTCCTTGTTATACGTCGTAAGGCACTAATTCGGCCTCAAATAAAGTGAAATAAAGAAAAGGCTGAAAAGATCTTGTGAGTGGAATTATTTTTATTTATAACATAATGAAAATAAAAGGATGATCCAGTCGGCACTGCCTTTTTTACAAATATTGCCGATATTTTCCTGCTTTGTATAATTATGAAGCAGATAAATAGTTTATAAGGCGCTGCTTGTTAACAGTTTGCATCGCGGTTACCAGCGAGAGTGTTGGACTTTTCCTCCGTGCCTACATTTCTGCATTTTGTAAAATCAGTTCAAAATTAGCTAATGTATCAAAAGATTTGACTTCTTCAAAATATTAGGGACCTTGTTACAATTTCATGGGATTTAAAATATTAGAACTATAAATTTATCAGCTGAAGTAGGTCATTTAGATTTTTGTCTTTTGGCCGACTATCTGTTATTCAAGAGACATTGTAATTTTTTGGACTTTTTCGAAATGCGTCTTAGGACTGGATGCTTGATTATTTTTTATTACTATAAAAGGTGAAGTGGCTAACTCAGTATTTATGTTTGTTCGTGAACTTTGTTGAAATCGATTTAGTATGCCTGATTGTATTTGATAACTTGCTGCAGTTTGGGAGGGTAGATGGTGACACCATAAAGCAGTTATTTCTATTTGGAATAAAGTGATATTATCCGCAGTTGAGGTGTAGATATTTTATTTAAAAAAGTCCCAATGTTATTCAAATACTGGTTGATATTTTGTAACGACGTTTTCTGAGAGTGTTGAAAAGTGTATAAGTCACTTAAAGATGGCTCGTTAATAATCCTTGGAAACATTGTCCTTACGACTGAACACTCCTGATAACCTATCAACTTATATCCTTTAATGGTATTTAATTTACATTTATTGATAGTCGACCTCGCATTTTAAACAAAGGTTATCGCATTTCAGCGATTTGACTTCTTAAAGCACAGGGTTTAGATGTCTTAATGTCCTGCTGAAGGAGTTAGAACATTTTATGCAAGTGTATCGACTTCACTTGTAACATATAAAGGAGATTCTTAACGAGCTAGTAACTAACAAAATAAGATGTCATTAACGGCAAGTGATAAATGTTCTAAAGTATGATCAAGGAATAAGGTGCCATTGTGAATGGGTAAATAACGAGTGGAATAGTAATTAGAAATCTGGATATTGTGGAAAACGAGGACGTAGGAGTCAACGATATGTTTTAGTTTTATTTGGCACTTTGACCTTTGAGATGAATATGTGTTAGGAGTGCTGCCGTAAATACATGTAATTGCAGCAATCATTCATGTAATAAACAAGTTCGTCATACTTGAATGAAAGGGGATATTGTTCTGGAAAAGGACTGTGCTGAAATTGTGTAAATTAACTACGGACTGTTTTTTTTATTTGGCGGTAAGCATTAGCGTCATTACGTGAATCCAATTTTATCTTCTTATCAATAAAAAAATTCAATAATATAACTTTCAGAACTGTTTCATTCATTTAAGTCTCCATACTTTCTTCGCTTACATACAGCTTTTTATTCTTTCGACGAGGTTGTTCATGCTAATCAATTATTTGGCATCAAACTTGAAGTTTACATGAATAGAAAATTTAATATAATATCGCCAAATATATTTTTGTGTATCGTTTAATGAAAAATGGCGTAATTGGAAGACAAATCTGGCTGATTTGGCTGATTGTTGCACTTTCTGCAGATCTGAGAGGAATTGTTTTTAATTAGAGGGTGAAAGAGAATGTTTATAAAAATTTAGATCTCATTAACCTAAGCGAAGAAGCAGGATTTGAAATTTCACATTCTATGACTATAAAGAAGCAAGAAGTAATTGTTGTAACTCGCAACACAAAGCTGTAGAGTCTGTTCCAAAGAAAAGAATTTATTTTAGTGTGAACTGTTGAATAAATAAATTGTCGACAGCATAAGCGGAACATTCGGATATTTTAACTGTACACAATGAATAAATTAAATAAAGGAATAATTGTTGAGAAGATCTTGCAGGCTCACGATACAGCGATCCGTGCTCTAAGATGGTCACATAACGATCAATGGCTTGTATCAGCAGATCACGATGGTTTTGTGAAATATTGGCAACCAAATATGAACAATGTGCATATGTATCAAGCTCATAAAGATGAGGCTATTCGATCTATCAGGTTGATTATGTATTCTTCCATTTAAATTGCATCAATTTTATTTTGGAAAGTATGAATTTGAATTATGGGGTTCCTATTTGATTTATTGGGTTTTTCTATACTGGTTTTTAGTTTCGCGCCCACAGATGTGAAATTGGTGACTGGATCGGATGACGCTACTGCTCGAATTTGGGATTTTGCTCGATGTGCCGAAGAAAAAGTATTACGTGGCCATGGATCGGATGTGCGTAGTGTTGATTGGCATCCGCAAAAAGGTTTGGTATGCACTGGATCGCGTGACTCACAACAACCAGTAAAGTTATGGGATCCAAAAACGGGACAGTGTCTGTCAACATTGTGAGTTTTTAAATTTTGCTTTATTTTATTACCTGAGAAAATAATTTTGTAGGGGCTTATACGAAGTTTTCTTTTCTTTAAATGGTTGTTGACTGTCGGCGTAACTTTCAGAGTTTATAGTTGATGAGTCGGAAGTAAATTTTTTTAATCGCTGACTTTAAGACATGATCATAAAAATTCGGTAATGGCCGTGCAATGGAACAAAAATGGGAATTGGTTGTTGACGGGATCCCGCGATCATCTGATCAAAATGTATGACATCAGAATGATGCGTGAAATGCATACTTACAGGGGACACAAAAAGGAAGTTACAGGTTAATTTTCAATTTCCAGTATTTACTCTTTGTTTTACAAATACGAGTTTCTTCGAAAATTTGACCTTTTTTAATAATTTGTTGCCTTATTTAAATTCATGATTTTTTACATTGCATCATTTTACAGCATTAGCTTGGCATCCGGTTCATGAAGGTATGTTTGTAAGTGGTGGTGGTGATGGATCATTGGCGTACTGGCTCGTAAACAATGACAAAGAACTCGGATTTTTGGAGCATGCTCATGACCAAGCTATATGGACACTTGAGTGGCATCCTCTGGGTCATATCCTAGCATCAGGTATTTTAAGCGGAAGTTCGATGCACTATTTAAATGTATATAGGAGATATAAATGTAAGAGGCTTTTCTAAGTACATTGGGGTTCAAATATTGCTTATTTTTGGCTTTTTGTGTTTAAATGGTTGGTTGTAAAAAATCCCTATTTAGTTTCAAAATTCAAAGCCGACACAACTCAGAACTATAATTTCGAACTCAGTCTTGCAATTATATTTTTCAGGTTCTAATGATAACAACACGAAGTTCTGGGCGCGAAATCGTCCAGGTGATACTCAGGATGATATCTACGGGTTGGCATCATTTTCTGGATCGGTACAAACGCCAGCAAAGGAAACGAGAACTGAAACTGCTGAGGAAAAAACGTTTATCACCGTTATTCCAGGTCTACTAAATCTGTTTCTGAATTTATTTACAATAAAATATATCAACCTTGAAAATTACGTTATCAAATGACATCTTAAAGCAAAGGTGCAATGGAATTCAGGTCCAAATTTAATTTTTATTCATTGTATGGTTTTTTAAGGTATGGGCCTGGATGACGACGTATTCCAAGGAATGCAGAAAAAAGATGCGCGAACAACTGTCGGTGGTCCACCAGTTGGAGGGCCCTTACTGTTTCCAGAAGATCCAAACGCGCGGCAACAGGTAAATTGATTGATCACTTTCATTAGAGAAATAATTGAGATGCGATAATATTTTAGAAGTTAGGATGGCAAAGTTGATGAGAAAATGATCTCTTCAACTTATCCCTTGGTTCACAATACCAGCGTTGTAATAGACACCACTATCCGATTGCTGCTTGATACTAAATTAGAAATGAATCAGTTTGTGTTGTTTTTCCTTAGACAATGAATATCGGTGCAAAGAGGACTTTGATCAAGCAGCCTCCACCAAAGAAGGCTCAGCGGCAATTTGAACGGATGTGGAATGTTGCAAAGCCTGGAGCTTCCGGAAACGACGATTATACCGACGAAGTGCCCGATGAAGGGACGTTCCGGAGGTCTAAAACTTCCTTGCTTGGACCACCTCCACGTTCATTATTGTCTTCAAAACATGAAGAAGGTAATCAGTAGATTCTTTGAAACTTACCATGGTCTATTCATTTATTATAATTTTAACTGATAGCCACATTTATTCTCACTCTAAATTAGTCAGCATCACGCCGAATAAATCTCCTTCGGATAGCTACATATTTTTTATAATAAAATTTTCAGAAAACCGATCACCCAGCCCTGGCCAAGACAGAAGCAGACGTTCCCAGAAAAATACCGCTCATTCCACTGGGTCAGATCAGGAGATTGGTTCGGTGCCTTTACAAATGCCACAACCTCTATCATCTGCACCATCAGTTGTACAGCAGTGGCCAAATCCAACAGCATCTCAGCCACCAGTAATACAGCAAATTACCCCACAACCAAGTATTCTGGTACCAACCGTGCAAAGTATGTTTTCACTCGTCTTCGCAAATTTTTTTGCTTATCGTGATAATTTTTAACCAGACTAGTTCTTCAGCGATATTGACTAAAATTCCATAAGCAAGTGGCATAGCAGCTCCTTGTTTTTACTTATTGTGTTACTTTAACACTGCAAATTGGAAAATCTATACAGGAGCTTCATTTTAAACATCAAATTTCAAACGCATCATGCAGAGTGGAATGTTTAAATTAACCATCGTTGAAAAGAGCAGTTTTACTGCTCTTATTTTTTCCTTACTTCAGTATATTCTCCTAATGTTTAATGTTGAATCTATTATCTCTAAAAATCGGTGTCTTCGCGTTTGTATTGCTCCTCCATTGCTGCTGGAATTTTTTCACTTTTTATGTTATCCATAAATGGAACATAGTTTGTTTATAGTACACCTGTTAGCGTTATTGAGATAGCTAGTTATCTTGATTTGGACTTTTAAAGAGTGAAAAAATGTTCCATTTATTAGCTTGTGTCGCTTTATTGAATACTGTTTTTTTTTTTTGCAGCACTAACGGCAGTGGCACAGATGGGAACAGCCGGTATACCTTTGTCCGCACTACCCATGCCACCAGCTATTGGTCCACTGATTTGGCCACCACCAATCCCGGCTAACCTTACACATGTACCAGCTGCATCATCGTCATCTGTCCAAAACAGGGTATATTTTCGGAAATTGACTATACGTAGAAGTATTTTTCGTAAGCCAAGTGAAAAAAATTAAGTTCAGCCATTTTTCATCGGTTGCTCTTTCTCATCCGTCAGTTCTTTTTTCATTTTAGGATGTGGACTATCGTACTGGGCCTCCTTCTCTTCCAATGCCACCACTTTTACCAGGTACATCTAATGATGTGGACCTAAGAAATCAGCAACCCTCCTCATCTTCACAATCGCAAAGCTGGCGGTCTAATGCACAGCCCGACAGTAAATCTATAAGCAATGATGAAACATCAAGAACTGTCCCTTCTACAGGTATGTAATCATCGATTCTTTCTTTCTATTCGCCCTAACAATTTGAATATGAAAAATAATGACATTGAAGCCCCTTATGATGCCATCTAATTCTCAGGTGAAGTGAAAATACATGATCCTCGTATGAGAAGGGGTGGATCTCGAGGAAGTGTAGTTAGAAATGGAGATGGCGACAGGTCAGGGGGACTTGCATCCGGAACTCAAGTACGTGATCCTCGCAGGAGGCCTCAGTTACGTACGCCGGCTGCTTCTAAACAGGTTTGTTTACATTCGAATTCCGAAGACTTATTCAGCATCATTTTTGGCTTTTACTTCGAACGAATTTAAAGACTGCACTTACCATTCGGAATTTAATTGGAGAATATATGGAAAGTTCTTATATATTCAGGATGAAGATTTTGATGGCCGTTTCGAAGGTAGCCAAGTTCGACGGCGTGTTTGGATGCCGAATATGAGTGAAGCCGGAGATGGCAGAACTGGACCCGGTCAGTCACTCCCAGTGCGCTATGAATTCAACTGTCCCGTTGGTGATTTTGATGATCGCCTTCAACATCACCAGCAGCAGTACCCGTCCTATTTACATCAGCATGCCGGAGGCGGATTAGTGCGACGAGGGACAAGCCGAAATCGAATTCGAAGAGGAGCTTATTAATTTGATATTTGATCAGAATCAGATCGCTAACCTCAAGGAGTTCATTCGGGGAAACTTGATTCCTTAACCGAATCATGTCTGTTATCCCGAAATACGAATTATTTCACGATAATTTTATATCATCGTTTTGGATCTTCAATGTATGACAAATTAAGGAACGATATTCATTACTGAAATGTGAAAGCCATATTTCATCCTATTTTTTCTTTATTCATGCATAATGGAATTCGTTGCTTTTTCCTTTTTATAGCTTTATTGTGTTCTTCTGCACTATCTACTTAGTTATATGGTAAATTTGGCAGTTTTCTTATTACGATATGAAATGAAGCAAAAATAATATTCCGTTTACAAAGGTTACAAACTTCAACCTGTTGTTCAACATTAACAACATAAATATTTATTGAGTTAAGTCACAATCCATATTAAAAATATCATTTTAAACAGTCAAAAACATAAATGATTGAGATAAAAAACCAAACATTAGAAGATGCACTCAATACTCCGTAATTTTGAGTGGCCTTGGAGGCTTTTGGTGATTCTCTGCAGCTCCTCGAGGAAACACTTTAGACTGTTCGAATGGAGTACCAAATAGTGATTGATCAGTATGCACATTCCTTTGTTCTTCATCCGTGACTACCGAACGTCCATCTTCGAGTGCCATTTGTTTTGTCAGCATAACCAAACTCTGACGCAGCAATTTTTAATCGATGCATAAATTTAAAATAACCTAAATAATGCAATTTAGAAAATACCACTACGTAGCTCGAGCATCCACCTACATCTACCAAAACTATCACAAGAAATAGCAATATAACCTTGAAGGATTCTGGTTCGTAAATTGCAAGCTGCGAGATGACAATGTTGTCTAATAGAACATGTGCTTTTGCAAGCATATTCCGAAAAGGTGCATAATCGAAATGATACTCGGCGAGAGCTGCCTTCACTCGTTTTTCTGCATACTACAATGTTCACGGATTACAGTAAACAATATTTCAGGTATACAAAAGAGGAAAGTAGCACCCTGTCAACTTTTAAAAAAAACTTACAAATCTTTCCAATTTCGGAGCATCTTCACGTTGCATATTCAGATATGTGTATAGTTTATTCAATTTCTGTAAACCTCTTCGTACAGTAGTTCGTTGGAAACCATACTGCCACTGAAAAATAAAGCATTACCCGCCACTGAAGTGAGAAACTACAATATCACAGTCCCAGTACCACAATCATATTATAACAAAAGCAGAAAAGTTTTTGAATGTAAAACATACAGCAACAAATCTCCTCAGTTGTTCACGTTTCTGCCATACATCTGGTTTGATTTTGACGTAGAATGGGTGATACGGGCTATTGATGACGCGACGCAAAAAAGTGACCCCGCTTGACCTCATCCTACTTCGACAAGACCAACCGCAGACAGCCAACCAATCCCACAGTCACACTTCCAGCAATTTTATACAAAGAGTTATGATGAGCTGCCCGACTAACTGTTATCATCAAGCGGCCGCGTGAAATTATGGTCTTACGAAATAAATGATCAGGTGGATATGATGTTGGTGTTGGGTAATTGCATCGCGGTGGAGTGATATATGGAGAGTGGTCAATCTCCGTCGCCCGTATACGAACAGGAGAGCGAGGCGGATTTGTCCTTGTAAGTTACACCTTTATTATTTTACTTTCCGACTAGGTAAACAAGAAGACTTTTCTGATTCAGGAGAGTGCTAAGTCATTCAATGGAAGAGCCCGAGCCGTGCTCCTTCAACTTGCGTCTCATTGAAGCTGTCCGCAGTAGCCGCTGTCTCTATGATGCCAAAGATCGTTTGTATCGCTCAGCGGATCATAAGATTAAAGTGTGGAATCGACTTGTACAAATATTGCAATTCGATGGTATAGTTTATTTACACTGTTCCAATTTTATCATTTACATTACTTATTCCTGCTGCAAATATTATAATCGAAATAGATACAGCACCAACAGAAGATTTCTCCCGCACAGGTATGATACGATTCTTAATATAAAATTATAATTTTCACCTGCATATGCGTAGTGCGAATCGTGTTAGATTATGCACGTAGAAATCATAATTTTAGACTATCACAATCATTATAATTTTCGGTCATTATAATTATAATTTTCGAGATCATTGTGTTCTCATAGTTCATTCGGAATATTATTCTAATCTTTCTTGTATTAATGTTAAAGAAATTCTTTTCAAGTCCATTTTGGATTTATGAAAATAATGAACTTGATCGACAAATGCTGGGAGCTAATAATTTTGCAGGTGACGCACGCACCTTATATAATCGTTGGAAGCAGCTGCGCGATAAGTATGGTAAGGAAAAGAAGAAATTAAAGTACGGTGCAGAACATACTGGATGGCAGTACTTTAAGCATTTGACTTTTTTGGATCCACACATGATTGACCGACAGCAGCAACAGTTTGCTCGTGCTAAAGACGGCAAAGGAGTTGTGCTTTCACCCGGAGGGGTTTGTATTTTATCGGTTCAGTAGCGGAAAGAAAATGACAAGAGAATTGGATGGTTAGATAAGTGACACGGTTAAATTGGAAGTGGACCTTTTGAAATAGATCATTGACCAGTTCCAGACTCCACATCATATCGTGATTAACGACCCGACTTTCTCATTATCACTTATCCAAGAGGTGCAGCAACATCCGTGTTTATATGATATCAGAGATCCCAAATACAGACATTCCGAATGTCGAAATCAAGCGTGGGCTGAAATTATCAAAAACTTGGATTTTCCAGGTTCCGCTATTTTTTTCCATTTTTGACATAATTTTTTTCTAATAAAAAAAATTACAGTTTTGGTGTTCTGAAAACTTTCGGTGGGGTTATGCTTAATTAAGCCGTTTTCTAGGAGATATTAATTCTATTTATAAGCAGTGGAAGAAGGTGCGGGATCGTTATGTTAGAGAAAAACGAAAAATACGAATGTCAAGTGCAAACGGTGGTGAAGTGGAGGAGTCGCAGTGGGATTTGTTTCCTCAAATGATGTGGATTGATCCTTTTCTAGATGATCGAGCCACGTAAGTTAGGTTTGCATTTGTAAAGGAATTTTAATTCTTGTTTGAGCATGTCCTTTTTCATCAAGAAGTTGCTTAAAATCGTATGTAATAGTACTCCAAAGATTATTTTACAAATGAAAAAATTTGTTAAAAAATTGAAGGAATTTATCTGTGCAATAAATTAAATTAAATATTTCAACGAACAACATATCGATAAGCAATTAAAATTTTTTAGACATTATTCAAAGAGTATCAAGCGAAAACATGACAGTGAGGAGTTGTCCGAAGATGGTTTTTTGGACGATCTAACAGATAGCTCGCACGGTCAACATAGTGTCTCACAAAATCAGTCACCGTATTCTGCTGTATTATTGCCGGGAGGAATGACTACTGTTAAAACAATGCAAGGTGAGAATTTGACAAAATCCATGTTTATTAAAAATAAAAAATTGGTAAATCAAGCATTAATTATTTAGTACATCTTCTCTTAGTGGTGGAATATTATCTTATTGAATTGTAACGCCATGAACCAATGGATGAGCGATCCAGATGTTACTAAAAAAGAGTGAGTTTCATTAGAATATCCAAAATGACTTTCAGGTGCTCACAGAGAAGCAGAACGAACAACAATGGTCACAAGAAGTTTATCACTGCAACAACGCGACATGAATGCCGTTGATGGTGACAAAGCGTTTGCATTAAGTGTAACAGCTGATATGCTTGCACTTCCGGAGCGTGCTAGAGCAATCGCGAAGGCTCAAATTCAGAATTGGCTTGATAATTCTAGACTGTCACAGCAGATACAGTTTGATTCCAAATAGTGATGGCATTAAAAATGCAAATGTTGAAAGTCGAAAGTCTAGTTTGTTAGTATCGCTAATAGGATGCTGGGTGTATCGTTTGCTTTCAAGTTGTCCTTAGAAATCGCTCAAGTAATTATAGTTATGTGGGTTGGGTTACATCAGAAACAAAAGAACTCATTTCAATTTTCTTCCACTCTTTCTGAAAATTATTCTTTTGTATGCTTCATTTGTTTAAAGAAACAATTTTCTTTGCTTTATTTTGTCATTAAATTAAACTTAAGTGTTTGCATGAATTGCTAATCGTTCAGCGCCTATATGTCTTGCTATACAGAAAAGTTCTTTTTATTCACATCTTTTGTTATCTTCACGTATGTATGTCCTCAAATTGTTGTACGCCTTCCTCTGCTTATATTCATCACTGTTTTGTTTTCTAAAGTCATATTTGCATCAAATTTATTTCACTCTGTTGTTTCGGACAAGATATAGATTAGACGATTATTTTTACTTTCATCTATTGTTTTTTAAAAATGTGATGCAATTACTGAATAATGCTGGTCAAGTTGATAATAATCAATCAAGAAAAAATTGCAAAAAGATTGAAATAAAGGAAAGTGTGATTGATACAATGGTAGTAGCTCGAATTAGTGAGATTATATAGTGCAGCAAATATCTGATGAAGTATTACATTAATAATCAATTTACAGCGGCAGTTATGCTTCCTATCTAAATTATCCGCATCTGTCCTTTATCCGGCTTAACTGTATTCCTGTGTCAGATAGAGTAATACTTGTGGCGGTTGTTATTTAATCTTGAAACTGGCAGTATTCTTGGGTCGACTTCAGTTATGTAATTCATCACTTTCAGGAGACACTGCCGCTTCTTTCAATTTTCGGACTTACATTTCTTATTCGAAATGGCACTTACAGGTGTTTTCCATCGTCTGTTGAGTAAAGGCGCTACCGGTGCTATTGGTATGGGCGAGGCTAGTCGAAGCCGGCGTATTATTTGGGTGGATTGTGAAATGACAGGTCTGGATGTTAGCAGTAAAGTAATCGTCGAAATTGCCTGTGTTGTTACTGAAGCTGATTTGACGGTAAGTACTATTGGGCTCTTTTTAAATTCAGAATCGAGGATCTGAAATTGGTGATTGGAAAAGTTCCTCAATGTTTCATTCATTTTAAAATTGGCATTCAGCATCCGAGTCACTTTGTATGACACTCGTATATATTTATATTCAGGATTGATATGACTTAAAAATTCAGTTTTAATTATTGGTAAATATGAATTGTCAGATTGTCGAGGAGGGGCTTAATTTGATCATATCGCAATCGAAGGATGTTCTCGAAGGAATGGATAACTGGTGCAAAGCAACATTCACATCCAATGGCCTTCTGCAGGAAATACGGTCTAGTAAAATAACTATACAACAAGCTGAGAATGAGGTAGTCATGTTTAATAAGTTGCTTTGAGTTATGAAATCAAATAAAGAAAGAGATCACATTATAGATTCTGGAGAACAGCTAAAACTGTGTATTTCTCTCCTAGACTGACGCTGATACGACCTTCTCATTGGAAAATCAGTTTTCAGGTATTAGCATATGCCCGACGTCATACTGATTCCGGTATGTGCCCTCTTGGTGGTAACTCTGTAGGTTCTGATCGAATTTTTCTACAAAAATATATGCCCACATTTGAAAAGCATTTCCATTATCGAAACATCGATGTATCCAGTATAAAAGAGGTAGAGTTGTTTTCTAAAGCGTAGAAAATTTGTTTTTTGTTAAATCAGTTATATTTCATTAATTGTTAATAGATATGTGATGCCATCTTTTCATGTTCAGTCAGCTTATTTAAGTTGGTAAAACGATGGTACCCAGACATATATGCAAGGAAGCCGCGAAAAGAAAATATCCATCGAGCGCTTCGTGATATTTATGAGAGTATTCAAGAACTGAATTGGTACAAGAAGAATATTTTTATCCCACAGATATAAGTCTTGTTTGTTTTTGTTGTTATCTAAGCCTAACAATGTTCGGTTAATGGAAAGGATGGAGGTACAAGATTTGGAGAAATGCAATAAAATGTTTCGAAAGAAGGACAGGACGACCACGTTGTACATGTACAGGTCAAACGTAGACAGCTGTATATCCATCTGTCCCATCTTTTTATGCCATATTTTCTCGATCTGTAGTTTTTTCGAGAAAATAAGAGAAATGCAGCTTCCGACCAGTAATACTGTGCGTTGCTGACTGAACATTTCGGGAAAATATCCCCTTCCTATCTTCCTCATCCCATCATTCCGTAACGAACGGTTATTATATTATTGTTTCAATGAAATGTCCGTATTGGAAATATTTTTCTAACATTCACCGAATTCCACAAGTGAGCTCATATTCCTTACAATTCCTAGAGACAAGAGCCGTGATTACATATTCCCTACAATTCTAGAGACAAGAGCCGTGATTACAATAGTGTATCATTTAACGATATATCACGAAACATGTGGGGTTACGCATACTCATTTGCGTTTGTCAATGAGGGAGTAATATGATAAATGGCAACGTGATATTTTATATTTCATATTTCTATATGTTGTATATATATTTTACCACATCACTCCATAAATTTGCATTTAATTCCATTCATTCCCATCTAGATATATTTTACTCAACTGTCTGTGTCTGGGCTGTGTAGTCCTTCAAACACCTCAATAAGCGGTGGTTTCCTTTCGAGGCTTACTTCATTCATCAAGGTTAGAATGTTAGAATGTTTTAGGGTGTTACCTGCAGTTTTCTGGCTAGTCGCTTCATGTTTGTTAACTTATTTATCTGCATACGTTAATGTATTTCTTGGCCTCTTCATTGATGTATGCTGCAACATTTGCAGTTGTGGATAGTCATATCTAGAATATAGCACAGATTTGCGTTTCGCCATGTGAGAAATCATCTGGAACATGAAGAAAATGATAGAATAGAAAACTTCCCTAATCCTCATACAGTGATTCTATTCGAAACTTTCCTAATCCTTATATACAATGATTCTATTTGTCCTTCACAAGACTTACGTAATCTACAAATATCCCTCATTTTCAAAACAACGAATTGCAAGGGGTACTAAGGTGAGGCATGAAAGTGGGCAATTTGGGTGTATTAACCAACAAGCATATGTAGAATAGCGTATGAGCGCAAGTATTGAGCGAAAGTTCATTTATTCCGCTTACTCTTTAACGCAATTGAGCTGCAATCCGCGTAGATAGAAATATTTTAAAAGCTTCGCAAAATATCCATGAACCGGGCGGGAGAGCGGGGGACGGGATGGCAGTAGCTTTGATGGTTGTTTGCGTTACGGTGGTCTCTCATCGCAATCGTTATTTCTTTTTTTGTCTTCCATTTTTGGTTACTTCCGTTTCTTTCTCGGAGTTGAAATATCAATTAATGGTCACTTTTTTTTTAAAAGGATGCCACTGGACTATTCAAAGTGGAAAACGATCGAAGTGTCAGATGATGAGGATGACACACATCCAAACATCGATACACCTTCGCTCTTTCGATGGCGACATCAGGCGCGTTTGGAACGTATGGCTGAGCGTAAACAGGAAAAGGAGAAGTTGATGGAGGGGAAATCAATTGTGGAGAAACGAATATTGGTTAGTCTTGAAGACTTTTCATTCTTTTCTCGTTTCTATTGTTCAATTCTTTCCATACTTTCCAGGAAGTGCAAGAGAAGTTGAAGAACAGTGATTTGGATGACAAGGAAAGGATCAAGTTGGAGCTTGAGATTGAGGAAGTTAAGAAGCAGGAAGAGGAATATCAGAAAAAGGAGAAAGAACTGGATGAGAAAGAGAAGAATGAACCGTGGAATGTTGATACGATTGGTCATGAAGCCTTCAGTAAATCGGTCCTTATCTATCTGCGTTTATGTTTTGCTTTCTGTCCACATCTTATTTTTCTCTTTTAATTCTTAATTATCCTCTTCCAGTCTTGTTCTGGTTTTCAGCGTATCAATAAAATAACGGACAAGAAATCTGAACCACCGAAATTATCGGAGGAGGAGGAAAGCAAACGCATGGTTTGTTATTTAACTTCGGTTGTATAAATAGATGAGATGCACATGCATCTCACCTCCTTATTTTTCTGTTCTTCTTTCATCTTTTTATTTTTGACTAATATTTTGCAGTCCGATTTTTTCAAGAAAAATGAAGAATTGCTGAAAGTATTTGGTGCTATGCATGGCTTGGAAGAATCCGAGAAGTATTTGTTGGAGCACCCTCATTTGGCATCCGACTTTACCGCCAGCTGGCTTACCATTCAAGCACTTAATCTTGCGATGGAGTTTGAGGTGAAAAGCATCTTTTGGCTCCTTCTTTGATGCTTCGTAATTATTTGAACTTCAGTATCTGTATTTTATTCTAATACTATTATGTGATTCAGGATAAAAAGATGTGTGTTATGGCGGAACAATGTATTGTTATCCAATATTTGCTCGAATTATCTAAAAATCTTCATGCACTTGCAACCAATACAAATGTCATCAAAAACTTTTTCAAAAAGTGTGTTTATATTAGCATATTTCTCACGTGTTTATTTCTATCATTATCCGAAAGAAACTGATTTATTTCTAAATGTCGGCAGATATCAGTCTTGTTGTAGAGGCTGAATTTGAAAAATTCGAAAAATTCTTATATTTTAACGTTAATCACCATTTTAACATGGATGTAATTTCGTTAGTATTCAGGTTCCGTGCTGCCGATCCTTCCTATGCGAAAATGTTTCGACAGGAAGTTGATGGTTTCTGCGATAGGCTTCGTAAGAGAGGCAAAGACAAGCGTGATGCAGCGATCGCCGAATATGAAGCAGAAGAGAAAGCAAAGCGTATTGCTGCATCACCCGGTGGTTTGGATCCTCAAGAAGTGTATGAAAGTCTGCCTGAGGTATTTTTTTGTTTAGGTGACAATATTTCGAGAGAGTTGTTTTCGTGTTGCATGTTTCGTTAGTAATTGAAATTCTTTTCTTCAGGATATGAGAGTCGCTTTTGACAGTCAAGAAGTATCACACCTGCAGGAAGTTGCCGAAAAGATGGATCGTGAAGTATTTACATATCATTTACAACGATGTATTGATAGTGGTTTGTGGATCCCAGACGCAAATGCAGCTAAAGAGCAAAGTGTCAATGAAAATGAACAATCTTGAAATAGCCTCTGTTTGGAATATTGTTGAGTTACTGCTGTAGTGTGGTTGTCCCCTTCTTTATAGTTCGTAGAAAGGATAGTTTTTTGATGCATTGAAAATTACATTTCTTCAATATTCATAAGGACTTTTTTGGTAAGGGCTGACCATCATTTTCTACTACTTTTTGTCGGTAAATTGAATAAAAAAATATCTTTTCGAAATTTTTTTAACCAAAATTTTATTTCGGAGGATTTATACATCGTGAGGAAATTGCCTTTTCCTATTTATTCAGTTGCATTAATTTAGGTTGTTACGGTTTTCTTTCGTCATTACTGTCGAAGTGTTCTCTACCATTACTAGTGTATGTCATGCTTATATTTTAGAGGATCTTAAACGATTTACGTGACGCCTTCATCTTTATCGATTATATGATGCTCCGTTCATGTACAAATTCCAACAGTGATATTTTGTGACGTTATTTTGTATTTTTCTTGTGTTGAAACAATAATTATTATTTTTTAAAATGGCGTTTTTAAATTTACATGAAATTAATAGAATACGATCCTATTTTGGTGCAGTCTTCTTTGAGTACATGCATAGATTTGCATAAATTTAAATTAAGTCTAGAAATTCCAATTTTATCATGGCTAAACAAGCAATGCTTTTTATTACAGCTGAACGGACGTCCTCGCCATATATTTGGAATTTTAGAGGCGGCTTTTCCTAAAGATTGGATATTCAACTCTTTGTGACAAGAATTGTACGAATGACGTGGCAATGCGACATTTGTTCTTCGCAGAGTTCTTTGTTACTGGAAGTTGAATGCTATGTGGATATGTTGAGTTGGGTTATTAAAATGCTCTTAGAACTTCTCGATAGTGATTCAGCAAGCAACCCGAAGATTTCATGACCGGACTTCACATTCATGATTAGAATCGTCCCTTTTGATAATAACTCTCCATCAGTCAGGTACTTTATCCTTTACAAATGGATTTGTTCCATTTAACTAGTGGGCGTCAAAGGGAAGTGACGATGGAGAGACGGAGTAGGACATTCAGGAACTGATACGATGATACTGTCAAAGGAGTGCATTTACTGAAGTTGCCATGTGAAAGTGCATTCACTGAATATGGGTGTATTTTTATATTGAGAGCAAAATTCTAATAAAACAGAAATTGAATTGAATTTACAAAACGGTTGGTACTTGGCGGCCATGTGAATTAGCAGTGACAGTAACCTTCAAAGGTGTTGCATTTGAAGTTCATGTACATACTTTCGAAACCTGTACATTCTATCATGAAAACGGAGGAAACTTACGAGATATAGATAAAGAATTTAAGGATTATTTCAGATAGCTAGATGACAGAATGTTAGAGAACTCCAGTTATTTGAAATTTATCTAATCAGTCACATTATGTCTTACTTGCAAGTCGATAGTTATGAAATAATTCATTCGAAAGTTAACATTAGTTACCTGCTAGAAGTGACAACAGCAAAAGATTATGACATCATCCATTTACAGTACAAAGATGAATTTGTTATTAGGTGGGGTTAAATATATCCATTGTAAGCTAAATCTTGACTATACTACGACTCGTGGCACAGCATGATACGATGAGTTTTAGCAAGTCCTAGTGAAATCAGCATGGGTTTAGAGCTATTCATTCAAGAATAAACCACCAATTAATTCTGTTCTTCTATACACTTTGTACTATTTTATCTGAAATCATACAGTGCAAGCTTAAAAATTTGACTATGCAGTATTTTAATCCTTTTTAATAATCTACATCCAACATAATTTATATACAAAAAAAAAAGCAATTAAAATTCTCATTGCACGATACGATGCAAATTTCATCCGATATCGGCAGTTTTAGATTGCTGGAGCCCGTAATCCTTAGCTAGTTGCACTGCAGTATTCTTGTGACCATTTTGGAAGACGATCCTTTCTAGATTCAGTGCTGGTAATTCGGCAAGTAATGCACAAAAAATACCAAAAAAATAGGATAGTATAAGTTGTACTAGACAATGCCCAAAAATTTGCCATTTTGTTGTATAAACAATAGGAAATGGTACCAACAGATATGTGCATACTACTAATACCATGTGCACCAAATATACCTGAAATATGTGAACAAGAAATAGGTGAATATGAGTATTTTATATACATTTGACTACAACCTCCTTTATATAACCATTTTTGTGAAAACTGTAATTATTACAGCTAAAATACCAGTTGTAATGTCGCAATGGTGCCAAAAATATCTTCCGATTATGGCTGAAAAATTTAATAAAAGATAAAAACTGTAGTAATTACCGAATAGCAAAGCGATGATAACGGTATGAACAATTTCATACTAAGCACTCTGTTGATGATTCCTCCACTGCCAGTGTGACAAGTATAAATAAGCCAAGCCATAGCCAAGGCGAACACTGTCCGGTGGAAACCCCCGTAAAAAAGATGATACATGTGCCAATTCCAACCCTAAAAAACAACGAAGTACTTTTAATTTCTTCGGAAGAGAAACATTAAACAAAGATGCTTTTAGTCACCGCCACATCCTTATCAACACTATCAAAGCACAACGTGGCACTAAATGGGTGATCTTCTATCTGCATAAACCTCCGTAAACATCTGTGAATATGATGCATTATATTTCAATCTGAGCATGGAAGCTGTATCCGGATTCAAATAGAAAAATTGGCAAAGTATACCTGTAAAGCCGGATATAAGCCAAAGATGGCCCAGAAGCAAGCAATGGAAGCAAAAGTCCATCCGAGTGCTTGCAATCTCATACTTCGTTGACGCGTTTGTTTCGCGCACTTCTGAACAATCACTAAATAATATCCCAACAGTAAACCAACAATGTACGGTCCAATTCGGTATTGTGGCTTTATGTACATTAGTACATGGTGCTGCAAGGGCGAATTTATTTTCATACTTGAGTTAAATTCATTCTGAATTTTAGTTTTAATAGCTACTATCCTTTTTCCTCCCTCTGACGAATTCGTCAAGAAAAAAGTTCATCAGAAGTTCGAGACCTGAAACTAATTACAAAAATTTCAGTCGTGATTTCGCTTTCAATATTTAACATACAACTGATACTGTGCAGAATATTTCTTTAATTAAAAATTACTTTAATAAAATCAGCGCTAAAAATTTCCGGCTGTTTCCAAAGCAACTGAGTTGGTGGAAAGTTCCAGTGTATCATGCCAAACATATTCAGAAAACTAGATGACAATATGGTAACCACTGAAAGAGCGAATCCTATTCGCGGTACATTATGTAGCAATAAGAGAAATACCGGTGACAAGAGATAGTAAATGAATTCGGTACCAATGTACCTGCAATTAACATTAATTTATATCACATCGGTGGGCCCATTAGGCAAAATGACTTCCCCAGACTTTACCCACAGTATTAAGTTTGTATCATTATAGCAGCCGATTGGGTAGACCAATGAAGGTCACGCAATATTTTACTTAGAGAAGTTACTATTATCTCAACGGTGAATTCCTATGCATGAATTTTTATGCTTATGCAGTGAATTCTTACGAATTGTTTACATCACTATATATATATATATATATATCGTAGTAATAAATAGTCCAGTAATAAATTTAACAGTATTTAGTGAATTGATTATTAATCTTAGTGATTCTCTTAACCTACAACATAACTCAGCAATCTCGACAACGTTTCAAGATAAGACCTTTGTATCTTTATCCCCTTTTACTTTTTCTTTTAAATTACGAAGTAATATAAATTGTTCTTTTGGTTTCAAAGAATTCAATCAAGTGATAAAATTTAGATAGCTGACCATGTCCACGGCATACAGCGATTTTCAAACAAACTGTTTACAAACAAGACATTTTCCCACCAGTGCTTGGGACACTGAACAGCGGGATCAGTGGGAGGCCACATCGGATGAAAATGCTGAATTGATGCACGCATTCCAACATCAACGAGCACATATATATAAGCCGGCCACAATCGAATAACCCGATGACGATAGTAACGCAACCAATAACCATATGATGTCCATGTTGGTACGCTTTCTAAAAAAAATTAAAGTTTCATTTTCCTCTTCAAAAAAGAAAACTTCAAAAAATTATTTATAGTAATAATGATATTATCATTATTATTACTGCTATTTAATATTTATTATTTATTATCGTTACTATTTATTAATTATTATAATTACTATTAATTATCTATTACTATTTATTTGTTACTATTTATTACTATTTATTTATGATTTATTGTTACAGTTATTATATACTATTATTTATTATTTTATTATTATATTTATTGGTGTCTATTATTATTTATCACTATTTATTTGTTATTATTAATATTATTTATTATCATTTGTTATTATTTATTTATTATTCATTTATTTCTTAATTATTATAGTGTTATTATTAACTAATAATGTTATTTATTATTATTTATTATTATAATTATTATTTGTTACTATAATTATTAATAATTGGTATTTATTATTATTATTCATTATCATTATTATTATTATTTATTATTGTTATTTATTATTATTATTATTATTATTATTGTTATTATTATTATTATTATTATTATTGTTATTATTATTGTTATTATTGATAAAAATCTTTTATTGGTTTTCTTTATCAAATTTTGTACTTTCGTTTTTCTTT